GCGCGGGGGCGCCCGATGTCCCGGCCGGCACGGATTCTGACTTAGAGGCGTTCAGCCATAATCCGGCAGATGGTGGCGTCGCGGCACCGCTTTTTTGCCGAAGCTTTCGGCCACGAACCGCGCAGCACCTCTTAGCCTCCTCCCCGCGACACTCTGCAGTCCCGGTTCGGCACAATATTTCCCTCTGCTCCCGTGGATATAACGATCCTCGCAACCCTTTCGTCGAGGACCGAGCCTCAAGACAATCCTCGAATCGCAGGATTTAGCGTTCAACATGGCCGGCTTCCTCATCCAATTAAACATTTGCTCCACAATTTAGATGCGTTTCAGCTGTACTGTCGAGAACAAGGCGGCACAGCTACTAGATGCCCGCCGAGTCTCCAGGGTAGTCATCGACCGTTGGAGCCAATTGCCGGCCAACTCTTTGCTGAAGACCCATGGGGAACAATCACGCGGAAATAGATACATTCATTGGCGCGTAGATAGATAAATTGGCAACGGGAAGGGGTGGATCGCCATTGATGATCAGGCTGAAACTGGCACCTCACTCTGTCTTCGGTTTAGTTAAGCTTTAGCTAGACTCGCTTAATGAATGCGGAACAGGGCGACTGGAAGGGCTCCGGCTTACCGCACAGCACAGGAACTTTTTTATATATGCACCGACTTATTTTCGACTTTTCCTCCGCTGAAATATTCCAAATGTACAAAATCAACAAATTTTCTCCCACTCTTTCATTGTGATGGTGATGGGGGGGCTGGACCCTCGCGCAACCTGTCTAACAAGGGAGGATAGCGTCCATAGTCTTCCGGGATGAAAAGGGATGCCACCAACAATTACCCCCTCCAACGGTTCATGGCTAAGAAAGGGAGGTTTTCCGACGCCTCTGCCGTCTATCAAAGGAGCTTTCCGTACGTTGCGCGATATCCAGAACCTCGTGGAACCTGTCGAATGCATGTACAGGGCCTCCCGTCCGACAGGAGCCCTCCTACTACGACATCGACCTGCGCCGCAATGGAGTTTTGTCTCGATGGGACTAACGTACCACGAACGTAGAAAGACTAGTAGAGGATTTCCTGACTCTCGATCTCTTATGTGAATACCGTCGAATTGTCGGGGCAACTCATCACTGTTGTGTCTCTCTGCCTGTTGTAACTGGAGCAAACGAATGACTTTTCGCATTCCTTGCGTCGCATGTGCTGCAGAAGCCTTCCAATCCCAAGCTCACGTAGAAAGTGTTTTTCATCTTCCCCATTTCATCGCCGGCGTCAACATTCCTCCGTACTATTCTTTATTACAATACCTGCATTGCCATCCCAAATTGCTTCTCTGGCCTCCTGAACGTCAACACCACGTCCATGCAGAACAGTCACCCAATCACTAAATAGCAGAGAACCGGAGTCGAAGAAACAGGGGTCGTGAGAGTGCAGCTCAATGAATCGCTCCACATCCGTCTTGGACACGGCGTTGTCGAACAGCCACAGTATCTGGGCTGGGGAGAACTTCAAAAACGATTGGACCAGGTAGAAGTTCTGCAGGTCACTACCCCATCCTCGCATATGCCTGAAACGAAGCTCCTGGATTGAAGCCTTCTGATCGGGGAACGATGATTCGCGCGAATCATGGAAGAACTCTTGAATTACCGGTGTACTTCCCATGAAATGATGGGAAGGGAAATATTGCGACGGAGGATGCGGAAGTTTTGCGTCTTCGGAAGTCCTGGAGTAAACTTCTCCGTCAGTTGGGCAGATTTCTATCGCCAACAACCGCTCAAGTGTGCAGCGGAAGTCCTCAAGTTCAAGGAGATGTGGTGTGGACCATGAACGCAGGAGTTGAAGTCTTTCGGCTGATGAGCTTATGGCCGACCGCAGATGTGGGAAAGACGATTTGCTGCAGAATGCTTGGGTGTAACTCCAAAGTCGGTAGACTGCACGGCGAAGTTTTCGGGCTTCGCAGTCGACCAGGACGCGACGATGTGGGCTGTTTTCGTCCGCCCACCTGAAACCGGGATACAGCTCGACAAAACGTTGGGCTACGCGAGCAACAGCTGTGGCTTGCGTAAGTAAGGTGAACGACAAAGGTGGAGAACGGCGCAGATGAATTATTTCGTTGTCGTTCTGGGTCAAAAGTTGTAGAATATCTTCCAATGGGCCCATCTCTTGGTCAATGGCACTGAAAAAGAGGACTAGCTTGTGCGACTTCGGGAGCAGTGCATGGAAATAGCGACATGTGAGTGAGAGACTAATGATATCGGAAACGGAGGAGAGAGATTCGAAAATGTGGACCAGCAGTTCTGGAGCAAGATGTTGCAATGCCATGTTCTGCGGAATTTTTTTTTTTTTTGGTTAATGGATTTCCGAGAAAGAGGAAGGGGGACGACCAACTGGAACAGATGCAAGCAAATTGAGGACCAAGATCAATTAGAATACGCAATGCGGTAGCAGCTACCGTGCTGCAAGTGATCAGATGGTTTCAAGCAGTTGAGACCCCGGCATTGGGGCTATCCTGGGTCGATATCATTTCGTTCAAGTAGTCGGTGATGGCTGATCTATGATGTTCAAAGAAGTTGCCCTCAATTCGAGAGCAACACCAGATGGAAGCCTCCATCGTGATCGATCGGATGGAGGACATCCGCTTGATGAAGATTGACTGGATGAGAATAAAGGAAGAATAAAGCTGGACGCTACACCGCTCGCTATGAGATTTTGGTAGACGCAGTGGCTTGGCAAACGGACTCGTACTAGCGCAGCCTTGCAGGAAATTTTGATATGCTCCACTATTGTACCTCCAAAAACACCCGATGTACAAGATCTTTGATGTATGGGACTAGATTTAAATCTCGAAGTTGAGTCATCTGGTTTGCAGGCGAGTCATGATACTGCACGTTCTCTATTTTGCTTGCGTCAATTGGACTCGCCGAAGTTTGAGCTTTCTAGGAGATCTGCTCATGGAATCGCGCTGCACAGTCTATGACGCTTACTCCAGAAATGAAGGTTGCTATTCTGGCTAGATTTGGGCACAAGCAGCCAGGCTCAAGGACATATTCTTGCAGAATTGGGTGACAATTTGATGCAGCATTTGTTCCCCTCCCGCCATTCGTTCTGAGCAATGTGGATGCGAGACAAAGTGAGGCGGGCCTGGCGGCCCAGTTTATCTCGTGTGACGGCAGCGGTTATAGGCAAGGGGAAATTGTCCCCTGTCTTTCATGATAATCGAGTCCCTGATGAAGCAGCACTCTTTTTTGGGATGAAGATCGCGTTGTTTTGAGCGGTAGGAATGGTAATCCTCGTCTTTTCGCCCAGCGTGCCGGACAAAACTCGCCTTATTGCGATGGCTTGGAAGTATGAGGGTATTGACAGGGGCCCGGTTGGGGATCGATGTTTTCTCGGAGACTTGACCGTTTGAATCCACATCAGGCCACCTTTCTCATTCGGCAAATAGTCTTGAATTGTCGAGACTTGACGGTCTTTTCCTCGCGTTCGAATTTAGACCCAGGATTTTTCGTTTGACTTGGATTTCCTCTGCACCTCCTCTCCTGCTGGCATATTTGCTTGCTCTACGCAGTCTTATCTCACTACGTAGTTGATTTGGGCTGATGAATTGTTTGTTCTCGAAAATGACTGGGCCACCGAAGCTTCCCTCTAAGATGACGACGGGCGTGAGGACAAGGCGGGGACCGATCTCAACAAGGGAGACATCCACACCTTTGACGTTTTCTTTGCTGGACTTATCGGGGTCAGACTCGCGGATTTCGTAAACACGAATCCATATCTTGCCATCAAGTTCGTAAATCCCAATGACACGATCAATGAACGGTTTCATGCCCTTTACGCCTTTCGGAGGCACACAGAACACACCTCGAAGCATTTCTCGCAGTAATGAGCGATATTCTTGTCCAGCGATCGCTCCATCGAAGCTTTTGTCAAACACAACAATGCCCCTTCCGCCTTTCAAACAGTTTCCTCCAAAACCGAGTTCGGCCATTGTATGTACATTCGTCACATTGAACTTTATCGTGGGTCCGTTTGGCGCCCGCGCTAGCCAGAGGTAGAGGTCTTGACCATGCTTCCGTGCTTCAAGGAAGAAAATGTAGTTGCAGGAATGAAGATCGGCGAGGCCGTTGAGTGCGGAATTGTAGTTGTTTGATGATTTTGTATCGAGCTTCGTGTCCTTGTAAGTGTGAGGGAGGAGTGAATGCAGATCACTCAGTAAGTGTCGGTGTCTGTTGTGGCGTCAGACCAAAAATCGGCTTGGATCATACCATTCTGGTTCCTTACCTATATGAAACCCCGCGAGACGTGAGCATCAAGATACGGTTCCTGATTCCGGAGGTAATGGACTGGGAGGCATCGATTTGCTTCTTCTGATGATCGGAGTGGTCTTCTTCGCTGGGCGAGTTAGCACGAACGGTATTGCTGCTTTGATCGGACGAGATGGACTTCGAGTCGTCTGATTCGGAGGAGTCGCCAGAGCGCATTGCTGACTTGTACGCAGATGCCATGATACCACCAAAGAAGAGCAGGATGTTTCGAAGGTGGCTTAGACAAATCGCTGCGCTGTCGTCAAAAGGTTCGAGGAAAATTTTTGGGGTCGCAGTCGGAGATAATGGAAGACAAGGGTGGAGATAACATCATTTTCCCTTTACGGTAGAAGTCTGAAATACCAAAAAGTTATAAGGGAACAATACATTGATCTGCAAAGATACTGCATTCGCAAAAGGGAAAAAAAAAAAAAAAAAAAAAAAGTTTGATCAGCTTCGCTCCAAGCAGGTCATCTTGAAATAATTGGCACTGGCCATGATGGATGCCACCGGTCTCGTTCGCCGACTTGCGGGATCTTGACCTTCATTTCAACAATTCTTTTGTTCCCGGTACCGTTTCTACTTTCCTGCAGAGCCTTGTTCAGAGCGGTAATGGCCAAACCGGTCCCTATACAGGATTTTATGGTGTTTCGCACGTCTTTCGTCCATTCCATCTGTACAACCGAACTTGTCGATAAGACCGTACCGGAGAGAGGCTGCGTGTTCCATCCTTCTCGGGACACTTCTCCCCAAACCTTTCTTGCCGTCTCATTCAGTCTTGATGCTTGTTCAATGATAATTTCGTCTGGAAGCTCTTGTAATGAGGATGACTGCTGGGCGACGTCAATGCTGATGGGCTCGGGTATCGACAAGTGCAAGAAAGGTCTCATCCTTAATTCATATCTCAGCTGGTCCGAAGCGTAAGCGGGGGAGGGATTTGCCAAGTGGTGGTGTCGTTGGAGGAGTATCAAAACCCTGTGTAGTGCTTTGGCTAAAGCGTCGGTGGCTTTGAGCCATGCGAAATGCCGATAGAGGTGATGTAGGGTCCGTTGCACTTCATCCTCACTGGAGGACTTCAGATGCCTGTTGGAAGATACAAAAAAGCTGACTCGTTCCAGATGTGCAAGGTGGGTGCCGCAGAGATGCGAAAGGTACCAATACATGCTAGCGAATTCGTGTGGCGCGTAGATGGACAGTTCAAATCCCATCTGCACAATGGTTCGAAGTTGCATCAGCTTGTAATGGTATACCCAACTGCTGAGAGAATAAGAAAATGTCGGTTCTTCGCCAGGCGGGTATGGAATTGGCTGCTCGTTGAAGAAAGACTGCGCCAGTGCATCTAAATCTTCGGCCTCGGCTTGGACTTGGTCCCATTCCAGTGCGGCGTGGCAAAGCGTCCGTCGCGTCCGGCATCGATTTAGGCAAAAGGTTCGGAAGAGATTCAAAAAGGACTGACCACACCGGTTTACGAACGAATCGATTTGAGAAGAAAGCCGGAATTGCTGATGAGTAGGTCCGTCGTCAGTTTGTCCTTCATCGTCTCGGAGCAGGAAGGGTGGGAGAACGAGAGACCGTAGATCTTGGAAAATGAAGTCTTTCAAAGTAAATTGGCCCAATACCGTATTGTTGAAGGTCAAAAAAGACTGGAGAAGAGCCCGAACGTAGACGGCAGGCTGAATGGTCTGAGCCATGAAGTTCTGGTACGCAACGAGCAGGTCGCCACTGGATGAGATGTCGAGAACCTGAAAGGCGGTAGTGGCGTCGGTGACCAGTTGCCGGAGAAATGTAAATGCCTTTTCCTTCTCCACCACGATCATAGGTCTAGGAGGCACACTGCTGGCTAGTCGCCGCTGGATCTTCAATGTAAATGGCTCTTCCCCGGGTGGTTTGCCGATAGCCGTTGAAGATTCGATTTGTCTTAGCAAGGCAATGCTTTCATCAAGATTCTTAGTTTCCGGTCTCTCTTTCTGGGCACAACATTCAAGCAATTGAACAAGAGAAATCCGTCCGTTCAAGCGAGCTATCAAGGCATCTTTCAGGCTCGAAGACATCTCGCTATTATGTACCCAAAGGCACGCATTTTGAACGAGCTTTACCACGTCATGGACGGGAAAATCATGCAATAGAGGTCGATTGAATATCTGTGTCGCGAAGTCTTCTTCCTTGTGCTCGTTAGCTGGTGTCTCTCTCCCACCTGCGGTCAATCGTTCTTTGAGAAAAGCCCCCTACCTCATAATAATGCTCGGTGGAGATCATCGACAGGACAAGATCACAACTCTTGATGAGGCCGATACAATAGGGCTGAAACACATCTCGGAGCAGGGATGGAGAACTGACCATCTGCACTGGATCTTTGTCGAATCGAGCATCTGAGAGTTGTTTTGGCTCCGGCCAAAGTAGCCGCTCGATATGGACTGAGGTGAAGAGAGTTTGAGATAAAGGATAACCCATGTGCCACGCTACCTGTAAAAGTGGGCTATTCCATGTTCGCATCTGAAGAATTCTGTTCTTACCTCGCGATACATCAATTCATCCATCAACCAAATGATTTCTTCGGCAGACACTGTTGTTGCAAAGTTGAAATCGTCCTCGATCTCTGGGTCAAAGGCGAGAGACCCGCTGTCCATCTTCGGGTCCCCAATCTACCATCTCCGTTAGTTAGATAGCATCAGTGAAAGGGACGAATGCGATGCACCTCCAGGGCGGTGACCGCCTCAAACAGCGTAAAGTGTTCATCTTTGACCAGATTACCGGCGGCCAACCCTACGACTTTTGGTCAGAGCCGACCACGGCAGAACAAAATTTGGTCCACTGACTTGATGCAGCATCGCGGAATGTCTTGGTTATGTCATTTACTTGGATGTTAGGATGAACTAGTTGAGGTTGAACCATGTCCACGCTCCGTGGTCACTCACTTTGGTGCTGAAGCTGGGAGGTGTTGCGGGAAAAGTTTCAGGAATGACACTGAAGTCAAAGAATGACTAGCCAACCAATCACAAACTGGGGGGCAACCACAGATTGAGTCGACCGGCTCTGGATGTCCATGCAATCATGACACGGATATTTATAGCAGGTACCATGAAGCTGATAGAGGAAAGCGAATGTCTTTGAAGGCTTGAAAATGTCATGCGCGACTTTTTGACCGGGAGCTAGTCGCATTCCACAATGTAGCCTTTGATTTTTGGCATGATATGTACAAAGTTTTGAGGCCGCGAAACACTGTCTCTATTCCGTCTCCTTGCCATCTGTGAACCGTCTCATCCATTCTATTTGGCCTCCTGAGCTGCGTGTTCGGCCATCGCCTCAGTATTCGCGGAGTCTAGGTTCTTGTTCTCCCCTTGTTTGCCATTCTGTCCGTGTCGTGTTAGACTATTGTTACCAGAAATGGAAGGAGCAAGCCTACCTGCCACTTTGCAAATCTCAAATCCATTTCACCTCTCCTCTCCGCTTGAAGTCTCGGTCCTTCTTTCAGGGATCTTCGGACGACTCTGGCGGCAATGGCAAGGTAGCGGTTGTAGCTGTGATCGTCAGCGAGATGGATCGGCCACGTAGAAATAATCGACGAACGTAATGCCTGCGGCTTTCCAAGCAAAAGCCATCGTGATAGCTGAGGAGGGAAATGGAAGCTATTGCGATCGATGCTGGAGGAACCTGCGACAAGCTGGGGGACATGCATGCAGGGAACAAGCTCGAAGCGCCAAGAACTACAGTGGCATCGGCCGGAACAACTTTAAAGCGAGCGGCAATATAGAAAAACACAAGCTCAGGGTCAGATAATGCCTTGTTTTACCTTTCCCAGGCGGTGGACAGATACCAAGTCTATGAACAGGCAGATGTTGGAACACCAGACCACGGGCTGTGTTCTGTCTGATACACCACTTTCGTGGTTATTACCACTAAGTTCGGGTTCGTGCGGATTGGAACACAGACAGACAGCAGGAAATCCGAGTAAATCTTGCCCCAAAAAGATATTTTAAGCAGTGTATATGCCTTTTGGGTTGTTTGCCGGCATCTCAAGAGAATGTGAGTTGGGACAATTCGATTCATAGATCTCGAAGAATAGCGACCGAATCGTCCAACCGATTGATCTCTGCTAGGAGCCATGTCTCCCTTTGTCGCCATTGATACAATACTTGAAGCTCTGCGGGGGAAAGCATTTCTGGTTCACTACCCTGGACATCACTTCGCTCAATCTTGCTGAGGGTAGAAGAAAGCTTTCCCCGTTCGAGTTGTAGGTGTTGAAATAATCTTGACATTGCCTTGTATAGTCTTCCCAGAAACACCTTTCGCACCCTTTCGGCGTCGTAGAACCAGAGAAATATTGTGCGATTGGGCTGTCGTTGCGGTTCTCTGGGAACTTCTTGCAGTTCAAGGAATCCCATCATTTGCATTTGTGCCAGACATCGCCGAACTTCCTTTGCACCCAACAGGCCAACTTCTTGAAGTGTTTTCTCGTCTGCTTTCCCTTTGTCAATCAGCATGCGAATGATTCTGAGGGCCGGTCCACTTAGACTCTCGCCCATGAGTCGAATTAATTCCCTATCGCGAAGGAAGTCATCCATCTTTTTCTTGTGAATCGCCCAGGAGTCCGATTTGGGTTCACGGAAGAAAAAGGAGAAAGGGCCTTCTGCCAAGACGGCCAAATGATTCTCGACATCCCGCAAGTCTTTGGTGCCGTTCGTAGAGTAGACATGATGACCGTTGGCAAGGTGAGCTCCTACGGGCCAACCGTTCTCTTCGCTTTCGTCGAATGAGTTTGACGTGCCCTGGTCGACCAAATCATGGCTTATCCGAGACATGTTGAGCTTGTGTGTTGAAGCGGAGGGGTCATTGGAGGACTGCAATTTCAGTGGCTCGGAATCAATATCGATCTGTAGGCACGCTGCGCGGGCGATTTGTGCCGTGTGGTTGCCAAATAACTTTTCCGCGGTGGATGCGATTTTCTCGTTGCGTATGGAGACGATAAGGTTCGCGTAATTGATGCACAACACTGTTTTATCCTGTTCCAGTCAGTCTGAACCGCCGCTGACTTTGAAGAGCATGAGTACTTGACTGGTGTTCCCTGTTTCCGCGTTCGAGGAGCGCGTCTCGAATTCCTGCAAAATGGTGGCCGTTGGAACAGTAGCGTCTAAGCGTGTTTCGAGTTCAGCATTGACCTTTTCATCAATATCTGACTGCAGTTTTTTCCCTTTGCCTGAGGGAAGAGTGCCGAGGCTACGCAAGTGGCGCTCGACATCTTGACGGGCATCGAACAGAGACTGGAAATGAGCATCACGAACGGCCACAATGTATTTTTTGTCCGCCAGTTGCCTCAGCATAGCCCGGAAATACGTCTTACTTCTTGAGTCGACACCGGGTTCATTCCTATCGTCGGAAAAACCATTGGTCAGTGGTGCAGACTTTCTTTTGAATCCAGAAGCCTCGTCGCCAAAGACTCTGGACTCCAGCTCGCCTGCGGTTGCAGAACCGAGAACATTCAGAATTTTCATAATTCTGGCGGCAACCGGGCCAAGATTCCTTTCGACTAGCGCCATGAGTTTACCAGCTCGCACAAGATTATAAGCATTGTACGTGTTTGCTTGGTAAGTCGACAAGCCATCGGGGGTGGTGTGGTGGTAGATCAGTCGAAGTTGTATCAATGCGGCCATTCCGGTCTTGACATGCCGCAAGGGAAGACGACATCTTTGAGCAAGTTGGTTGGCAGAGAGTCGGCCCAGTTGAGATAACTGCTGGAATATTCGCTGTCATGATGGTTAGCGATGTTCTCGGAATAGATAGTGGCACCAACGGCAAGGAATCCGCCATAGACATCTTCCACAATAAGGCAGCACAGTCGCGAAAACTCCTATGCCGAATCAGCGGCTACAACTCAAGAGGATCCAGTAATTTGAGATATATACCTCCATGACGGGAAAGGTCACGTGAGAGTACGGTGTTGGGTCAAGGAAGTATGAGGGAACGGCCGGTGGCGATCTTCGGGGCAAAAGAAGGCTCTCATCTGTGTGCTGAACAAGGAGATTCTAACGAGAACAAGTGGCTTGGTTGGAGAACGGGACATGTCGAGTACGCAGAGAGTGAGAGGGAAAGCGAAACTGTGGAATCGGTTGGACTTGGCAAGCTAAACCAACAAAGGCATAGAAGCAAACTTTTTTGCAGCTCCCAATGGTTGAGCATTCAATTCCGCAACCGTCCCAGCTCCCTTTGTCGAAACGCATCTCGACCTCGATCATTCTACGACACTGCTTTACAATGGCTTCTCCGGCTTCGCTAGGTTCGAGAGCCTTGCGAACTAGCCGTCGCCAAATTCCTGTGGCCTCCGCTTTACAGAGGCGATTTCTGGCTGCAGCGGCTTCTGGTAGCTTTCGGTATGAAACCGGTGATGCCTCTGGTGTCAAATACGCAAGCAAAGACCTGCCAGGACCAACCACCACTCTAGCCGTCGTCGCAAAGGCGGGCACAAGATATCAGCCTCTGCCGGGCTACTCTGATGCTCTGGAGAAATTTGCTTTCAAGGTTGGTTTCTTCAGCATGCTTTCGTGACATCGCAGGCTAACCCACCCAGTCGACTACCAAACGATCGGCTTTGCGAATCACCCGAGAAACTGAACTCCTTGGTGGTGAACTGTCTGCGTACCACTCTCGTGAGAACCTTGTCCTTCGAGCCAGATTCCTCCGCGAAGATCTGCCATACTTTACCGAGCTGCTGGGAGAGGTCATATCAAAAACACGCTACACATGTTTGTCACACCCTTGCCTGGTCATGAGGGCTTTTTGTGTCTGACCCTGTCTAGCCCATGAACTCAACGAAGATGTGGTCCATGTGATGAGACTCGCGCAAAAAGGCATTGTGGGGAGCCCATTGTCATTGGCCATCAACTCTGCTCACGCCGTCGCCTTTCACCGGGGCTTGGGAGAGCCGTTGTTTCCGACTTCCTCCACTCCAATAATGAAATACCTCGATGCTGGGACCATCGCCGACTTCAGTGACGCTGCCTATGCTCGTTCGAATATCGCCGTCGTTGCCGATGGTGCTAGTCACTCCGAGTTTTCGAAATGGGTAGGAGAATTTTTCGCTGATATTGGAAGCGGCTCTCCTAACATCAAATTGTCTTCCCCGGCTTCGACATACTACGGCGGAGAAGAGAGAATCCCTCATAGCTCTGGAAATGCTATGGTCATTGGATTCCCAGGCTCTAGTTCATTCACATCTGGATCATCCTACAAGCCGGAAATTTCAGTTCTTGCGGCCTTGCTCGGAGGGGAGTCGAGCATCAAATGGTCTCCAGGTTTTTCATTGTTGTCCAAAGCTGTGCAGGGTCTCCCATCTACTCACGTTTCGACCCAGAATGCCGCTTATTCAGACGCGGGTCTGCTCTACGTGGCGATTACTGGAGATGCGCCGCAAATTGCAAAGGCAAGCAAGAACGTCGTTGACGCACTGAAGAAGGTCGCGTCCGGCGAAATGGCCGAGGAAGACATCAAGAAGGCAACGGCATTGGCCAAATTCAGAACTCTTGAGGCGGGACAGCAGACCGAAGCCGGGCTCGAAGCAACGGGCTCCTGTTTGATCGCTGGAGGCAAAGTATTCCGGATCGATGAAGTTGGAGCTTCGATTGACAAAGTTTCGGTGGACAAAGTTAAGACAGTAAGTAGGACCTGATCCGGGTTGTTGACGTTTTGGAGGAGAAACTAACTCGACACAGGCGGCGAAGGGATTGCTAGATTCGAAAGCATCGGTCGCAGCCGTGGGAGAGCTTTTTTCTCTTCCTTACGCGTCGGAAATAGGCTTGAAGGTTTGAGAATTTGAGCGGGCATGAGGGCTCTGTGGGTTTAAAAACCTTTGTACATATGAAGAACAGTTCCAATACAAGAGATGTACCAATTCCTCTGGTCCATGCCTTGCCATCATCATACGACCTTCCTCTTTCCGCCAAGACGTCGAACAAACGGTGGGGGTTGGAGATAGAAAGCGCGTCCGCAATCGACGCGAAAGATGCTGCTACTGAACCCGATTGTTGTTGGGATTGAGAATATCTACGAGAGCTCTCCTGCTGATTTGGGTTGGTTTCCTTTTTTTCCTTGTCACGCTTCGCCGCTCATCTAAATTTCGCTGTGCCATCGGGCACCGCATATAGATCGCTTCACCATGTTGGTTGATTTCCAAATGAGCTTGAGAATTTTTCTATTTCAAATACCCGTCGGAGACGGACACCGTCGTTTTACTCAAGGCTGAACATGATCATATACAGACCGACAAGTGGACATACACCTCCATGGCATAAGAACCTCAACCGAAGTATATGAAACAAAGCCCAATGCCGCACAACTCTCTGTTGAATATAATACCCGCGGAACTTAGGTGTCGCCTCCAAATCACCATGCGTACCCGGTAGAGACTGGCTGACTATCGCGGCCGTTCCAATCACCGTCGTCACTTGGCTCGTCGTCCAAAAAATCATCTTCGTGGAATTGTTCTTGAGAGGGCCTCTGGTCGGATATGACCAGATTAACCACATCACACCTAGCTTGGGTAGTTTTCGGCATGGGCACCTCGCTTTCGTCGGTGACGTCCCCTAAGCTCAGCTTTTTGAGGTGGCTGTTGGCTATTCGTGTGCTCTGTCGTTGCGAAGGTTGTGATGATCTCTTGGACGGTCTGTTGCTTGCATTTGTCGGTTCGGCGGTATTAAGAAAAACATTTTCGAGCTTGGGCAACCATGTTTTTCTCAGCTTGGCACGGTCTCGCCAGCTGGCATCCTTTAAGATTGCTTTGATGTTGAGCTTTTTGAGGGATGGCAGATTCTCAGAACAATCCACGAGTGATGCAAAGAATTCCTCCGCATCTGCCGCCGACAGCTGGCGCAAATTTTCGACAGACACATTGACGAGATTGGTGGGCCAAGTGGGGGGACCATTGGGCAGTAATTCGTCGTAGAGTGGATCTCGATCACGGTATGATGTTGGATCGATGTATATCATGTCGACCTCAAGATTTTGGAGACGAGGACAAAGAGATTGGAGGTTCGCCATAAAACCCAGGGACATGGACTGGTTACCAAAGAGTCGGAGTGTCGTCAATGTACTCCCTCCTGTGAGTAAATACTGCTCGAGCGCAGTCGATGTCAGGCGAGAACAATGTGCCACTTCCAAATGTTGGAGACCGGTTGGAAGCATGGCAGCCGTGGCCTCGTCCAATATCGCACAATTTCGAAACGATAGACTTTCCAACCCGGAAAGCTCCTTCAATGCTCCACCAAGTAGGCTCTGCGCTTTGGCGACATCTAGTTCGGTTGATTTCTCGGGTAGGGTCATGTTGAGAAGGGAGACTTCACGAAGTCTTCTGAATGCGGGTCGGCAATGGGCGGAAAACGCCGTTTGAAGAGCACCTATAGCATTGGAGAATCTGCCATTCCACTCAAAACTTTTCATCACAAGACTATTGCTATCAAGACGGTCAAAGAGCTCTGCTGGATAAGACCAATTGAACCTCTGCGCCGTAGGCTGGGCCCATATTGAGGTTCGGAAGTCGTCGTGATTGGAATACAAGCGCATGCTCTGGAGAAGAGGTGTCCGGGAAATCAAATTGTCAACTGAAATGCCACTCTTTTTGACGAGGAGTTGCTTGACTTCAATGTCGACATGGTGGATCTTTTTCCGATAGTCTGTCATCAGGCCCGCGGGGTCCGCCGTGAGCAAACGTATGAGGCCATGGGCTCGCCAGGCCGGATATAAAGGAGGACTGTAGAGCAAAGCTGCCATGCAGGCGTCGTGGAGCGAGCGACACAGGACAGAAACGGAACAAAGCCAATTTATGGAAGGAGTGTTGCGCGACGCTTGTTCGTAGAGAGGATAGGCCGCGTACTTCATGATGTTCACAAGGATGTGGTATGGAAGTTGTTGCCAGGGAGGTATTTGTCCTTTTGGAGAATGCCAGGGTGTGATGATGGTGGCATTTAGGCCTGGTTTGGAAGGAAGATCTGAGGGTCGAATCTTTTGTCGCTTGTATGCAGTGAAAGCATTCGCGGTGGAGGGTCTTGTCGTAGGGGGGGCTTTTCTTTTTCGCGTGTTTGACGACATCGCATCTTGTGTTGAACCACGCATCCTTGCCATTCTTTGAGGTGGACTCTCCTCCGATGAAGAGTCAAGCACTTCTTCCGAGGACTGTTGAATTTCTTCATCGCTCGACTCTCGATATGTCTGGACTCGACGGACGGCTCGCGAAGGTTGGGATCGGGTCTCGAATTCGGAGAAGTCGTCGGAGTCGCTATCATCGTTGGCATAGCGTACTCGAGGGCCACGACGTGGCCGAGATCGACTCATGGTGATAGAATGGGACAAGAGGACGAGTTACACATCGGATGAGAGATATTGGAGGACGGTCAGAGGGAGAAGGAAGGGAGAGTATGTGGGCAGCGTCTGATGTGCAGGACAAACTCTAGTGCATGTTGGGGAGTTTTCGAGTCGCAGACTAGCGCCGGCACCCGCCGACTCATAGCTGGCAAACAAACAACCTAAAATCTGGGAACAGGGGAACCATTCTTTTGAAGAAAAGTCGTCTGGTTGGGCGCGTCAATAAATGAAGAGGCTGTCTCGCTTTTTAGGCTTTCTAGCCGCCAAGTCTTCAGTCAGGGGAGGCCAAGGGCCTGCTGCAGTGTGCCGTCACGTGTTATCACGTGCTGTCATCACGTGCCACAGCTCCTACCATCATCTCGATTACAAGATACAGTATGTATGGTCGCATTGTCCTTGGAAGATTTGGTCCGCTGCCGATGGTCGAGAGAATGCGCAAAGGACTCAAATATCATCTCTTGTTCATAAAAGCTTGAATCAGTGCGTGTGTGCCGAATCTTTTGTCAGCAAAGATCGGTTCCTGAACCTGAAGATCAAGCTCTTTTTGGCGTTGGGGGCACATGAACAACCGAAAACATCTCTTGGTGGTATTCTATGTACAAGTACGTGTTTACTGGGTCATGCCTCAGGCCATGGGCATGTGGGTAATTTTACCGGGGGGCCGAGTATTTAATGCTCCGTAGTCACACAGCGTCTGCGGAGGAGGATTTATGCTATCGCAGGATGGGGGCAAGCGTTTGCCAATACAGACTTCAACAGTGTTGCAATGACGATGCACTGCCACTCGGATCCACTTATTTTTCGCCCTCTATCGGCGTAGCAGGTTGTCAGCCACGCCAAACTATACGATTCCAGCGCTGTCCAGCACATCACGCAAGAGCGATGATCTTGTACGGCCTTGGACACTCTTGCGGCTCAAGATAGTAATGGATATGCAAAAGTAAACCAACATACTTAGAAACCCATCCTGGAATATTCTTGTATATCGTGTGTTAGTCCTCCAATATCCAAGGCAAGCCACACACCTGTCCAAGTCAGAGCGCAACTCTAAACTGCAAAGGAGGGTCAAATCTCCGCTTGCACCTGCCGTGTCTCATCATCGAGATCCATCGTCCTGGCAGAGGTCCCTCCCTTTCCCCCGTGGCAGCTGGGAAGCTCGTCTTTTCTTCCCAGGACCACAGCCAATCTTAAACCTCGTCTCTCAGTTCAGTCCCGTTCATCTGGCCTTTTTTCCTTCTTTTCCAACCAAAAAGCTTACAACCCATAACTTGTTTCTCTCTGCACCCTCTGTCGAATAGCATAGCCGGCTCGCAGCTTGTTGCAAGAGAATTCCTAATCGGCAATTCCACCCTGCGAATCTTTCTCTGCCGACTCCGACAAAAGTCCTCCGTGCCAACTTTCGTTACCTGCAGCTAGCCAATCCTTGCATTTGTTATCATATCCTTCCTTCCACTCTTCTTGCATTGTTCAGAGACAATTCTCCAAAAATATCTCCCCTCCTACGCCTGCTCCGATTACCAGGCCTCCATCTTTCTGTCTCGAACCAGACCGAGTCCTCCACTCTCGCACGCACTTGTACCCCTCCATTGCATGGTGTTTCAAGAAAAATCGCATGCACCTTTCTTCCCTGGCCATCTCTTCAGCAATCGCTGGCTACAGCACGGCTCTTTGAAGAGCCCCTCTACAAATGGGGTCAACACAATACGGGAAATTTCAAGTGAGACCTTGAGAAAAGATCATATACCAACCAGGTGATTGACTCATTGTTTTCGCAGGACTTCTGTCGCGATTCAACCCTTCCCATATGCAACGTAGGTTCTCTCCGAACACGCATCTGGTTTCTTCGCTTCCATTCTGACAACTTTCTAGATCCTCACAACCAACAACCAACCTCCCGGCCTCAACTATGGCGGCTGCGTCCTACGAGGGATCTCGCTGAGTAACAATAGATATCTGGCCAATTTGGGTTCCATACTCCTTTGCGGCGTGGCCATTCTCGTCACCTTGTTCCTATTATGGCGGGCGGAACGGAAAGCGGCCGCTGTCGGTCGTCGAGAAATGCAGCTTTTTTTGATCGGATTTCTGGTGATTGAGATATGTGAAATATTCACCGTGGGCGGATTTCCCTTGGACAACGACGTGCGCAAAGGATTCACCGCGGTCCACCTGGCTGCCATTACTGCGACCATGTGGATTTTGCTTATGAACGCGCTCGTGGGATATCAACTGCTCGACGACGGTACTCCGTTGTCAATGGCATTGATTGGAGGAAGCGCCTTCGCCTTGTTCATTGGAACAGGTTACATTGCGCTCGATACCGCCTTTTCTTGGACTGGATATTGGGACAGTTCTCTGCAACCACCTCATCGAAACATCGCACTTTACACGCTATATCAGCTAGCGCCACTGGTTTTTATGTTCCTGTTCTTCGTCCTCGAATCGATTCTCGTTCTCAGGGTGCTTGGAGAGAGAAAGCCAATGGTCTATCTGATTGCAGCTGCGCTCCTTTTTGCAATCGGTCAAATCTTTCAATATGTGATCTCGGTCCACATATGCAATCCAACCAACGGCAAAGTCAATGGTGCTTTGTTCGAGACTCTCTTTACCCTGCTGAGTGTCGTCGCCGTGTTTGTGTTCTGGTCATCCATAACAGAGGATGACTGGCCCATTCAGTGAGGGCGAGAGAACCAAAAAAAAAAAAAAAAAAAAGAGTTGGCTTCGGTTGATGGTCTCGATGGTTCCACCCCGTGTAGACCTCTTCATACATGGAGAATATTGTACAAGAATTTGCATGGAAGCGGCACCCGCGTATGGAGAATGAATGTTTAATGTGTTGGCAAATGTAATTCGTGCAAATTGCCAACGAAATCAGGCTGGAATATCATCTGCTCTCACTGCAGCTAATGGTTTCGACCAAAAATGGAGCTTGGGCGCGCAAAGCTTGACGATTTTTGACGCAGCGTGTGGCGTTTTAAAATGTGTTTGATGGCATTTTTTCTGCGGAGGTCTCTCATCATTTTGGTCGATAACGGCATCGCGCAGAGGACGTTCGAGATGCAACTGGACCAGCGGGCTGGGCTGCAATCTGGTATCATAGCAAACCATCTAAGCCTAGACTAGAATAAATAGTAAGATATGGATCAGATTCGGGACCGTGGAGGGAAGACAAATGTGTTTCTTTATCCGTTCTCGCGATGATTGTGCTGAACCTGATGGGAAAAAGCTTGAAGACCGTCATCCCAATGGCGGTAAAAATTGTCTTCTTTTATTCCGATTCCAAGAAGGCCCATTTGGTGTTTCAATCCCCTATCTTTTGTCGACGGGGATCACAGGTCACAAGACAATCTTCACTCCTACGCAAGGAAGAGTCCATTCTGACCGACCGATAAGATAACGGAGCCAATGGGTACCAATTCCGGTATCGAGTGCTGGTGACTGCGGGAAAGAGGATGTAGACGGGATTATTTGACGGGCCTCATCAAGCAATCCAGATGCGGAATCCTTGACGGCGTGAGCGAGGCCCGACAGCGTGCTTTGTGTGATGTCAGTCAGAAAATCTCCCATTCCATCGGTATAATTTGCCTGGCCTTCCAGGTTCAGAGCACCGGTTGTTGTGTAAAGTCGCGGAATGAACCAAGACGCAATCGAGGAGGTCTCTTTGCTGTGCTGACTGAAGTCGATGAAACAGCGGTTGGACCAGTGACAAGAGCTTGCAAAGAGAATGATCAGGAGGAACGAGCAATAGATACATGGTCGGTTGAGGACGTATGTCAAGGCTAGTAATAAGATCAGGTGGACAGGCGAGAGGGATAATGGGAGCGGTAACAAGAGTAAGGGAAGGTAACTGAACAATAGAATCAGTAAATCTGAAATGATAGTTACCAGGGATCCTGGGTGGTCGGAACGCTACCTTCGGAGACAGTACATCATTGCAAGCCTTTGCAGAAGAATTTCTGGATGAACGGATGGAGTGGGGTTTGCCTCGGATGTTCGTACGATTTTAGATATTTGTGAAGAAGAGCGATTGTGAGGGAATGAAATGGTTTTTGAGAAAAAAGGGGGAAGAGCGTTTTCGATCTGTAGGCTTGCAATAAAAAGTAGGATATATATGTTGTATGTTGGCGGTTTGGTTTTGAAGGCTGAAGAGTGGCGAGTTTGTCTGGGTACGGAGTTAAAGCAAAAAAGGTATTGCGATCGTTTGATGCTAGCGCCGATCCCCAAACGCTTTGGATCATGCTACCACCAAAAAGGTCGCCGGGTTAATTTCCAGGCATAAAAGCTGCCCAACAAGCGGCGGTGTTCATACCTTCATCGCGCGCTTCTGTGCCCACGTCCATTCATTCCTGCTTCAGATCTCAATCCTGGGGTGACATCCAGGACGAGTCCAAAGGTTCTTCTGCGCCGAGCTCATCCATACAGCCTTGCTTGATATCGGCCATAGTAACTGCATCTTGCTTTTTCGTCTTGTCCTTGACTGAAAAAATGTCAACCAACGATTTGCAAGCTCTCTTTGCCCACCTGAGACCCAAGAATCGCGAGTCATCAACACCTTCTCACACCTCCAACACTACTCATCGATCTAACTCAAACGGAAATCCGCCTCAGCTGTCTGGTTCCTCACCACTGCCTTCGAGCCCTCCACCGTTTGCCTCTGTATCATCCTACAACCCGGTGGCTTCCCAGCCGGCTAGCGGCTCCTCCGCATCTGCTCAGTCTCTGCTGAATTTGCTGAACTTCGTGCCGGCCACCACCACGTCTACAGATCCTGGCGCCGCAGCCTGTCCTCCTGCAAATGCCCAAGAGCAAGGACAAAACGATATTGGAGAGGGATCTACTCCCGCTGAGGTCACTAAACAAGCTTCGGGAATGTCTGGGCCAGAGCTACTGGCAAAGCTTCTGAACCCTCCACCTGCTGGAGTACTGGATAATACAAGCTCTCCGTTCCACTTGGAGGACCAAGGCGGAGGCGGAGGGGGGGAAAGAACAACGTCCACTACTAGTCGGGATCCGTCCCAAGATGCATTACTCAAGCTCCTCAGCAAGGCCCATCCGACAAACTCTCCAAATGGACGAACACCTTCCGTGGAGAGATTACGACCACAACCATCCGATGGCGATACGGAACGACCAGCCCAAACAGAGCCGCCATTTCACCTATTTGGCCCCGATGCAGGCGCAGGACCGCTCCCACCGTTTGAGGAATCCAAACCGGAAAACAAGCCACCCACTCAGAACCGACCCATCTTTACTTACACCAACCCTTTCGAAGCGTTGAATGCTTCACGCTCTCAAACCCCCAAGTCGGGCACCGCCGTCCCTATCTTCCATAACCCTGATGTTGCTCAACCAAGCGTAGAGAGTGGGGACGACCAACTTTGGGAAGGAGCTTCGCGCGTGGCTACGGCTGAGCAAGCCGCCAGGAGAAAGATCCAGACACCCAGGCTACCTTCCACAAGCAAACACAGCACAGTCTCATGCGAAGCTTCGGTCTCGGCACCGGATCCGGAAAAGGATGTCGGAGAAGAAGTTCCTCCTGCCGACGACGGGTTGGTGTCTAGCTCATCACAGTCGGGTCCAACAGTACCTAAAGAAATGACCAAGGATGAACCCGTTGTTGATTCCGACGATGGAACCAAACATGATCAAAATCAAAATGGCGGACAGGCCACGGATCATCAAGCCGAGGGCGGAGATGAATGGGAAGACGCTGAAGATTCTCCAAATAAAGGATTTCCCCAGCGAACCGTGCCTGTGTACAATTTCCCGATCAAGCCCTTTGTGTCAATTACACTTCAACTTGGTGCTAGCTCGGGAATCGTTATTCGGGACGATGGAGTTATGGAGATTTCGCGCCTGAAGAAAGACTTTGATCAGTTGGATCGTTCCTTGGCAGCAGCAACTTCAAAGTACATCACCTATGCCCTTGTCAAGAACGGTGGTATGCGTATCATCAGACAGGACGACGGCAGCGACCGACAGGTGTTCAAAAATTCCCATGATCGTATCTTTAATGTTGCTGTGTGTACGAACTCCACAACGGGCGGTCCTTCGGATGATCAGGCTGTTCTTGGAACCGGGGTGAGTGGCGCCGTGTACTATGCAACCATTTCCAAGAACGGCAAAGATTTGTTTGAGAAGAACGGACTTGAGTCTGAAAGTCTGATTTTCCCTCCTTATCCTCCAGCCGACGAGAACACGGCCGGAGGCGTTTTAAAGACGCGGGCCAAACGAAGTTCGCGCCATCCGGAATTCTTCGCCATTGGAAGAGGGAAGTCGATTCATCTCGTCTGGCCTGCCGCGGCTATCTCTCCGCGATATGGCATCACCGATTTTAATCGGCGAGTTGACGTTGACAAGCTTTTCCAAGAACGAGCTCTGCAAATTTACACCGGGAAGGCAGGCAAAGACTTCACGTTCAGCGAGGATGATAGTGTCATAGTATCTCTGGACAAGACCGGAAGACTAAGATTCTGGGATATTCGAAAGTTGACCGAGGAACCCAATGCCACTGCCGCACGTGTGGCCAGTATGACTGTCGATATGCCACTATTGTCACTTTCCACGGCATCGCCCGCCGAAAAGTCATGGCCGACTTCCGTTCTTTTCGTTGATAAGGCCCGGCCGTACGTCAAAGGAGGAGCTTTGCGATATGTTCTCGTCGGATTACGACAAAATCATACCCTCCAGCTGTGGGACATTGCCTTAGGAAAGGCCGTTCAGGAACTCAATTTTCCCCACGAGAACGAAACCGATGGAATCTGCAGTGTCAGCTATCATGCCAATAGCGGTATTATTGTGGTCGGCCATCCCACCCGAAACTCACTATTTTTTATTCATCTCTCGGCCCCACGATACAGCCTCAGTTCATCTTTGTCCCAAGCGGTATACGTTCAACGCATTTCTATGAAGGACCCTGAGCTCCCCAAACCAGAATCTACCGCTTGTATGAGCGGCATACGTGAGATCTCTTTCGCCGAGAAAGGTCAGTTGAGAAGTGTTGAACTACTGCCCATCCATCGGCCGGCGGAAGCACAGAAGGCAGTCGACGAAAAGACGCCGCTATTCGAGCTTTATGTCGTTCATTCGAAAGGAGTCACTTGTTTGAACATTACCAAAGAAGACCTTGGATGGAATGCAGAGAGCAAAGTTGTCCATGGCATTGATGCTGCCAAAGAAGGTCTCGTAAACTTGAAAGAATTAAGACTTGGGAGTGTGATTGAGGAGGGTCCTCGTGGCAAAAGTCCGGCGGAGGAGGTGCACCAATCCAGCAAAGCTTCCAAGAAGAAGACGGGAAAGAAGCTTTCGTCTGTTGCGGACCGTGATGGGGCCGTCCCAAGTGAAACTCAAGACGTTCACAAGCCGGCGCACCCTCTCAGCAGTGGTGCCCCTGAACTACAGAGCCATACGACCAATGGTGAATCGGCATTGACCAAAGAAAACAAGAAAAGCAAGAAGAAAGCGGCACAGCACGCGGAGATGCCTGCGTCATCAATATCTACGCCACGGACAGCGTCGCCAACCAAAGCTGTGCCGCCATCGAAAGACATCCCGCCGGGTGCAGAGTTGACCCCCTTTGATGACAATGCCCCCCAACCTGGCGGGGCTCATCCTTCGACGGCTTCGGCTATCGAGATGGACAACAAATCTGATGCAGTCACAGTGGGAATCTCCGGTGACTGGTTGGATAGAGAGCTGAAGAAGGTGGAACGTGCCGTGTCAACCGAATTTCGCAAGGAACTCAATGTTTTGTACCAGAACATCCAGAATGATCGTATGGTGCAAGACTCCTCATCTGTTGCACGTCAGGAAGCACTTCTTCGGCTGGTGTCTACCACCCTGACCAATAATGTGGAAAAGGCTCTATCCCGCATACTCGCTGCACAGATGCATCAATCCATGGTCCCGGCGCTCACGGGAGTCACTGTCCAAGCCGTGAGTAGCCAAGTAGGCGAAGCCGTGGCGAAATCTCTCCATTCGCTTGTTCCCCACGAACTTGGCGTTCAATTGCCCGTAGCAATCAATTCAGCTCTGCAAAGCCCCCAGATGAGCCGGACTATAGCGGAGACCATATCTCAAAGGATATCCAAACAGACCGAAAGCCAACTCGCCGACCTTTTGCTGAAGCAAGTCGTCCCAGCTTTCAAGACTCTCGCATTTTCGACTGCGGAGAAGGCAGCGTCCGAAGTAGAAGTTCGACTCCGAAATGAGATCCGCCAGTTGGAAAGTGACCGACGCCACGATATGAATCGACTGGAAAAGCTTGGTCAAGTTCTCCAAGCTACCGCAGAGACTCTGCAGCAGATGTCCGATACTCAGGTAGCCTTCCAAGGCCAGATTCTGAAGGATCGCCGCCAGCTAGCTCTTCTTGGGGAGAATAGCTCACCAGGCGCGTCACGACAAGTATCCACGGCTCGAATGACACCCTCTCCTCGGCCAATTCCTCAGCGAACAAAGACGAAGGAGGAATCAGAACTGGAAGAGATAGCTCAACTAATGAATGAGGGCCGCTACGAAGAAGGTTCAATCAAATGGTTGCAATCCAGCCAACCTGTGGAGCTTTTCGACCAACTTTTCATCCACTTCACTCCCGAATATCTGGCCACGGATGTGTCGCCTCTCATTGCTTTCTCGATTGCCATCACGATTGGCAATTCTCTAACAACCAATACCCTTCAAAGACTGGAATGGATTTCTGCTGCCTTCAATGCTGTCGATTCTTCTGTAAGTATTTTCATTCTGCGTGAACGGTATGCCATATGGCGCTAACCCAACTTGATGCAAAGGACCCAGAAATAGCGGACCTCGCACAGCATGCTCCAGCACTGCTGAGCTCCCTTATTCAGAAACTTGAGAGTCTTTACATGACAATGGCAGAACGCGATCCAAGAGATCCTGCCTTGCACATCATGCCAGCGGTTTCAAAGAAGGCGAAGGATATGAGGGCGTCGTTGCAGGACTCTGTGGGATACGGTCGGTCTGCCCCGACTCTCTAGAGAGAACTCGTCCGACGGTGAAGGAACTGTGCTCTCAAAGGGCAGAGTCGCAAGCACCGGAGCCGACGGCACATCGTAAGAGATCCATAACTTTTTGAGCATAAACGGGCTGATTACTTTTCTAGCCCATTTGTCCTTGGAGGGCTCTGCATGCAAGAGAGGGATGAGGAATTGAAAATTCCCCGAATCGATTTGGCCTTGTCCACTACAAGCAATTACTTTGGTATTGGCCATTCCAAAGTCATGACTGATCAGTGCAGAGATGGCTCGCCGGCTCGCTGGAGATATATATAAGATAGAGCGATAAAAATTCGGGGATTTAGTCCACTCAAGTCTCAACTGAGATCCAGCATGATCGAAATTTTTCACTCCACGTTGGTGCCATCGGGTGTACCGTTTCGTTTCCGCGGCCTCCAACGGTGAACCTCGATTAAGTTCTTATTCATTCACTTGTACCGTGACTCAACGTCGATGACCCCATCAAGATTGTGATGGAAAATTCGCTCCCTCAAAACAAGATACCTCCATAACGAAGACGCTGACTGATTTTGAAGTTGGCATTCCACGAGAAAATGGCCCTTGCCATCGTAATGAGAGATTTCAAGCCCACCTAAGGAGGAGGACATATTGGAGCAATAGCAATAGTCAGGCTTTATGGAACTGAAGCCTCTTGGTCTACTAACTATATTGGCAGAGCTGGCTTTGCTTGTGGTACCATTGCTGCCGCGCTGTCCGTTATGCTCCCTAAATCTCCAAGGCTGGACATATTCCACCACAATCGGGGAAAGAATGAAGCCAGATTGTCCAATTCTCTTAAACGCAAGCTATACTATCACATCGTTGGAGTAGGGAGTGCCTAAATCGACAAGCCGATTTTCCACACAACCAAGCTCACACTCATAGCACCACTGTCTCGGTGTCTTCTACGCCGAAGAAGAGCTGCATGGGGTCTTTGTACTGATAGAAACCACAAAAAGGGGGGCTGATACCGTAGCCGAGTAACCGTTGAGCCTTGGGGGAGAGAGATTTAGCTTTCTCTGGCGGGACGGCAAAGTACTGATTCTCTACCTGTCGGTACATTCCCTTCGCCAGGAAGATGCCAACAGTCTCCCGGGATTCGTCTCTAATGGGATGGGGGAGCATTAGCAAGGATGATCCGAGATGGGGGCCAGGGTGGGTTAAAAAAAAGGGAGGGAAAAAGAACGGGAAAGTCTTAGGCTTACGTGGTAGTATTTGCACCGCCGGCATGATAGGTGCTGCCCAAAAAGATGGTGGCATCGCCAGGTTCGAGCTCTGCGGGGACGGCTTCGTGGTCGTAGGGACAGCGATCGTCTTTCCAGAGGTGAGAGCCCGGAATCACGATAGTGGCACCATTTGCCTTTGTTGTTCTGGTCAATGCAGTCACACAGCCGATTAACATCGACTTGTCTGTGTCTCGAATGTGGTAGTCGATCTCGTCTCGATGCAGGCCCTGTTGCTTGGAGCCCGGATTCACCTGAAAGCCGACCGTGCTAGAAATTTGCGGTTTGGAGACCGCACTGTGCTTCTCCTGGCCAAGCCAGTATGTGAACTCGGAAGTGAGCATGCTGGAAGCCACGCTGTAGAAGAGCGGGTTCAATGCCAATTCGACACAAGAAGGCGAGATTGCCAGTAAGCCAACAGCTCGCCTTGTTGTTGTGGGGAAGAAGCCTGACTTGTCACCACTGTCAGCATCAAAGTGTGGTTTGAGATCGAGTCGAATTCGCTCAGCCATTTCTTTGGAGATAAGATTTGCGACGATGACGGCTCCGTCCCGCTCGAGGATCTCTTGCAAGTACTCAGCCGTGGTGGTAGGGTCTCGGGCATCCACTCGAACCAGGACTGGGCGTTTGGACGGAGCATCAACCATCTCAGAAGGGCTTGTTTCAGGAAAGGCGAACACCATGGTGATTCGAAGAGCGAGAATGCTTGATCTGGTGGATTGCTTCGGAGGACAGTGGAATGTAGGGGTTGTTGTTAGTGATGGCAAGATTGTTGATGTTAATCATATGAGGAAAGAGATGACCCCAATGATATGAGACAGACCTGAATATTTATCTCCAGTCCATCCCAGGTTAGCACCGGAGGGACATTAAGGCACGAGGCGGACCTTCACGGTTTGTAGTTTAACTCATCCCTTGGCTTGTGATCGGTCTGTCACGTTGCATTGCACGTTGAATAGAGAAGAGATGTTTGAGTACAGATTGATTGATTATGAGGGCTCGTGGTGGTGATGGGCTGCTGTGGAAAGATAACCCTCTTTGGGATAACGGCGGGAGTTGAGGATAATCCCCATTTATCCCGTCCATCCCAGTGGACGGATTTTTGGCTCCACATCATCCCCAGGTTGATAAAAAATCCGAGATGATCATCCGATAACACATCGATTAAGTAATGTGCGGAAAATCCGAGGAGGTGAACACTCACTAGATCCTAGATCCTCCCAAAGAAGACACGGAAGGTAAAGCTAACAATGGCTGAGATACGGACGAGAGGAATGATGAATGTCATTTATGGGAGAATTCCCCGTGATGGTACCAAGGATGGCGACATTGGGCGGTGGAAGCTTCGTCCTGTAACATGTTGCAGAGCTAAATTCAACATCATGAGTTCAGATGGCGCGCCTTTTAGTAATGACCACCTTGCCACTCTTCGTCCCTGCTTTGCTCGCTCTCCGTGCTGCTCATGCTCGAGTTTCTCTTCAAGAGATCAGTTAGAGAGACCTTCTCCCCGCGTTTCAATGCACTTTCGATCTCCTGTCGCCGACGTCGGCCCAGTTTGCAGTGGGCAGAATAGACACACCTTCTCTTTTCCTCGGGACAAAATCCGCCCGTCCAGAATTTGTCGCCCTCGCATGAATTCCCGAAAAGATCCAGGACAAGAACGAAAAGCACTAGCGTAGTCGTGATTGAAATCAGGTCCAACGATGTCAGCGAATCCGCGAGGGGAAGACAGATGATGATGGTGGCCACTCCGACCCGAATCATCAGTCGTGGTCGCTTGCGGAGCCGGGTCTTCGCCAGTCTCTTGTGAATGTGACAGAATGAAATCAGAGCCATTGAGATTAACGCGATTCCCAGGCCGCCACAGTAGAACCATCGGAGCGCGTCGCTAACCATTGGTTCGCTTCTTTCCTCGTAATGCTCTCCCAGGTCCTCTGGATTGGCGTCATCACAATCATGAGCGAGTACTAGTTGTGAAAGCGTGGATGCTGCAAGAACGTATCCCATGATGAATGGCAGATGTGCCGATGTCCACACCGTACTACTAAGCCAGTGCCTTCTTATAGCGTGAACGTGTACGAAATATGCGTCAATTTCAAAGTAGATCCTAAGGTGATGTGAGAAAAAAAAAAAAAAATTGGCCACAAGGTCGTGTTCAGAGTAAATACCAATTAAACGTAAATGCCTGGATTAAACCAAGGACTCCTTTGCCAAAAAATGCATTGATTCCAAACGAAGCTTTGGATTGAAATAGAATGGTGAGGATAGAATAGCCAAAGACCTGGATGCTTGCGTTAGTGGCGCACAACCAGGATGCTGGCGAGGTCCACTCACCAATGATACAAATGCATTGTTGCGCTCAACGCGGTGTTCGATGTTGACGGCAGGAAAGAATTCAAACCATTTTGCAATCGGCTTCATGAAAGTATTCCGACCTGCTTCTTTCATAATGTAAACCAATAGTATGCCGCCAAAGATGTCAACTGCAAGAGCAATGAAAATCAACGCCAGTTGATTCGGCCATTCCACGTGGATGCTTCCAATCCAGATCACGACGGAGATGACAACCATGACTGCCAGACTCACCATCGCCCCACGGATAGTCGGAAGCAGAATTGCCACGCTGAGATACCATATCGCCCCGAACAACCTTTGAGTAATATAGAATGCGATGGCGGAGGTGTAGGTCGACTCAAATGCGTATGCAATGTTCGTTGTGAAGCCGAAAAGACAGACGAGGTAGAAAATAACGTTGACCCTTTGGAAGATGTCATCAATCTCGAAATGGTTGATGATCATGGTTAAGTCGGACCAGATCTTCCAAGCAACGGAGAAGATGATGACGAAATGAAGGAGCGACAGTCCATCGGGATGCTCAACGGCTCTTTCACCCACGATATCAATCACACCGACGTACACTAGATCAACGAATAGCTCGAATGAAGCCACCTCTCCGGCTTTGGCGGATCTCCAGAGGAGCCCTTTATGGAAATATTGTCGGATGACGGGTCGTCGAATAAATTTGAGAGCCTCAGTTGAACGGTCCTTGTGCTTGTCGCTGGCGGAAGGGTGACCGCTGTGGACCGAGGTCGTCTCGGAATCTTCGTCTTTGGTCCTGAGATGTGCTGAGTACCCGTAGCGATCAAACGACGCATCGAGAGACACGGCATGGGCAGTTACTTGATGCAACTCAGCGGCAAGAGCGTCCAATTCGGATTTGACATGTTCGATATCTGAATACAGGTCTCCGTGGTGATTCATTAGTTCGTCCCGTCGCGATTCATGATGGGCGTGTAATTCGCGAATGGCCTCCACGTGCTCGGCAGAGCCTTGAAGAATGACATCAAATTCGTCGAGGGACTTCTCCCGGAGTAACTCGTTCCGCTTTTGTTCTAAGAATCGGATTGGTCGATGTCGATGTCTTCAGAAGCAGGCGCGATACTCACCTAAGTGTAGGGGATCACGGCAAACATGCAATGTTTTCCCTGTATGAGGATGAACAAACTCCAGGAAGCGCCTGCCGTGACCGTGGATATGAGGTCGGTGATGATGGTGGTGCTCACGGTGATTGGGGCTGGCTGTGCCGTCGGTCTTGAGGTAGCTCTCTGGTGTCGAAGTCATTTAGACGGTTCAGCAAGCAAGGCTGAGAGCGAAAAATTGGAATCCAGAATAGATGCGATACTTGAGGGCGGATCGTGAGAACTGGGGCTTCTAGGACGAGACGGTGTGAATTTTTGACAGATCGGTGGGTGACTGGCTTTCCTGAAGGGGGAGATTTGATGCCTGACTAGGAGCGAACCGCAAGGGCAAATCAAAACGCAGAATTGGAATGCCGGTGGGGACTTCCAAGGCTTTGTCAGCAGCCTAAAGAAGGGCAGGGGCCCCCTGTTCGCTTCCATTCTGGCCAGTATCAAAAACAATCATTGGCGTTAGAAGATAGCCGAAACACCACAAGCGCAATCTATCCCATGAGGGTGGCGGCGTATCAATGTAGCATATACCCGTCACATCAAATTCCTGATTCGTGCAACAGTCTAAGGAGTAGGACGCGGCACTCCGTCAACTTCCAGCCGCCGTTGCCGCTTTCAAACCCATCTGTCTACGCATAATGAACGGGCCGCCATACTGCTGAAATCAGGAGCGGCTTTCCATCCTGCAGAGCTCCACTACTCCATGCCAAAGACATGTATTGGGTATCATTCCGTTGTCATAACTTTCCCCAGCTCAAACACAAATCTCAAACTCAGACATCGTGCCATTTTAGTAAATGAATAGCAAGACCGCAATCTAGGGGCGCCGTTCTCTGCGTCTCTGTGGTGCTCGGACGGAATCATCCGATTCAACGGTGGAGAGATTATCCACCTCTGGGCTTCCCGACCGCCTTCGCTTCGCTGGTGGTCGAACTGTATCTTCCGACTGTCGCGGCTTTTGGAACATTTGGATTAAAACCGAACCCTCTTCTTCTGCATTTACCACATCGGATTTATGCGAGCTGTGATGCCCTGTTATGCTGCCGTTGGATTCATGACTTAAGAATGATGTCTTTCTTCTCGATCTGTTGCTGGCTTTAGGCTTTAGGCGGTCTGGCGTTGTTTGGAGCGTTCGCTTGGAAACCAACGCGGCCCATTCGGTAGATGTTGGGGATACAGCCTCGGCGCTACTAGACTTGCCTAGCTGCGGCCGCAAATCCTCGAGGTAAGTCTCGATCTCGTCGAGTTTCTTATTTGTAGATGCATGGTATTTTGAGTAGTTTTTGATGGAGCGTGTGTGCGACATCTGCAGTTTTTTGATATCGTTGACAATATTGTCACGAGTCTTGCGGAATTCTCGAACCAGAGAATCGTAATTTGACCGCGCGTGTGTTCTGGCCCCATCGATATTTTCTTCGAGTGCCCGAAGGCGTTCGTCCTGTTCCGCGGTGAACTCCTCTGCCATATGAGAGGGTTGCTCAAGTCTGCTGCGTAAGTTCTGCACTTCGGCCTCGACCTTCCCCAATCCCTGTTCAAATTTAGGTAGCGTCGGAGCTACAACACCTATCATTTGGCGAGCAAGAGTCTCGCTAGTCAGGTTGTCGAAGCGGTGACTTTGCCACTGTGACAGGTGAACTTGCTTTTCGAGTCCTTTCCGCAACGTTTCAAGTTGAGACTCTAATTCGCGAATTCTGGGGACAAGTGCGGCAGCCGATTCGAGGGTCTGAAGGTGCTCGTTCGATAATTGAGGCACGTCGAGTCGAGATTTCGAACCCTTTTCAACTTCCATTAGCTGTTGTTGAATACTCTCGAATTTCGCACGCAAGTCTCGCTCGGTACGTTTGATATCTTCCACTATGAGCGCGTCACGGGCATTGTTGGCGCGATCGACCTCCGTGGTGAACTTCTCAAATTTGTCGTCCATTCGAGAGGCTAGGGCATTCGCTGCTGCATCGGTGTGGCTGGCGAAAGATTTTGACATTTCGGATTTCGCACCGGCGAGAGCGGACTCGAACGACTGGAGCTCTTCGTGCTGCTTTTCCAGAAATCTTTGTAGAGTGTGCACCTTATCAGATTGGGCTTCACTGGATTTTTGTAGGTTGCCGACCTCGTTTCTAAGGGTATTTGTTCCGACTTGTAAATCCGCGGAGCTTGTCTTCACCCTTTCTAAGCCGTATTGGATGTCCGAGAGCTGTGAACGAAGCGCCGCTTGTTCCGCCATATCCTGCGAGGTCTCTTTAAGCAGAGTCGCCAGATTAGTTTCGACTGCTTGGCACCGATTGCGGATCGTCTCCTCCTTGAGATAGGTGCTTTTATGCAAACGGTCCAAACGGTCTGGTAGCTCGTCTAGTGATTTGAACTCGTTCCGTACTTTTTGCACCTGTTCCGCCGTTTCTTTGCGCAGTTCGTCGACTAGCGCATCGCTGGTTCCAATATCTGATCTTCGGACGCTTCGCAGTTCTCGCAGCTCCTCCTCCATTTGCTTCATCTTGTCTTGAAGGACATTGAGATGGGTTCGGATCCTCTCGTTCTCGGCCACTAGATTGGCAATTCGAGAGGCCGCTAGGTCTGTGCCTTCATTCTTGGAGTCATGTTGAGACCGGAGGTTATCCAAATCTCTTTGAAGAGTGCTTATCTGAGTAGTCAGAAGCCGCTGGGTGTCTCTAGCAACAGCATCGACCAAAAGCCGTACGAGATCCTGAGCTGAGATATTTTCGGCTGCGCGAGACGCGCGGAGCTCTGTCTTGGCAGACTCACAGATAGAGTCGATCTTCTTCTTCCTCTGAAACGCCTGCTCAATGACGATAGGAAACTGTGCAGATGTCTTTTGAGATCGGTCATACTCCGCCTGTGCGGTCTTTGCTTCGGTTTCGAGATAGCTCGTCTTGCGTTTAGCAAGGGCGCTGTCTATGACATTCGACAATAATGTGAGAATTGATTTTGGGAGGTCACCAAAATCACTCAGTGTCGAGGCAGCAATTTCATCATTGGTACTTTGATTCTTTCGCGGTGTATTTGCACCGGAATTGTCTCTTTCTGCACCTCGATTGAGGGTCATAGCTGGCTCGGCATTGTTGTAAGATGTCGTCCGTGTTCTTCTGCGTGGGTCTCTTGAGGGACCAGACGTGTCGGAGGATTTTGGCATTTTAAGGGTCGGGACATGTTCACAAACGCTTCATTGACGCACGGCCGTCTATGAACGCGTTCGAGGTTCAATTACTGGTGAAATTGCGGGAACAGAGAAGTGGTGGCTGGATCAGCAGATTCTGGTTCAATGAAGAGACAATCGAGGAGGAGCATAGACGCGTCTGACGGAGCCTTCAGTTGACTCTGTATGCCTCAAATGGGAAATGAGAGACACCTGAGTAGAGTGGTGAAAAAAAGGTGGCAAGCGATCCCCGCTGAAACGACCCATCAAAAAACTTCCCGCTGCTTATCCCCAACAGCCAAATAGGCAGGTTTTCCGGAGGTTTGCACGTGGTTGAACAATTCAGAGTTGTTAATGCGTTTCTCGACCCTTTTCCATTGTCACACTCTCATCTCGACCTCCTCTACCAAAATGGCGGCAGTGAGTCTTTGGGATCCCTTCTAACCTGCCGATTTACTAACTTCGCGCCAGCCCATCACCACGGTGTCGGACAGCCGCGAGGTTCGAGGCCTCAATCTCATTGCTGCGCATTCCCACATTCGTGGACTGGGGGTCGACCTAGCAACCCTTGAGCCTCGAGGCTCTTCCCAGGGACTGATCGGGCAAGAGAAGGCACGAAAAGCGGCCGCGGTCATTCTGCAGATGGTCAAGGAGGGCAAGATTGCAGGGAGAGCCGTCCTGGTCGCCGGGCCTCCCAGTACAGGGAAAACGGCCATCGCGATGGCAATGGCACAGTCTTTGGGCCCTGATGTACCTTTCACGATGCTTGCATCTTCAGAGATTTTTTCACTCGAAATGTCCAAAACAGAGGCACTGACACAAGCCTTCCGAAAATCCATTGGTGTCAGAATCAAGGAAGAAAGTGAGATCATTGAAGGCGAGGTGGTGGAAATACAGATTGACCGGAGTGTCTCAGGGGTGAGTGAGACAATTGACGCCCACGGTGGCCTCGGAGCTAATAGAATTGTTACCAAGGGGAACAAACAAGGGAAACTTACGATCAAAACGACCGACATGGAAACCGTCTACGATATGGGAGCCAAGATGATCGATTCAATGACCAAAGAAAGAGTCATGGCCGGAGATGTAATATCGATTGATAAGTCTTCGGGCAAAATCACCAAATTGGGGAGATCGTACACCAGATCAAGAGACTACGATGCCATGGGCGCCGACACGAAATTTGTGCAATGTCCAGAAGGCGAGCTACAAGTTCGCAAGGAGGTTGTTCATACGGTCAGTCTTCACGAGATCGATGTAATCAATTCTCGGACGCAGGGATTCCTTGCGCTTTTTTCGGGCGATACTGGTGAAATTCGAAGTGAGGTGCGCGACCAGATCAACACCAAAGTTGGAGAGTGGAAAGAGGAGGGGAAAGCCGACATCATTCCCGGCGTGCTATTCATTGACGAGGTGCACATGTTGGACATCGAGTGTTACTCCTACATAAATCGCGCATTGGAGGCGGACCTGGCACCCATTGTCATTATGGCAAGCAACAGAGGGAATACTCGCATTCGCGGAACGACGTACAACTCGCCTCATGGCCTCCCTCTGGATTTTCTCGACCGTGTGGTCATCATCAGCACCCAACCCTATTCACCCGAAGAGATCTCCCAGATACTGGCTATCCGTGCCCAGGAAGAGGAAGTCGATCTCTCCGCTGATGCACTTGCCCTCCTTACGAAAATCGGTCAAGAGTCGGGTTTGAGATATGCCAGCAACATCATCACCACGTCCACATTACTTGGTCAAAAACGCCGAGCCAAAGAAGTAAGCATTGAAGACGTCCAGCGAAGCTACAGACTATTCTATGACCCGGCAAGATCTATCAAGCTCGTCAGCGACTTCGAAAAACAGTTCATCAATGAGAATGGAGAGGTCAATTTTGCTGTGAACGGTACTAATGGAACTCATGGTGATGCAATGGATACTGCTTGAAATGCACAGTGCATTGGAACCATGGAAATTAAATGCGACATCTCATGATCACCGAGAACGTCTGACCAGCGCGGCGCATGAGGTGAGAGCAACCATGTCTCACATTTCAATCGCGCGCAAAGCAAGCAAAGGCATCGAGACACACGCCCGGTTTAGGCGACTGGGAGCTGAAGCCACGTGCCCGATTTTTGAGGACATACAACAGCCGACTGCCGCCTTGAAATCCTCGGGACCGCCTGTCCGTCCAATGACTCTTGATTTTGATACTCGATGCTAGATTCAGACACATCCATGAGGATTCTTGGTAATCCAGTGTACAACAGGGAACGGAATCTACCAAGGTGCTCTCGGCACTGCCTGGAGCCATGGCGAGATAGAAAATATGGGTATTTCCTGCATTCATGTTCTTGGTTCTACCTCTCCACCTGTCAGGCTAAATTCTGGTGTTTCGTGGTGAATGTTTTGGCTAACGCCGCCTTCTGGTCGGTTCTTCCCATAATCTCGGTTTGTGTTCCTGACAGCGCACAGAATTTGAAACTATGGCCATTCTTCTAGAGAGGGGTCCATGAGTGATGCATTCACTGGTTTCAATCCTGGAGGTCTGTAGTAAGCATAGGATTCGTTGGAGAACTTCTCTGTTCCAAAGAAAATATTCCCTTCTGGCGATAGTCAGCTTTCCGTCTGATCGTTGAAAGGTTTATGATGGAGATATAAGGCACGAATTTGTTAACATAAGGAGTGAATTATGGCGTCTGTTTCGACAGAGGTACGAGACGGATGTGTGTTGTTCAATGTCGACATTCCCTAGGTCCAAAAGTCCAAATGGGTCGTGAGAGAGCTAGTTCTCCGAAATCATCAAGCACGAAGAAGGCAGTCCATTACTTCAGGTCGATATCCTGGTGCATGGACTGTGCAGAGAAAGAATTGGCCACAAACACTGAGCAGGTTAGTCATAAAACAATAAATGCATCACAACATGTGTTCTCTTGCTAATCATCCAGGTGAGGACTAGGCTCACTTCTCTTGAAAGGAGCGTCCGGACCCGAATATCGATTTGACAGGCTTCTCCATCACTGACATCCACATGGTTTGGCCCGATGCGGACAAGCTTTCCATATTTTTCATATAACCTCGATGGAATTCCTTCATAACCTTCGGCAGCCACTTGGTATGTTTCCAAAAGATTTGTGAAGGACACAACGCACGTTCCAGGGAATTTGGACAAGACGTACAAGAAGGAATAATAACGCAAGGACACAGATACAGTGTAGAACGATGACGATGCCACATCCCAAGAAATGAGGAATGCAGGCGCAGACTAGCTCAAAAGAGAGCATGATTAATTCCTGACCGATATTTCTTTTTTCTGGACAAAGAGAATGTTAATTATTGAGAGAAGCGACACGCAGAAGGGACATAATAGCTCGACCAATATTGCCGGAGTTCGCCTGTGCATCTCCCATGCTCCTAAAACCGAGGCCAGTGATAAGATTGCATGTTTTTTAGCTGCCCACGGTCAGACAGCCAACTACGGCTGCAGAGATTCAACGCGCAAACAAAGTTGTGTGTGTTGATGAATGTTGTCAGAAAGAGATTCGAAAGAAGGGCGGAGTTCTGGGGCTGGAGAAGGCAACACGGATTCGAGAATCAATCCGCTTGATCGGTACGGTGATCACCAAAGAATGGTGTCGTGTCGTATATGCTGTTGATATTGTACAGACAAACTCACATCGTCGAGGTCAGGGAAATAAGGTCCACCGAGTAGTTGGTGACGGAACAATGTTGATCCGGGAAAATTAAAAAAATAAAAAGGTTTGCAGACTATGGCTGATGGCCATTTTTTGTATAGACTTCGGTTCGCTCTTTGCCGGCCGCGTTCTGTGTATCAATATGCATCTTCCCTCGACTGCGCATACACCCTGAGCTTCATGCTCTACTCCTGTCGCTGTCACTCGGCCCTGTTCTGTTTCGTTACTGCAGTCGAGAACTTCGTTTCGCAATTTTACCGTCTCCTCGTCTTCACCAAATACCATGCCGTCAAACCTCATTGACATCCAAAATCATGGCAGATCGAATTCCTTTCCTTGAGCCACTAAAGACAATTCATGAAACACGTGCCACTGAGGATTTCGGTACGACTCTCTTCTCTTGACCGTGGATCTGATACTGATATCGGGCGTCTAGTCAAGGCATTTGTTGTTGAGATCCCTATCAAATTGACAAGTAAAGCACTCAGGTATGCATGTTTTCCTTGGAAAAAGCACGGTCCAGAACTAACCACCTCTGCCGTCTATCAGCATTGTCAAACCCGTCATTCCTTCTGGCGGCCAGCATCCTTCATTTAGCCACCTTCGACGTGTGTGTACGCTATCACACTTACCTCTGGATCTGACCTGGCGCCGTGATTATGACTCCGGGGTCCTTCAGACGGTGTTTCTTATACTACCAAATACTGGGGTCCCCTGGGAGGATATACAAGCTATTCTCATGCCCCACATCGACGTTGAAGGACTTCCTCGTTGTTTCGATGCTGTGGTACCACGATTGGCGCCCTTGAGTGCTGAACAAGCCACGCTTTGGACTGAGAGGTACTGGCCGTCAATCTTCAATCCGTCTTCACAAGTCATCCAGGATGCACCGCCTCTCGACCAGCTTCGCCGTGTGCGGACCGCTCTCGAAGTACGAGGTGCGGACAAGTATATGAAGTTGGCAATCAGAACCGCAGTCGAATCTGAAGAAGGTGGGCATGGAAGATCCGTCGGCGCCGTGGTGGTTGATCCGGATGCAGGAGCCGTTGTGGCTGTCGCTGGGGACGCCCGTTGGTGGTCTGACGACTCCGAAGTCCACGAATCATTGATGGCAAGTCATGGAGAAGGGAGACCAGAATACCATGCCGTTATGAGGGTCATTGCAATGGTTGCCAACAAGGAACTTCGACGACGTATCAAAAATGGATCTCACCATAATTTTCTCGCCACTTGTTCCGAAACGCCATCCGGCCAGGCCCTCACCACCATCGAAGCACGCTACGAGGATGAGAACAAAGTCCTTCGGGACCTCGCAGCTGGACCTGGTAACGTTGCTCTCGATGAAGGCGACGGATTGCCCAAGAAGCAGTCAGAGTCCCGTCCCGATGCCTACCTTTGCAACGGACTGGACCTGTATCTCACTCACGAACCCTGCGTATGCTGTGCTATGGCCATGATTCACTCCAGGTTCAGAGCCTGTGTCTTCGCTCGAAGAATGCCCGCGAGCGGCGGCCTTTGTGCCGAAGCTGGCGGTCAGAAACCGGGATATGGCCTTTTCTGGCGCCGGGAGCTCAACTGGAGGGTCATGACTTTCCAGCATAATCAGGCATCGGCGTTGGGAGTCGGAAATCGAATTGACACGGGAATATTCCATGCTTAGGAGGTCAACCATTCGGAATATCAGACTCTTTTTTTTTTTTTTTCCCTTTCTTTTTCAGGCAAACTCGGCCACTCTGGTCCAGTCGCCACCACCTTTTCTACGGAACTCGACGCCTTCACCAAAATAACCAGCATCATTCCATTGCTTCATGGTATTGCCGTCATATGGCCCATTTATTGCTCCACCATCTCTGGAATCAGTCCACCGATACTCCCACAGTTGTTCCATAGAATTCGTGTCATGAGCTTCATCGGGCTTAGGAGTATCAACCCATTCCTCACCCGTTTCTTTCCGGTATTGACGAACGAGCAGTTCCCTTTCAGTGTCGTAGATTTCTGTTTGACCTCGAGATAACAAAATGTCAGCAGCGCCGGTCATCACCTCAATCTTTTCTCTCCGAGCCTTCTCTGTCGCATTGGCTTCAGGCACGGGGAATTCCACAGAGGGCCCGTTCTGTTTCTTGTTCTTGTTTTTCGTTTGCCACTTAGGTTTCTTTTCTTTGCCTTTTCCAAGACGTGCGAGGGCTTCCAGAACAGTTTCGCCGCGCTCCAGGAGCGGTATCAATTTGTCCAAAGTCTCCCCGGTTGATTTAGCATCATCCTCCAGATCACGTTTTCTTCGTTCCTCCTCGCGCTTGTCAGCGGCTTCTTTAGCTTTCCGCATCTCCTTTTTGGACATGCCCTCCAGCCAGATATCGTGTTTTGCATCAGGATCTGCTGCTTTTCGAACATAATTCCCATCCTCATCGAATCGGCCTTCCTCTTGCTCCGCGCTCATGTTGAAGGCATCCAATTTGGGTGCATGAGACTTCTTGCCTCCAGCTCCAAGTTCAGGGTCGAGTTCCCCGATGCTGGCTCGTGTCGCCTCATCGACTTCGCTGTCGCTGCTGCTTTCAATTTCGCGATATTCTTCTCTCCCCTTACCCTTTCCACGTCCGTTGAGAGTGAAGTCTGCCGAAACATGTCCACCGCTCCTTGAACTTTTAATTTGCCCCGTTATCTCGTCTTCGTTGAGAAAGCGAACAGCCTTTTTCTTGCCTCCTCGTCTGCCAGCATCACCTTCAGAGTCATCTCCATCCTTGAAATCCTCTTCTAGATCGGCGAACATGTCATTCTCGTCTTCTGTCTTGGACTTTGCTCCCTTCTCTTTTGCCCTGGCGTCTGCGCGCATGTTGAAATTGTCATTGTCTGAGTCCGAATCATAGCCGTCAATTTTTACTGCTCCACGTTTTACTTGTTGTCCTCGGCTTCCGATCACGTCTGCTTCTAGGATGGCATCGTCCTCTGGTGCATCGGGAGCTAAAGCAGATGGGTTGCGGAGGTCGAATCGCGGTTTCTTGGTCGGTTGGCCACGGAAGTCTTCTTGGTCCCGAGTCCAAACATAATCATCGGCTGCTCGTTTTGAGCGTCCAGAATTCCAAGCCATGTTTACGGTGTAGTGTAACTGAAAGCGTAGCTGGGCATTTAAAGGCCATGGAGGCACATGAGAAAAGGAAAAGGGGGGAAGGTGAAGATTGCTGCTGAGCAATGAATTTTGGGCTGGAATTCTCAGGTCTCCAAATTAGCTGCAAGGCGACACGCTACGTCACACATAGCAAGCCTCGGGGCTACTCTTTTCAGCTTCACAACACTTGGACGTGATTTTTCTCTCTCCTGTTTCAAAAGTTGCCTCTCTTTATTCTTAGCTTGAGTCCTTTCCATATCAGTCCTGACATCGAAAAATCGCCCTCATATCCATCTACGGCCCTTGCCGTTTACAAAACAACTTGTGGTCCAGCCTACATGGTGAGCTTTTCGCTCCATTACCTCGTCGCAAAAACTCTAACGCTCCCAGGCTTACTACCAAGGAGACATGATGGACTATCCATCATTCCTCCGAGGTGTGCCTCCAGTGGGCATGTCCATGAGACGATTCGACGAGTACTACCGCTGTTACCCGGTGGTGATGATGAACGGACCTGACCGAAAGAACGTAAATTTTGGCGGCAAGGTGTTCTTACCGCCCTCAGCGCTTGACAAACTGACAAAGCTGCACATTGCATATCCTATGGTTTTCGAGCTCATCAATGGAAATGTTGGCAAAACCACTCATGCGGGAGTACTCGAGTTCATAGCAGAAGAAGGCAGGATATATCTACCGCAATGGGCATGCTTCTTCTCTCTCCTAGCTGCGGCCACATGCTAATGTTGAGAGGTAGTTAATGAAGACTCTCGATCTAGATCCAGGAGATCTTCTTCAGATCAAATCGACCGATTTGCCGCCTGGGAAATTCATTAAACTACAGCCTCAGTCGCCTGCGTTCCTTGACATCTCCGACCCCCGAGCCGTCCTTGAAAACGCCTTCCGAAATTTCTCCTGCCTGACGAAGGGCGACATCTTTACCTTCGAATACAACGATCAGACGTATGATATTGCTGTATTGGAGATCAAACCAGACACGGATTCACACGCCATCGTGACAATGGAGACTGATTTGGAGGTTGACTTCGCCACGCCAGTAGGGTACGTGCCGCCAGAGCGCACGAGTGGTACCAGCACGCCGAGGAGCGGCATCGGAAGACCTCATGGTGGCCCAGTCCACTTTCAAGGGACAATGGCACAATCAATCAACTATGCTAGTATTGCGCCTTCATCGAACACAGTCACAGCTGGAGCCAAAGCTGTGTCCTCGAACTTTCTCTCTGGTGGTCACAAGCTCAGTTCGAAGAAAGGTTCCAAAGCCTCGACACCCAACCCTTCAACGCCCGTCGCGGGGGCATCAGCGAACCCCTCGAAACCCCTCACGACAAGACGGTCTAATGTTCCGCAGCCGTTGAGACTGCCACCGGGTAAACTCTTCTTTGGTTACGAAGTGAAGCCTTTGCGTAAAAGAAATGAAAATGGAGAACCAGTGACGGGTGATGAAGTGAAACCACGGTTTCAAGGACAAGGGCAGACACTAAGAGCCAAAAGAAGGGTAGCTGGAACGGACAGTGGGATTGGCAGTGGAGTGAACAGTGATGCAGAGAAACCCAAGGGCAAGAATACTGGTACTGGCAAGGGGCGATCCTTGAGATGATAATCAAGTCAAGACTCCTGTTGATTAATTTCCCATCTTGCACAAGGGATGGCGTTTTCCAGAGTTGCGGGGGCAGAAATTTGCCATAGACTAGATGGGATGAGCTATGAGGCATCAACTATTGAAACGGCATGTATGCGAGTACGGAAGGCTCTGGCTGGTTTATCATGAGACTAGAATCACCAAAAATAGCCTTTCATCAGGGACGAGATAATGCTATTTCGTGTACCTCCTGACTGCACGTGATATTGTTCGCCATGCATGGTAGTCTTACCAAAAGGTTTGAGTTGCCGGGGGGGGGGGTACTTTCGACATCACTCATTTTCGATGCGCTCCTCTCCTGATTTTCCGTTTTACACGCGAGATGTTGGCTTGTCATTTTCTGTACTCAGATCATGATAGTCATGAAAGATGCCGTCATCAATCGACCCTGCGATCCTCCACGCCTTGTCCTTGCAGGGCGACACGAGCATAATCTCTATTCACGGCGGCTCTGGCTTTGCTTCAACTTTCCGAATAACCACGCCCTCAACATCTGTTTTCGTCAAGACATCATCCTCTCCTGGAGCGGCCGTCATGTTTGAAGGCGAACACGCTTCCCTGAATGCTATCCACGACGCTGTTCCCCGCCTGTGTCCAAAGTCCTTTGCTTGGGGAAAACTAGATCGAGGCGGATACTTCCTCGCAACCGAGTTTCTTGAATTTGGTGCCGGAAGGCTCTCAAGGACTCGAGGTGGAAGTTCCGGAAAAGGAAGTGGAATGAGTCTCGCAGAGAAATTGGCCCAGTTACATTCCACCCCTGCCCCGACGCCGGAAGGTCACGATTCGCCGCGGTTTGGCTTCCCCGTCACAACGTGCTGTGGAGATACTCCTCAAGAGAACGAATATACATCTTCCTGGGCCGAATTTTTTGCGAATGAGCGACTCCTCGCTATCTTGAAGAGAAGCGAGAAGAACAACGGCCGGGACCCTGAGTTGCGCCGCACGGTTGAAAGGACAGTGCAGGAGGTGGTCCCCAGGCTGCTCGGGGACGGTCATCTTGGCGGCAAAGAAGGCATACAGCCGGTTGTGGTACACGGCGATCTTTGGTCCGGGAACAAAGGCAAAGGCAGCTTTGTCGGCCGGGATCAAGCTTCTTCTGACGAGGCCAACGCCATAGAGGACGTCGTTTTCGACCCCTCGGCGTGTTACGCACACAACGAGTACGATTTCGGTATCATGAACATGTTCGGCGGCTTCTCGCCAGGCTTCTGGAAAGAATATCACGCCATCGTCCCCAAGACTGAGCCGGTCAGCGAATATCCAGACCGTGTAGCGTTATATGAGAGTTACCACCATTTAAATCACTATGCCATCTTCGGAGGTGGCTATAAATCCGGGGCAATGAGCATCCTGAAAGGCCTCCTGAAGAAATATGGCGATCGGTGAGAACTTTTACTCGGTTCCAGCAGTGTGAGAACTCTCCGGAGCCAGGTGGTTAGGAAGACAAAACACCTCTCCCTTCCTTTTAGTTTCTATTTCCTGGTAGTATCACAACCCTCGCACCCAACACAGCAACCAGAATCTTACGGATGTGTAGTCGACTTCGAGGGCCGATGATTAAAAGATTTCGTGATTACATAATACTTAGATACGTCACCGCAGAGTCCTCTTCACTGATCCTCCAATTCTTTTCAAACAACACGCCTGTAATTGTATTCGCCCATTCGCGGTCTAATCAAGCACTGTTCTCTCCATGACGGCCACCCGTGTTCTGGTCCTCGGAGGACACGGCAAAGTATCCCTACTCTTGCAGCCAATGTTGCTAGCTAAGGGATGGAACATTACCAGCGTTGTCCGAAACCCCGATCACGAAGCCGAAATCCTAGCTCTCGGGAAAGATCAGCCCGGAAAGATTGAAGTTTTGGTGGACAGTTTGGACGACGTTAAGCACGAGTCGCAGGCACGGCAGGTATTGAACAAGGTCAAGCCAGACATTGTCGTGTGGTCCGCCGGTATGTCGATGCAACGGATGCGATCCTCACTCTTTCTTGACAAATTCAAGGTGCCGGGGGAAAAGGCGGCCCCTCCAGAACTCATGCAGTTGACATGGTCGCTGCGAAGGCCTACATCTCGGCCTCCCTCGCGATGCCCAGCGTCTCGAAGTTTCTCCTGGTCTCTTATATCGCCTCTCGCAGGGGTTATCCGCCTTGGTGGACGGCGGAGGATAAGCAGGCAGCAGATCATGTTAACACCAAGGTGCTACCGCATTACTTTCAGGCAAAGGTCGAAGCGGACGAGCATCTGGAGGCTTTGGCGAAAAAGCGACTAGACAGTGGTGATGCCGCCTTCCAAGCCATCGACTTGAGACCAGGAACGTTGACTGATTCTCCCGGAACGGGAAGAGTATCCCTAGGAAAGACGTCTTCTCGAGGGTCTGTCCCTCGCGCGGACGTGGCGGCTGTAGCTGCGGCGCTGCTCTCCAGGAAGGATACTCGTGGTTGGTTTGACTTGTTGGAAGGCCATTCCAACATTTCAGAAGCAATTGATGAGCTGGTCAAAAATGGACATGACGGTCTAGCCGGGGAAGATCTAGATCGCATCTATTCGAGAGCCCTATGAGTTTCTAGTTGAGAGAACTGGGGAGTTTTGGATGGCCGAGGAGGGTTGGTGCTCTACGCTGCCCAACCAGGGGTGATGGTGTTGAATCATGCTATCATCAAGACGGTGACTTTTCGTATTGTAGATACTCACCATTGCTACTGGCCATCTATGCTCGGCCCTGACAATATCTCAGCAGCGTCCATCTCCGATGATTATCAGTTCACCCCGCCCACGTGTGATGATCTATTCTGATACAAAAGAATCCCATGAAAGTGGGGAAGATGGTCTAACCGTCTGGTTTCGTCTTGCTTTGGAAATTCCTCATCTTGCAGAATATGGGTTCATCACATCCAGACGCGGACATCTATCCAGAGGCCACAGGTCCTGCGGCTCGCATTGTCGCCAAGCACCAGAAGGATGAGCCGATCACGCTATATTCGGGCTGGTTTTGCCCATTTGTGCAAAGGGTCTGGATCACTCTCGAGGAAAAGAAGATTCCATACAAATATGTCGAAATAAATCCTTACCGCAAGGAGCCAAGGTAAAACACGAGATGACTTGTCTGGCGGGTCTTTGCTTATTGGTGTGAAATAGCTTCCTCAAACTCAACCCTCGCGGCCTCGTCCCAACTCTCGGTTGTGCTAGTGGGAAGGATGGATCTCAGAAGCCTCTGATCGAATCCAATATCATTTCGGAATACTTGGACGAGACATACCCAGACCAGACACCACTCTTCCCCAGAGACCCCTATGAGAAAGCCGTTATGAAGGTGTGGGTCGATTATGTTACAACACGAATCCTCCCTGCTTATCACAGGTTCTTGCAACATACTGAAAGGAGCCCGTACAGCCTCGAGAAAGCACGGTCAGAATTCTTAGGTACCCTGAGAACCTGGATTGCACAGGCGGATCCAGACGGCCCGTATTTCCTGGGGAAGGACTTTAGCTTTGCGGACGTATCGTTGGCTCCTTGGGCCTTGAGGATGTGGGTTTTGGACCACTTCAAAGGCGGACTCGGAATTCCTCCCCCCGGCCAGGGAGGGGAGGATGAGCAGGTGTGGAATCGATGGCGTAAATGGACTGAAGCCATCCAGTCGAGAAAATCTGTGACCGAGACAATGAGTGACCGGGAACATTACTTGCCAATCTATCGTCGGTACGCAGAGGACAGGGCTCAAAGTGAAATGGCCAAAGCAATAAGAGAGGGAAGAGGCGTGCCATGAATGAATGCAGATATATCAAGTCAAAGTTGGGAGAGGAAGGCACCTAAGTACCTCCAGCTTGAATTGGAATCCGTAAGTTGAAAAACAGTGATTGGTTTGGCGCTGCATCATCTACACCGGGAAACTGTCCCGCTACCCATAGCTCTTGACAAGCTCGGTCTCCAGATGATACAAAGGTATGCCCCTCTATTCAGCTGGACAAAAGCCAGTGCTCGTATAACGGACGACCTTTCAAATTAGGAACAAGATGGGACATTACCCAGAGCTACCTGACTGATGGGCACAGCCTTTGCTCGCCGAGGCTTGTAAAAGACCGTCGGAGGCGTTGTACACTCTTCGAAACTATATAGTCTGAAGGTCCCTTGGACCCGTCGAAGTCCTCCGTGAAATCGCATTGTTCCATAACCAATCAGCTCTCTGCACCTGTTACCAAGCAGTGCATTCCTTTAAGTGATGATATCTGGATCACAAAATCGGCTGAACACTGGGATATGTGAGGAGATGGACAAGAACCCTCTCAGGCGCCTCACCATACTCCAACGAAAGCTAGGTTGGAGGAAAGAAGGGAGGGATTCTGTCCTATCCTTCGTGTCCGTTCCAACGATCTCTCAGAAATTGCACTCCCAGCAGGGACATACCACTATATCGAGGCGACTGAAGCATTCACTTAGTTGACATACCGTCCAATACAGCCTTGCAATGAGTGTATATTGGAGAATGCGTGTGGTATGAACCACCGTTCTCATGTCCGCTCCGACTCTTTATAAGACGTATTGATTCGAAAAATCACCATTACGGTGAGCTACAAATCTCTGAAGAGGTAAGACAACAGCCGCAATTTAACTACACCGATTTCTAGCCGAAAGTATTACGAGTCCCAAAGAAGTAGGCTTTGGACAAACGAGTATGAACGAAGCTTGCAAAGGAAGAGCGGTCGGAAAATGATCTCTTGATGTATTTGCCATTTGTGGAACTACGAATGTTGTCTCCAATGAACTCGAGAAAGCAATTCCATGTATAGTCAAATCGTGGTTCTCATTTCAGCTTTATGACGACTTTCTTCTTCACCAGCCTCACGCCTGGATGGCAGCAGATCTTGTTACCACGGGGTATGGCCACGAGCCATTTCTTAATTCATCGCTGGGACCGTAGAATCGGACTGGATGATTCATTAACCCCTCTCTTCGGAATTCTCACTATAGCTGAAGGGGAAACCGTTTCAAGAGAAATCGACTTACGATTGACAGTAAATGTTCCACCGCCCGCTGGCGAGGGAAGCCAACTGGAATTGATTGCGTCAGTCAAACCATTCCATTAGAATCCCTGACGGGAGATACGGCAAAACGCAAGGCCACTGACTTGCTTGTCCAATTTGCCGGCGGGGCTACATTCGCCGGTTGAACCAGGATCTCAAATGGTTCATTTTCAGTCACAGCAGCTCCCGGATAGAGAGGCGTGCCGCCCGCATGTCTTAGGTTGCTCCGATCGCCGAGTGTATATCTGTCCATTGGATTGGGAATGAGGAATTGATCCGCCCCGTATGCTGTGAAGCTCCAGAAACCAGATTTCTCGAGAGGGGGCTTGCTTGCAAATGTGAAGATGAGTGATTCATTGGTGTTGAGCGAGAGCTCTGCCCGAAGATCGTTATTAGAAGCATGATATGCGGGATACAAGGCTTCCGTGGAAACAAGTGGGAGATATCCGTTGTACGCGATCTCTGCTCGAACTTCGTAATGAAGACCAAAATCGCCACATCGATCGTACGATGGATGTTGCCAGCCGTTTCCGAGATCGATAATTTGTCCTGGGGTAGTGAAGATACTGTTGAGCCATTCGGCTGACATGGCTGCCGCTGCTGTCAAATTAACATTGGGGTTTGGAGTGTAGAAGCCGTCCTTGAGCCCAGCTTGTTCAAGAATCCTGTTCACGCGCGTCAAATCGGAAATTTCCTGCGGCGGATTGTTGGGTGCGAGCCGGGCCGTCTGCTCTAGGATTCGAACATTGACGTCGGTAGAAAGAGAGCTATTCAAGAGGCGCGATGACAACCCGGGAATGGATTGACTGCACCGAGGGTTGGATGTTTGACTAACCGCGTACAAGTGCGTTCGGTTCTGGTATGTATGGACTTTCTCGAGATCCAATCCTTGATCCCTGACCAGGATCCGGACAAGAAGAGAGGCATATGGCGTGGGGGAATCTACGAAGCCCATGTAGCCGTCACATGATCGCTGCAACCCCGGCATGATACCATCATCAACAACATACCTGACTAGATACTTTCCAGGCTGGTTGCGATTTATCACGCCGATGTTTGCGAAGTTGTTGCCATAACTATTTTTGGTTTATTGCTTGTCTCGATATATATGATGGAATGGAAGGAACTCACAAGTCATAGAGAGAATATGCCCAGTAACGGTCTGGGATGATTGGAACTTCGAGGACAACATCAACCTGCGACAGATCGATTGTCGCAGAACTGTACAGGGTGTCATGGTTCGGACGTACAACCGCTCGTAGGCTCTGTTCTATAAGTACGCGCCTATGTTGGATGGCATTGGTTCCGACGGCTGCGAGCGATCCAGCCGTGAAATTGACATAGGCACCAATTGGTGCTCCATACTAGATCTCTGTTACTATTCAATTCAGAGAGAGAGAGAGAGCGAGAGTAGAATAGAGTCGAGCGAGTGAATGAACCGAGCATATCCATACCGTCAGCGCAAAGGCAGTCGCTTCAGTCGCATTTGTGCGGCCTTTGTACACAGAAGTCCTCTTCAACAGGTCGAAGGGGTGGCTAGCGACATGAGAGCTCAGAAAATAGAAAATGGCAATGCCGATGGAAAAGTATTGGAGAATACGAGACATGGCAATAACAAAGACATGCTCGTGCAAAGAGGGAGCTTACCTTTTATGGACTCCGGTTTCCCATGCCGGATTTTCGCAGGGACCAGCACCAAGGCAGTTGGGAATGAGTCATGTTGAAAAAAAATTTGATAGATAGTAGGATGTTTTCTGTTAGGAGGTAGTGCTTGACTATCACGGTGCCGAGAACTGAAGCTTGACGACAGGGGTAGGTGTTGGAATTTGGGAGTTTATAGGAAGGAATAGCTTCGTACTGGTGTCTGGTAACATTTCACGATACAACCTACTCCACAATGAGCTCTGTATTGTCCACTTCGACCCCAGAATCGCCGCTGACAGCCGAGGATATGGTGATAGCCACGAGGGAGCAGGGGGTGGTGGGAGCTCCGGAGATCCACTTTTGACTTCCGGTTGTCGCACAACCTTCCGGTTTGGGAATAGGAGAAGCGGAGAAGGGTCTTAGCACAGGAACCCCTTCAACCCATTCTTCTGATGCTAGCTTTATATCCGACTTCTCGCATCGACCAGAGCGAAGCCGTAGTTCTTTGTTACGTGTGTGTGGTCAGTCTTCAGTTTCCCAAAAGTACCGAGCCAACATCAGCCTATCTCGTCAAGACGTCGGCTTTCGCGCAGGGTTATTATGCGACGCTTGGTCGGGGGACCTCTAAGATTCTAGCCATATTGTCTTAACGCAGAGCAGCGCTTACGCATACCATCGCATGCATTCGGAGACAGCCTGCGGCTAAGTATGGCGGGTGCCAAAGGGCGGAGTCGAGGTTGAGTATGCATATGCGCGCACCAAGCTCGGGTCATACAGTCCCAACGCTTTTCCAGAGATCTACACATCTGACTAATTATCTCAGTGCGACCAGACTCGACCGAGATGTCACCGATGTTGCAAGTTGGGAATCGTTCGGGATACAGAGACGAGGCAGACCTCATCTTTCGTGACCAGACTGCAAGTGCAGAATGGTGTTCTGCTCAACGGCGTTTGCGAAACGAATGTCCTAACTCGAAAAGTGACTCAGCGGCACATACACGGTCTTGTTGCAGACTTCTTCTTCTCCAAGTTCGTGGTCAAATCAGATCCAAAAACATATCCTGCCGGTGGCTACTTAGCATTTCTCCCTATGCTCTACGATTCGGCCCCAGAAGAATCTTGTCTTCGAGCTTCCACTTCCTGTATATCGCTCATGGCCATGGGCCATTTAGCAAAAGATCATCGGTTCTATCAGCAAGCAAGTGCTCAGTACAGCTGCGCCTTAAATCCATTGCGCAAAGAGATTCGAAACCCTGTCCATTTAACCCAGGATTATACCCCTGTGGGTATCTGGCTACTGGGTTTGTCCGGAGTAAGTTGCATTCAGCCATCATGACAAGACAACACGCTCTAACGATCTCCAAGGCACTTTGCGACGACAATGACAGGCCGTGGGCACCTCACGCTCAAGCTCTTGCACGTCTTTTGAAGATTCGTGGCCGACAGCAATTGACCACAATGCAAGGAAGAGCGATCTTTCGCATGATATTCGGACATTTGGTCGGGAATCCCACATTCCACAGAACCCGGTCGACTAACTTTTGCCACTTTTTAGGTATTGATGAACCTAAATTCTGGCACTCGACCGATCATGGATCCTACACAATGGATCAGTGAACTCGAAGACTTTCTACCGAACCAGCCTCTGGACCGAGGTTGCGAAGCAGTTCTCCGCATTAGTCAATTCTGCGCCTCTATACGGGACATTCCTCTAGTGCCAGGGACGCAGGATGAAGACCTGCTTAATCTTATCCTCCAGATTAGAATTTAAGGCCTTGGAGCTCGACGAGTCTGTAGCGCAATGGGTGGACGATGTTCCAGAGCAATGGAAATATTCTATCCTCCCATCTCTCAACAACTTGGAGCTTCAGGACTCTCAGACATGCCACGTGTATGGCGATATGAACATGGCAGGTATGTGGAATTTTCTGCGAGCTGCACGTCTACACCTCTGCGAATCAGTCCTTCACACTGTCGATGCGGTTTCCCAGACGGGCGTGCAATATGAGGGCGAACAGCTGTGGCTATTAGGGCAAGACCGCCTCTGGTTTCGGCGGGTTTTACGTGACTTGGTGCGTGACATTTTTTCTAGTATTCCTTTCCTACTAGGGTACGTCGACCTGAGTGGCAGGTTCAGCCAAGGGGATCCAGACCCCAGGCTTGGTGCACTGTTTCTTCTCTGGCCGCTCCATGTCGTGAAAACGGCGAGGTACACAACAATCAAAGAGAAGGAAAAGGCGGAGTCTATCCGACAGCATATCAACCACAAAGTGGGAATAAGATATTGCTAGGAGGGAGAATGCAGCGGTCCCATGGTCGGTGTCATTCATCATCCTCCTCCTGAGGAAGCAGAGGTCTATCCGAACCTCAGCACATAGTACTCTAACTTAACTACATTTCCGGCACCTTTACCATCATACCTCAGTGATGAAGCCATCTGGAGGAGTGGTGGCTTCTTCACAAATGCTGGTGCCTCGTATCCGGCCCCGCAGTACAAGGGACGATGGTGGCTAAAATTTCGAAAGCGGACCAACGCCTGAATACCTGGCTTCTTCTTTACTTTGGTAGTCACGATCATTTCGGCTAATCAGCACTACTCATACCCCGTAAGCCGACTCCAACATGTTGTCTGAGACTTGGACTGTTGAGATTGCTGGAATTTGTAAGAGTCCTCAACCTCAAACTATTCGCGGATTTCAGGATCAAATAAACCGCTGCCCATTGACCATGACTATTGACGGCAAAGTCTTCCCAGCTCTACCAATTCCCTACTTCTCGTTTGGTGAATTCAATTATCTCTCTTTATCTAGGCCAAGTTAGATCATTGTTCTTCAATGCGCCGTTCAGGATATACGTACATCCATAACTGTATCATCATTCTCCAAGACAACGAAATGATGGTCATGGTGGCATGTACCCAATATAACCTAGATGCTTCTGTCGATGCTCATTCGAAAGTCGACCTGGTGCAGCAGAGGAGTGGTGTCCTGGTAACTTCATAGCCATGTCAAATAATTCCCACCTCTTATCGCCCAAAATGATCGTGATAGCCCCGATTTCTGGACTCCTTTTTTGTCTCAGTTCTGTTCAAGGTTGCTCAAATATGCCAATAATTCCCTCGCAAAGGTGGGTTGCTCGCTTATGAACGCGTCCCAATCGGCATCCGCCATCAGGACAATCGTCATACAAGCTGTATATTGCAGAACCAGCATTCTCAGGTCGTCTCCTTCCACGGTGTTCTCATAGACATACGCGACGAGCTGGAATATCTCGGGCACTCGTTCGGGAAATATTTTGAGGACTGATAACGTCCGGCGGATTTTATACACGATCAATAATCGGAGTGGCTTGATGTCATATCTGTCGCCAAAGACGTACAATCTCGCTTGACAGAGGAGAACCTCGGTGAAACTCTCCGATGGGAGGATGTTCCTGTATGGTTGGAAGACTGGGCCATTCCAACCAGTGGAAGAGGCCCGGAACTTGGACCAGGTAACACCCAATTTGGAGTCTGGATCAGGAAGGCTGGCGATCACTCCGCTGGCCGGGTTGCGAAGTTTGCAGCTCGGAGTACACGGTTTCTTTTTATTATTCCGCCCGGTAAGCCACGAGATCGAGCGGGAGATGAGTTGTTTTGATCTGGGGTTGCTATCAGGTGGGGGGGCCTTTTCGGTCTCTGGTTTTTGGCTGACAGCATTGCTTTTGCTGTTGTCGTTGGAATCCTGCGTATCCGTCTGCAATAACGGTGAAGGATGTGGAGCTTGGCAGATCGTCGGTTGAGGGACCGAATAGTCGCCCGTGTAAGCGTATTCGCAAAAGCGGACAAAGGTATCAACATCGATGTCGTCCAAGACTGCCCGTTTCTCGATAGCTTCTAACATGTGTCCCTGGATCAAGACGGCAAATACTGGAGACAGATGGATGGCAAGACTGGAGTGAACATGGAATGCTGTCCTTTCAACCCCCACGAGGAACTCAAATGGGGGAGAGCCCATGAATCTAAAGAGTGAGCATAGTCAACAAGACAGTCCTGATTCGACCTCGACGATAGAGTACTTACTCGCTGTATTGCATGGCATGGTCTCATCAATAATGATTCCACGGCGGTTGTGTAATTCCTTGCGGGCCCGTTATAGTCGCAGCCTGATCTTTGAACATCAAACACAAAAATGCCATGGCAGACGTAGACTACATTAGTGAGGATATCTTTCGATATTTCGACCCGGTCGAGGAATCGGCCAACAGGCGGAAACTTAGTGATTTGTTCGGAAATTCTCTGTTTGCCATGGATAGTTGGTAATAATTTTGCCCCAACAAATCTCCTGATAGTCTGCTTAGATCCTCTCGTGGCGCCTATGGGCCAAACAAGATCAGGCTGAAGACAAGGGGCAGAGTTAGTTGGTGCACATGACCGAGGATAATTCAATATGTTGTCGCGCATAACGACAATCAATTCCGATTTCTAGCGGAGACTGCATAACTCAAGCCAAGAGGCTCCAGGGCTTCATTGTGCAAATGCTTGGGTTTGGCTTCAGCCAATGGTGGGGGCCAGCCTTGCTTCTGGTTTACCCCGTCAAGACTTTGTGCAACTCCTGGCGTCTGGCTTTTCTGCGAGATCCGATGCATCAAAATATACATGCTGCGGTCCCACTATACCTATCTCCTCCATTCAACAACCTTGTTGGAACCATAGCGGGTTCATTGCTCGAACTCTATTCTGACCGAAGTCAAGGCGTTTTCCTGTTTCTCGCGGATTGTCTTCCACTCGTCAGGCTCAAGAGGCTCTACACTCCTGATACTGTTCGACTCAGGGAGCAGGTCAGGATGCAATTGCCATGCGAAGCAAGTGTCTATAATCCGGACACCTCAAATGCCCGCGTTGACTGTGACGAGTCGACTTCGCCGCGAGAGAAACATCGGAGGTTCCCATGGAGAAGAATAGCATAACCGGACTGAGTTTCATATATCTTATCGTGGATGGCGAAGTGGGAATGGGGCCTCTTGAGCCGATTCGGGACCAAATCCCGTGTCCTCAGGTGGCAACTCGGTCGCGCAGCCTACTGATGCCGGTGTAGCGTATCGGGCTTCCAACCCATCGATCCCTCGCGGAAAAGGAGAACGAGACATGATGCACATTGTTTACAACGGCAAACCTGGTGTACGACCCGGCCGCTTCGAGACATCCGTGACCCGGACCCCTATGCACAACTTCTTGGGCATTTCGACATCCAGCTTGAAATTCGTGGCACTTTTCAGGGGTCCGGAAAGGACACAATGTTGTAATCTCTCGGTACGGTCTCCGACATGATCCAAACTTGTTGATTATTTACTTTTCTCCCATCGTTCACACTCCTTCACTCTGACTCCTATTTTTCCAAATCCACCACAAACCACTCTATCGTACCGTGTTGACGTTTCCATCGAATCGATTGATTTTATTCATCGCCATCGTTGACCTTATCGTGACCTTTCCGTCACAGACAAGTGGGTTTGGAGGAATGAGCTAGCGATAGATTTTCTTTAAGCCTCTATTGTCGAAGCCAACTTTCCTCTCTTTATTTCATCGGGTCCCGACACTGTATAGCATCTTCCCCAAGATGGCTTTCAGTGGGAATTGGATCGGTAATAACGACCGGACCATGCATTCATTCAGTCCGGCCAGTACCAACCCGGAAACTAGACACTCCGAGACGTTTGCTGAACGATTTTCCTTCCATCGACCGTCGATGCAGCGAGACACACGGGAGATCCAAGAGGGTGCAATAGCGCAACCAACAGACAAACATAATTCTGTCCTCGACTCTGCGACGGAAAAGTATACCAATGAGGATTCGGATCTGGTTTCCCGCGAAGAAGTCACCGCTGAGGTCAGAAACCTCGCACGTCAGTGGACACGACAGTCGACTGCCTCGGAGCACGGCCACCCCTTGCAGAGCAATCCCGATCCAATGCTCGACCCCAATTCCGAGCACTTCAAGCCCCGTGCCTGGACCAAGGCGATGCTGAGACTGGCCGAAGCCGAGAGTGAGCATTTTAGAAGTCCAAAGACCGGTGTGTGCTTTAAAAACCTGAGCGTGCATGGATTCGGCTCTGGGTCAGATTTTCAAAAGAGCGTGGGAAATGTCGCCTGGCAAGCCATCGGTCTGGCAAAGAAACTTCTCGGTCGCGGGGAACGTCGTATCGATATCTTGCGAAACTTCGACGGTCTGGTCCAAGCTGGGGAAATGCTTGTGGTCCTGGGCCCCCCTGGGTCAGGGTGCACGACGTTCTTGAAGACCCTGGCAGGAGAGACCCATGGGTTTGTCGTCGACCCGGAGTCATATATCAATTACCAGGGCATCAGCCACGAGCGAATGAAGAAGAACTTCCGCGGAGAGGCCATCTATACCGCCGAACAAGATGTTCACTTCCCCCATCTCACCGTCGGGCACACCCTATACTTTGCTGCCCGGGCCAGGACACCCAAGTTCCTCCCCGGAGGCGCGACGAAACACCAGTACGCTGAGCACATGCGAGACGTTATCATGGCCACATTTGGTATTCGCCACACCATCAACACTCGTGTAGGGAACGACTATGTCCGTGGAGTGTCCGGAGGAGAACGCAAACGGGTCAGCATCGCCGAAGCGGCTCTCAGCCATGCACCACTTCAGCTGTGGGACAATTCAACCAGAGGTCTCGACAGTGCCAATGCCATCGAGTTCTGCAAGAACCTGCGGATCCAGACAGAGGTCAACGATGTGACGGTCGCCGTGGCCATCTATCAAGCACCGCAGACAGCCTACGAGACCTTTGACAAAGTGATCCTATTGTATGAAGGCCGCCAGATCTTTTTCGGTCCCACCAACAAAGCAAAGGCCTACTTCACCAACATGGGATTCGAGTGTCCCGAACGCCAAAATGAGGCCGACTTTTTGACTTCGATGACGAGCCCCGTCGAGCGGATCGTGAAGCCGGGCTATGAGAATAGGGTCCCCCGCTCCCCGGACGAGTTTGCTCAACGTTGGAGAGAGAGTCCCGAGCGACAAGCCTTGTTGGAAGAGATTTCTCGCTTCGAGCAAGAACATCCCATCGGAGGCCCCGACTTTGAGGTGTTCAAGGAATCACGACGTACCCAACAGGCAAAGAATACCCGTCCAGGTTCGCCGTACACCTTGTCTTACACGCAGCAAATTCAGCTGTGTCTCTGGCGCGCCTTTGTTCAGCTCAAGGGCGACCCGAGTATCACTCTCACTCAGCTGATTGGCAACTTTTGCATGGCATTGATCATCTCGTCGGTCTTTTATGATTTGGACGAGACAGCCGGGTCATTCTACTCTCGGAGCGCCTTGCTCTTCTTCGCAATCATGATGAGTGCCTTTGGCTCCGCGTTGGAAATCCTCACTCGATACGCCCAGAGGCCGATCGTCGAGAAGCACAGTCGATACGCTCTCTACCATCCCTCCGCCGAGGCGTTCGCATCCATGCTCTGCGACATGCCCTATAAGATCACCAACACAATTCTGTTCAACCTGACCATCTACTTTATGACCAATCTCCGAAGGGACCCCGGTGCCTTCTTCTTTTTCCTGCTCATTTCGTTCTTCATGATGTTGACTATGAGCATGATGTTCCGAGGCATCGCCTCCGTATCGCGGACCCTGGAACAGGCCATGGCTCCCGCGGGACTGCTCATGCTGGCCCTGATCATTTACACTGGCTTCGTGATTCCCACCGACTATATGCTCGGCTGGTCCAGATGGATTAATTATCTGAACCCTGTGGCATTTGGATTCGAGGCTCTTATGGTGAATGAGTTCTCTGGGCGGACGTATCCATGCGTTGGAGCTATGCTGGTGCCGAATTACCCCGGCGCGGACCTCGCCAACCAGATCTGCTCGGCTGTTGGTGCTGTGCCCGGCCAGACCTCGGTCGATGGCGACACTTATATCCAGTCCGCATACAAATACAACAAGGCCCATCGCTGGAGGAACTTTGGCATCCTGATTGCGTTCATGATCGCACTCATGGTGGCCCACCTGGTCGCCACCGAATACATCCAGGCGAAGAAATCCAAAGGCGAAGTCCTGGTGTTCCGTCGCGGGCATATGACCACGGCCCTCACATCTGGTAACGCTGGAGACATGGAGACGGCTCCGACCGGGAATGCAGCTCGGGTTGAAAAGACTGGCGTCGATGTGTCCAACGTGATTCAAAAACAGACGTCCATTTTCCAATGGAGAGACGTTTGCTACGATATCAAAATCAAAGGCGAGCCGAGGAGGATCCTCGACCACGTCGATGGCTGGGTCAAACCTGGCACACTTACGGCGTTGATGGGGGTCAGTGGCGCCGGAAAGACGACTCTCCTCGATGTCCTGGCCAAGCGAGTCACTATGGGTGTTATCTCCGGTGAAATGCTTGTCGACGGGCGCCAGCGTGATAGCTCATTTCAGCGGAAGACGGGCTATGTTCAGCAACAGGACCTCCACCTCCAGACCTCGACCGTCCGCGAGGCGCTCCGCTTTAGCGCCGTGCTCCGCCAGCCGGCATCAGTTCCGTATCAGGAAAAGATGGCCTATGTGGAGGAAGTGGTTAAAATCCTGGACATGGAGGAGTATGCTGATGCCGTGGTCGGGGTGCCAGGCGAAGGCCTGAACGTTGAACAGCGAAAACGACTGACGATTGGAGTCGAGCTCGCAGCGAAACCTCAGCTGCTTCTCTTTCTCGACGAGCCCACCTCGGGCCTGGATTCGCAGACCTCCTGGTCGATTCTCAATTTACTGGAGAAGCTTACCAAGCACGGTCAAGCCATTCTGTGTACCATTCATCAACCGTCGGCAATGTTGTTTCAACGCTTTGATCGACTCCTCTTCCTGGCCAAGGGAGGCAAGACGGTCTACTTCGGACCAGTGGGCCACTTGTCCACAACCCTCATCAGCTATTTTGAAAAGAACGGAGCAGATCCGTGTCCTCCTGGAGCCAACCCTGCCGAGTGGATGCTTGAAGTGATTGGCGCCGCTCCGGGGACATATTCCGAGATCGACTGGCCGCGAATCTGGCGTGAATCGCCCGAGTATCGTGATGTCCAGGCGGAACTCAACCAGATGAAGCGTGAACGGTCCAAGATGGCCCACGCCACCAACTTCGAACAGGACAAGACCAGCTATCGAGAATTCGCCGTCGGTTTCCCCAGACAATGGTTCGAGGTGCAGAAGCGAGTCTTTGAACAGCACTGGCGAACCCCTCGCTATATCTATGCAAAGTTCATCATGTGCATCGCCGCCGGCTTGTTCATCGGATTCTCCTTTTTCAGGGCCAACAATACGCAGCAAGGTCTCCAGAACCAGATGATCGGCATTTTCATGTTGATGTCAATTTTTGGCCAACTCGTCCAGCAGCTGATGCCCCTCTTCGTCACCCAACGATCCCTGTACGAGGTCCGCGAACGACCTTCGAAGGCGTATTCATGGCAAGCCTTTGTCATCTCCAACGTGGTCGCCGATATACCCTGGAGTTTGGGCTGTTCCGTGTGCCTTTATTTCTGCTGGTACTATCCCATCGGCTTGTGGCGCAACGCAGAGCCCTCCGACGCTGTCGCCGAGCGAGGAGCCCTGATGTTCCTCCTGATTCTGACGTTCCTGTTGTTCACAAACACCTTTGCCCATATGATCATTGCTGCAATCGATACTGCTGAGACCGGCGGGAATATCGCGAATTTGTTATTCTCCCTCTGTCTGATATTCTGCGGGTAAGCCCCTGATTATTTTCCATATCCACCTTCGAGTATGGTGCTGATCATTCCCATCCTAATGTAGTGTATTGGTCGCTCCCAATGCCCTCCCAGGGTTCTGGATCTTCATGTATAGAGTGTCCCCATTCACCTACCTGATCGGCGCCATGCTCGCGACGGCCGTCGGCGATGCCTCCGTCACATGCGCCGCGAACGAATACTTGTCCATCGACCCTCCCTCCGGCCAGATGTGCGCAGAGTACATGGATCCCTACATCTCGACGATGGGAGGGTACCTGCAAAACGGCAACGCAACGGCCGACTGCTCGTACTGCAGAGTCGCGGACACCAATGCGTTCCTGGCCGGCGTCAGCGTCAACCCGAGGGATTCCTGGCGCAATTTCGGCTTCATGTGGATCTACATTGTATTTAACTTCTTCATGGCCATCGTCTTCTACTGGCTCGGTCGTGTCCCCAAGGCGTGGAATAGCAAGATCGGCGAAACGTCGACGCCGGTCGACTCGCCTGCGCCGGAAAAGAATGAAGATGTGAAGGATTCGGAGCGAACCACCTCCAGCCCTGGCAGCGACGATGGCCAACCGGCAGAAAAGAGTTGAAGAGAGTGTTGAGTCAGGGTAGACACATGGTGTTTGGACTTTTTGTTTTATACACATTGTTGGTGCTGTGGGCTGTTTCTTATTGCTTGACAAAAACGCTGAATCCACAGGGAATCGGGGGCCACGGTGTGTTGCTTTTTCTCAACTTCTGTTTTGTTTTGGAGAGGATCCAGCCTTAGATATAGACTTAGATGCATAGACACTGATATAATTGTTTTTGGCCATTATCTGGCGCGATTGGAATAAGGATTGGCAAAGGCTTACCTTGAAAAAGGTGAAGGCGCGAAAGAAACCCTCTCAAGGCTTTTTCGAGTATGAGTGAATTGTACAAGATTTGAACCAAGAGAAAGCCTCGGTTAGGGTGCAAGTAGGGAGAAAACGACGACCATTATTATGAGCATCAGACATCACTAGAGATTGTCTAGAATTCTAGCAACCATCTATCACTAGGCCGCTCATTCGATTCCGCCAGGCCAACCATCGACAACGATTCGCGTAATCTCAGCCAATCCGCGCCGGATGTTGTTGCACTAGGGATTCTCCCATCGAGGGACCTCATCTTTGAGCTGATTGACGTGTTTGCAGAGTCTTCTATGTTCATCTGGCCTTTCCAGACCTTGATCTATTCCTACATCTACACGAGAGGAAGATGTCACTGTGAACGCTTTCACGGCCCGAGAAGTGCACACCAACTTGTATATTGCCCCCCTGATTTGGGCTGTCTCCGTGCTCACTATTCTCGCCTCAATTCTAGAACAGAGGCATATGAACGCTTCCTTTATCACTGCGCGGTCAGATGGATGAGAGAAAGTTCTCTCTGAAGCAAGATACGAGTCCCTACAGGACTTGTTGATCAAAGTGGCCTACCTCCTATTTCGACCTCAGAATGGAGATTTATGGTCGTTTCTGGAATCCGCTTGCAGACTGGCCCATCGAAATTGGCTACCCCGGGGAGGACGACCGAGATACTAGAGTAGAAATCGTGGAGAAGCTGAACTTTCTGGACAATCTATAGGCTCGAACATATTGTTGCCGAAGTCTACGGCAGACCTTCAGATGATATGGAGTCTAAGCAAGCCAGATCGCCATCACCTGCAATGACATCTCCTCCTCACTTGCCCTCTTGAACCAAATACGAGTGGATATTTTCCAAAATACCTATCTACCTGCCTCATACGCCAGCTGTACATGTTGATGATCAATTCTACCGAACAAAACTCGGCCAATTCGGGCGGTGGCTTTAACTTCTGGCAAACAGATCTCTTTCCCAGAGCTCGAGGCTACAGCCAAAGCAGGATGTTTGGCCGAGCCCCGCTGCGGCTCAATGAGGATTTGATTCGAGGTGGAGACGGCGGACTCAGATCCGCGACTTGGCGGTTCCTTCGCTGTAAAACATTTAGACAACCGCACTCTTACAACACCTTGTACGACTTCTTGCGTTGCTCAATGTCCCCGAAAGAGGATTTGGGCATGGCAGAAATCGATGCTGGTTGAGGAATACCGTCGCTAGTTTTTAATTCGGCCTAAAATGCCTCGAGCACCTCGCAGAACCGCCGCACATCATGCTCGCGAGGCAGCGACAACGACTCCTACGCGACCGACGACCACAAATGCCATCACGGCGACGATCCCCCCATTCATGCTAGAAACGCCTCCACATGCTCCGTTCCTGACAACTCCTCTACCTCCTGCGAACAACCCTGGCAATTCAATCGTGCCCGAGGCAAATGCGCCGCGACGTCAACAAGGGCGAAACCAACAGCCGCCGGTGGAAAATGGAAACTTGCGGCACGAGGTTCCTGAGAACTCTCAAATGTCGCACAATGCCTTGGGCTCCGCTCCATCCGAGGGAGATAATACAGATGAGCAGCCCTACCTTGAATCTGTCCATCACGATATTGAAGATGCAAAACAGCTCCGGGGTTTGCGGGATATCTCATCACTAGCGACATGGACTTTATCTTCAGCGAAGCCTGGTTGTGCTTTAGCTCAGCTGCGGAATCCCAGTCCGACTCTCTTTTGGCAGAGTGATGGACCCCAGCCTCATACCCTCACACTACATTTCTTTAAGCTGGTAGCAATTGTCAAGATGAGGGTATACTTGGATTTCGAGCTTGATGAGTCCTACACTCCGACCAAGATGAAGTTCTTTGCGGGCATGTCTGAAGGTGGCTTGGTCGAGTTCGGCTCTTGGGAAGTATCGGAGACGACAGATCCAGAGACTGGCGAGACGCATAGCAGCATTGAGGGAATCAGAGGATGGATTGATGTGCCGTTGAAGGGAGTTGGAGGGAGAGAGACTCGCTACCACGAGAATGAAGACAGACTCAACGGTGAGGTAGAGCCGACTTTGTATCCGCTCCAGATGGATATGCGGGATAATTTGGAGGGAGATGTGCTAAAGGCCATGGTGGTCCAAGTCCGAATTTGCGAGAACCACCAAAATGGCAAAGACACGCACGTTCGTGGATTCCAGGTGTTTGCTAGGGACCACAGCAATCCTGGAGATCTGAGGGCTGATGCAAAAAGGGGGAAGCGGGGAAAGCAGAATAAGAAGACGCCCGAATCTGAGGATGAACCCGACCAAATTATTGGCCTCCAACCAGCTGAGTGGATGGGTGAGCCAGCAATACGATAGAAAGATGACGTCCATGACCGCTTTTTATATGGTGGCAGGACGTACCATGGCTGATCCATGACATGTCGATTTCCCTGCGGTCAGGATGCCGACGATACCTCAACTTCGTAAGTGTTTCACTTTGTCTATTGTGTCCAAGTCTTGACCAGAGGTGTAATTGCGTTAGGGTGGTAGGGAACGGGATGCTGCCAGCTGTCCACAGGTGAAGGAAAAGTGTTATATCTTTGTTGCTTGCAATGACTCCGTCTTACTCAAAGTGCAGCCTCGCAGATTTCGACTGCGCCGGCTCCTCTTCTCTATACAATCAGATCCCCTCCACTCATCGCTTGCGCAGGACAGCGTCGACAAAAGAATGTTCGGAATGCTCAGCTTACGTATGGCCTCTGCTGTTGCTCTCATCCATCGTCCCTGGTTTACCTATGACGTTCTTCCACGAATGGGAGATTTTTTTTTGGTTAGTTATCTAACTACGCCTTGAATCAGCTCCTCCATCCATCATGCTAACGTAATTCAGATGTCAGAAAGGATTCCCAGTGTTCGGCTCTCCTTGATTGTGGCCGATGGTCTCAAGCAATGGGGAACGAAGCCACCGTATCAACTCTAGTATGGACCCCGCCCGGCTGTGTGCCCCATCCATACTCTGCTGCGGACGCACAAATTTACCTTTCGAATCGAAGCCTGACCTTTACTAGAAATTCCCACAATACACCATTATTTTAGGCTGCTCCAGAAAGGTTAGGCTACGGACGAGCCCTCAAAGCCAGTCTCATGGCCGGTAAACACCAATACATGACAATCCAAGCATAAGGTATTCGAGGTGCGGTTCCTCTGCGATCCATTTCTCAATACAAGAGAGACACTCGACGAAGTCGGATCATCTCTTACAGGCCTATGTCCAGCCAAGACGTAACGTCTTTGTGGCTGGTGCTAAGCTATGGTATACCAAACACCTGAAAAATTCATACATTGATTCTCTCGTGACGGCTGTGGAGCCAAAGCTCATCAGAATATATATGACCACATGGTCCACCAGCTCACACTTGCTGGCAAGCAACCGCACGACCTGGGCAATACCTTTGCTTGCAACAATTATGTCCAACAAACAAAAGTTTCTTCAACGTTATTCGCACATGGCTGACAGCTGTTCCCTGCAGCAATTTCTACTTTTGACGGCGTCGTGGGCAGTTGTGTCCTCTCGTTGTCGACTTGATCTCAAGAAAGACGAGCAATACCTTGTTTGAAAAGAAGAAGCGCATTAGCTACAATCGCCCGCCTGGTCGACCTCGTCATATCCGTTCATGACTGGATTCGGCCACAGCATCTTTTCATTACAAAGAACGACTTTTTCCCAGTCTGTCTTGTCAACTCTGTGGTTGGCCGGGATCTCGTCATCCGGAGTGAATGTGCGCCAATTACTCTGACAGATTGCTCTTGTCTGCACTTGCTCCCAGATATTCTATTGGGATTGCTGGGTTTATCGAATCGTCGATGGAATTCTCTCGTTTCCTTGGTTTCGGACCACTCAAGATTGAGCTCCTTTTTCGATTCTCGCTCAATGCTTATGTTGTTCTCCTTCGGCATGCTTACCGGTGTCTTTTCGTACCTGATATAACTGGCCCATGCGCTCTTCTGAGGCCAGTTTTCAGACGAGACCATTACAACAATTAGCATCCAGTGGTTTCACCACGGTCTGTATTGGTTCTCATAAATTCAACCAGAGCTTTCCTACGTCCCACAGTCAACTGTTCGCTAGAGACTTTTGTTTCCACAGCACCACATCCGGGTCGCTGCGGACTTACGCGGGCGTTCTTCGACTTGCTTTGACCGAACAAACTATTTGATCCTCTTGAACAGCTGAAGTAATTACATAAGCGACATGCTGGAGACGACTCTTGTATCGATGGCGTTCCTCTGGGTCAGCTCTGCCGTTTCAACCGCTCTTTCAGTCGTCGCCGCAAATCTTCTTGAATAAATGCTGCGACATTAACTCCACGAACTGTCGGAAATTCCAGGCCCAAGCTGGACAACTTGTTCGAATGGAAACACTGTCGCATTGGAAACCAAACTCATAATCTTGTTAGACTGTGGGGATTGAATCTACTCCGGGCCTGCCTTGAGTGAAAGACAAAGTCTCGGAACCTCGTCAGGTATCTTCAAGCCTGTCATAAGAATTCTTCTCCAAATCCATGTTTACTCCACACAGACACTAGAACTTTGTCGGGGTATGATCTGACCTCACTGCGGAGAAGGCCGCTCACGACTTCAAATACGGCTCTGTGAGAATCCGCCCGTTGAGAAGAATAATTGAAATCTGTAGGCCCTTGAATCGACTCTTTTTGACCTGGTCTTATGGCCGCTGGTCCTCACATTCCTTATGACTCACAACAGGATCTCTCAGGAGCCGAATGAAGCGATGGCGAGCTCATTGCCCGGTTTCGGAGCCGCTAGATGTCCATTCAGACGGGCTCCACTTCCGTTCCGTCTATAAACTGCTCATGCATTTTCCCTACCTCAGATTATATAACTTTAATGCTGCAAGCTAGCTGCATCATCCCCCCTCCTAGATGTATTCTTCTTGCTTGCACTGTCGATTGGGCTTCGTGACAAAGAGGAATCATGACCTCCCTTCCGGGGACGATGACCGAGGGGAATTCCAAACAAGAGTTCGAACTGGCAATGCCAGTTGCACCGGCAGAACCTGCTCCCACAATCATTGACGACTCGGTGGAGCCCCCTTATGGGTGGGTAGTCTGCGTTGCCATGCACTTGATCAATGGATTCACCTGGGGGATCATTGCGGTATGGCCCATATGCCATCACCATTCATTGAATGCTCCTGCTGACGTGTTTTAGTCATATGGAGTCTACCTGTCTTACTACATCAGCCATGAAACATTTGCCGGAGCTTCGGATTTGGACTTCACGTTTGTCGGAGGAACAAACTTCGCTACCGCAATGCTGTGTGGGCCTTTTGTTAACTTGTGCGTTCGGAAGCTTGGAACCCATATTCCTATGTTCTGTGGCTGCTTCATGTTTTCGGGAGGATTTGTGGCCGCCTCTTTTGCCACCGAATTCTGGCACCTCGTTTTGACCCAGGGCGTTATGGTCGGGGTAGGTACCGGACTTATCTGGTTGCCCGCCACTCCTATTTTGCCTCAGTGGTTCAACAAGAACCGAAGTTTGGCACAGGGCATTGCTGCTGCGGGTTCCGGAGTTGGAGGCATTATGTTCTCAGCTTCGACCACCCCCATGATTGAACACCTGTCCCTTTCTTGGTCACTTCGGATTACCGGTTTCGTGGCATTTGGGGTGTTGTTCATTGCGACGCTGTTGATTCGAGACCGCAACACGACTATTCGTCCACGTTTCAAAGCCCTTGACACTGCTTTGCTCAAAAGATACAGAGTATGGCTACTAATCGGGTACTCGTTCTTTGCAGTCCTGGGCTATATTTCTTGCCTCTATTCTCTGTCCGCTTTCGCAATTTCTATCGGTCTTACCCAGCATGAAGGTGGAATCGTGATCACGATCCTCAATGTTGGAACAGCTATTGGAAGACCTTTCGTCGGTGTACTCAGTGATCATTTCGGCAGAATGACTGTTGCCTGCATATTGACGGCGTCAAACACCGCTCTGGCATACGCCATTTGGATCCCGACGGAGTCATACGGACTACTCATCTTTTTATCTCTGATTTTGGGCGCAACCAGTGGCGTCTACTGGGGTGTACGTGATGAACCTCCCGCTTGTTCAAAGTCGTGCTGACAGAAGAAATAGACCATTGCGCCACTGTGCGCTGAAGTAGTTGATCTGAAAGAACTCCCGTCGACGCTCAGCCTGATGTGGTTGACTATTTCCATGCCTGCTCTGTGTAAGTTCGAAAGAGGATCTTGCGTTTTCTATCTCTTGCTTACTCCTAGCAGTTTCAGAAGCAATCACGCTCGAAATTCGGCTCCCGAACTCCGATAGGCCTTATATCTGGCCTCAAATCTACACTGGATTGACATTCTTGATCGGCAGTCTTTTTATGCTGGAGCTGCGGAGACAGAAATGGGCTTTCCGGCGAGAAAGGCACCGGTAAGGGTCGATTCGTGAAGGCAACTGTTCGAATACACTTTCGCCAAAGCGAAAGCAGTTGACTTCCTAAGTGCTTCCATCGGCGGCCATTCGACTCCGGGTGAGCCCCAATGAAAGGTGGCCCGTCTTTGAGTTCTTCGAATTCGTCTTGGAGCCATCTTACATTTACGGGAGATCGATTTCTCAGAAAGGCTATGGTTCTTTCATTAATGAGAATAGAAGCCACTTCATATCACCAAGTGAATGGCCCTGGCCCACGAAGCATGGCTTTCGACAGTTCGGGACCCCGCACTGCACTTGTATTTTGATCCAGAATCTTTTGTGAACCGGCTCCGAGTGTATAAACTACCATGATATCGTGCTTTGGGAAAACGATTTCCGATATATGGAGATCCAAGTACGGTCATGGGGGCTCGTGCCAAAAACGAATGCGGGCTAGGAACCGAACAACGCGAAATATATTACTGTGAAGAAAAGAATGAGTCTTCGATCCACCACATCGCCCGGGCTGGATATTACATATCGGGGGACGCCCTCCGTATATTACCTCTTTTCATTGTTGGTGTCAATTCTCCTTTGATCGCCAGGGGACAGGGCTGGCTCGACCTGGAATTCCATCTTCGGACTTGGAAACCTCCAGAATACTTGAATCCCCTCCCAAGCCTGCCCAGCTACATTGGCCCCATGAAATGTCGGTTCTGTGGAATATGAGATCCCAATATCTGCCCTTTCATTGGAACCTCTCCCACAGGACATCCCTTTCTCGACCATCAGATTCTACCCTCCCGGACCAGGAGTCAAATCCCCTTTCAGCATACCGTGGTACTAAAAAAACCCCAGACGACGTATCTAGAGGGATACACCAAGCTTGCCTGAATGGGCGCCGGCTATCAAACATTCTTCCCTCAGTACCTCTCTATCTTCGGTCAACGATGATACCAGCACATAAAATTTTATCGTTATCCCACGATGGGGCCACGTTGCCAGTGCTCCCTTTCTCTCACGGCCTGGTTGGCGACATGAACACACACAGGGCTTTTTGTCGGGGAACTTGCCTCTCACGTCGTATTTGTATGACCCTGGAAACATCGCGATGGAAGTAGGGCGCTGTCTTTGGTTCGAACCGGGAGGACCAAGACAGCCGTGGAGGCACCTACGAGGTCACGTCCATCTATTTCAAACGCATCTCACATAAAGTCAAAGCTGGCATCTATGACAGCCGGGATCAGCAAGCTCCAAATTCATTTTTTCGAGCCTATGGTGACATCTACAGCCGTGGAAATGCTGAGCAAGAGTGTAACCGTCAAAAATCTTGCTTATGACCCTGAAAACGATTTTGGAGTCATTCATCTGGGCTAGTCATTCATTTGGCGGCACTACTTTCGTCTCGTTCTTTCAGTCAATCTACTATTTTGAGGGCAGAGGGCAATACCCAGAGTCGAATGGAGAACCTGACCACACCGCTCCTTGCGTTTGCAAAGATCATCTCCTGCTCTAATGGAATAGATTACATCCCACTTCGCCTCTCATTCTACTCGCCTGTTGGCTCATTCCTAAACATCTACCCTGTCATGATACTACATCATCGAAGACTGTCGTCCGTGTCCGCCTATCATCTCTACAGAGCCTGCTGCCGCCAGAGTCCAACCAGATGCCGAGTACGAAACGGAATTTGCAAAGTACCACTCACCATGAGATTTCATAAAACAAAAGCAAGAAATATCGAGCCAATAAATAGGATTCCCAGTCGAACACAAGCCCAAATGAAGTCGAAAAGCTACCAAACTCTATCGCAATTTACGTGCTGCTCAATACTACTCACATCGCGCCTTCTGGATTTTTGGGATCCTATTCCCGTGGTCGGAAGTTCAGAATATCACACAGTGTATTCAATTGGAGCGCATTCCCTGATGATCATAATAATAAAGGAGAAGAGCAGTCAGAGAAGATAGCTCCTGTACAAGTCATATAATCAACTCATCCCTTGAGCTTCGTTTTGCAAGGGTTTTTCCCGAATGACGGGTCTTTGTTCCGCCGACAAGGCTATAGCCTCGGTAATAGAACCCAACGGATCTTCGCGACTTCCAATTCCCTTCAGTCACTCCTTGAACTTTTAAATATCGCTTTTCAACTCATCATATTACCATGCCAACTTAGAAATAATGCCCGTCACCGAGATCCTTCTATTGCGCCATGGCCATCGCCTGGCATGGACGTTGAATCCTAACACTGGCAGATATTCTTCAAGCCATCGTTTCCCGACAGACTTGCCAGCAGACCCTCCCTTGGCTTCACATGGCGTCCGGCAGGCACAAGAGACTGGAAGATATCTTGGCGAATTGTTGGGCGACCTTGTGAAACAAGATCGTGTTAGAATTTACTCCAGCCTTTTCTACAGATGTCTGGAGACTTTGAGACCAATTGTCGAGACATTCATCGAGCTCGCTCCGTCAAATTCAGTTGCAAGAAAAAATCTGCAGGTTCGAGGGGAGAGGGGAATTGGAGAATGGTTCGGTCGTGCCTGGTTCGCTCAACCCAAACCAGCGGAGCCGGCCAGACTGCGGAGAGAGTTCTTCCCCTGGCTGGACGATGAATATGAATCGAAAGTGGTACCGCCTGAGAATGGAGAGAGGATTGATCCCCTGCACGACCGAGTGGCACGAGCACTGGCTCAGGTGATACAAGATGTGGACGAGGAATACATTCAGGCTGGGCGGGGTGATGAAGAAGTAACTATACTCCTCTGCGGTCACGCCGCACAGATAATTGCCAGCGGCCGAGCATTAACTGGTCAGATGCCTGATGATCATGACGAAGACGATTTCAAGTGTTTTACATGTGGACTCAGCAAATTTGTTCGCCGCCAGATCCCACCGCGTGCGGAGGCATATTATGATGACGACTGGAGGAACTGCGGAGGTGTTGCTGGTGGTTGGGACTGCATTCTCAATAGCGACTGTAGTCATCTATCACAAGGGGAAGAGAGGGGATGGCATTTTCATGGAGACGAGAGCTTCGATTCTTACGAGCCCGTGCCCGGGATGGACGGAGGCGTTCATTCCATTCCGAAATTGTGAGGGTCTTTGGTGAACAGGATCTATAGCTGCATTTAGACAACAGATAGAGTTAGGTTAAGTCATAGAGTCTTGTAACGAGACGGTAGTCAGCCTGTACTGTACGGGCTGAGCAGATTTATACTACTACGAACCTGCTTGCAGAAGTTGTCTTCTTCTTGCAACTGGGGGTGAACTGATTGGGAAGCTCGCAAACACCTGTCTTAGGCGAGCGATTGGCCGACTTATCGGGGCACCAGGCGGCCGATTGACCCATCATTATGTTGTCGATCCTAGCGGGATTCGTCTCCGCATCGCGAATGCACATCAAGTCCGAGCATCACCCACAGAGTGCCACAGACACTGTTCAGTTTCCTGACGCTCCGACTTTCCAGATCACTACCCTCGTCGTCCCTCACTGTCTCGAGAATGGTCCTATTGTGTTTCATTCCCAGGGTCTCAAACTAGGACTATGGCGAGCTTGAAGAACTCGGCCCTCAGCAATGTCCAGCGGCAGCAGAGTCCTGCGCTCTTCTATCGGCTGCTATTATGGTATTATTCGTTCTTATCTTGACGCTTTCTCAGTATCTCTCGCTGATTGCAGTCAGACCTGCTGTCCTTTTTCATTCGACAGACACGCGCTCAGGGACAGACAAGATTATGCGATCCTCAGCAACGTCGCCGGTTTCACGATTATTTCGTCACTCATCTACCCTCCTCCTCCCTCCATCCAGATTCCCGCTCTCTCACAGGTCTTGCGCACAAGTTCCCTCGGAAAGAATCAACTCCACACACCCCCGATGGAAAGTCTGCTCCGGCAACTCATCCTTCTGTTTCGAGAGACACGACTGTTGTCCGCATCCCTCTCAAGAGTGCCAAACACCATTTTGGGGCTTCAGTTTCTCGAGGCAGCAGGCCTTACAATGAAGATTCGCACCAGGCCGGCGTAATCGAGCTTCCTGCGTTTGCGAAGCGAGCACCTCCGTCCATCACCACAAATCCCAAAACTGGAGAAGGGACTTCCGCCGACAGCGCATTGGGCGATCCTCAGGTGTTTTATTTTGGTGTTTTTGACGGACACGGCGGCGCAGAATGCAGCGATTTCCTACGAGAAACCCTCCATGACTATATCGAAAAGTCGGCAGAATCATTCGAATTCCAATCCAGTTTGAAGAAGCCTGGCGAGAAGAAACGAACGAATGGCTCTGGCCCGGATGGCTGCGGAGGCGATGCTGAACAACATAGACAGAGTAAGGCAGTCTTAGACTCTATCGAAATATCGACGGACGATCTTCCGAAAAAAGGCGAGGGTCGGTCGGGAGATGGCGATGTAAGAGGCTCCAAACTGGTGTACCATCCCCCTTATCCAGGTGATCCGTCTCTGATTCAGAGCGCGAACAAGCAAAGCATCAAGAATCTGGAAAAGCAACTGACGAGAAACTGGAAAAATCTGGTTGGCGGCTATTTCCGTCGCTTCAAGCCGGCCTACTTCTCCATTTACAGTGGATATCAGGAGTTGGGCAAAGGATTAGATCCGATGGGAGAAAGCGCCGAGGATGCAGATTCTGGTGCGGCCATCGAGGAAGTATTGACCTACGCCTTTTTGAAAGCCGATTATGACTTTGTTTCCGCTCAAGCGGCGAAGTATTCGGAGAACACGGACACCACGAGAGCAGAGAGACCGCTGAACGATGCAGATATCCTGGGGGAACCCTCCAAGCTTGCAGGGCACATCGGCGGACCTCATACGTTCAAAGGTGGTAGCACTTGCAGTGTCGCCATGGTATCTACACCGTCACCAACACCGTTCTGGAACCCGGCCACACCTTCTTCGATGTTGATCGCTCATGTTGGAGACACACGCATTCTCCTCTGCTCGACAGCTACTGGGGCTGCAATACCACTGACGACCAACCACCACCCCTCATCACCCATCGAAAGTAATCGACTACGGAGGTATGCAGCCGCGTTCGTGACCGATTCATTTGGAGAAGAACGGATATCGGGTCTTGCGAACACGCGATCCTTTGGAGATATTGCGTCGAAGAGAATTGGCGTGAGTGCAGAACCGGAAATCAAGAGAATAGAACTGGGACCGGCAGAGTATTCTTTCATGGTTCTCATGTCTGACGGGGTCTCGGGAACGCTCGACGATCAAGAAGTGGTGGATATCGTCAAAGAAGCAAAAACTCCGGAACAGGCCGCCAGAGATGTGGTCAACTTTGCTACAGAAGTTTCTACGGAAGGGGATAATGCCACGTGCCTCGTGGTGAGGATGGGAGGATGGGAACGGCGACAAGAGGGAGGCCATGGAAGCCTGGGCACAAAGGAAAGTCGGAACTACAAGCGACAAAGTGCAGCAGATCCCCGAAGCCGAATGCAGTGAGAGAGAGGAAAGAAAAACAAATGGTGTGCTCACTTTACTAAGTAGTTGTACATGTCGAGATGCAAGGAAAGATAGACGGTGCAATGGTTTAAGCTGACAGAAGACCGTGCAACGGCGCAACGAATAACGATAGAGGAAGACGGCGCGGGCGACGAGGTGATTTGTCCAAAGGAGATCCCGCCATTTGCCGACCGTGAGGGCCAGGCTTAAATAATAAAGTCCCTTTTGTCCTTTTTTTGCTTTTTTTCCTCTTCAAAAAAGCAGAGTCTGCGGATTTTGAGATACCACTGGGACCACCCAAGCGCCGATATTCCTTCTTGCAGTGGATGATTTGATGAACGAGTGAAGCCAGTTCTCATTCGCCGGGCAATCATCACGCGACCGACAAACCACTACAAGCCCTTTCGTCGGCCAGATCCAACCTCCGCCCTTCTTATCAGTCTTTCGGCAAGACTCCAAGCCGTAGTTTTCGTCCTCTCCTCCTGGCCGACTTCTTCTGCCTGGCTCAGCAGACAAGCACGAGACTTTTTGAGACGCCTTTCCGACGTTTGGCGACTCTACACGTCATTCTTCAGGAATCATGGGGGAGAAGCAGGAAGGAAACGGCCATCTTCTGGCCAACGGTCACGCAAAGATGAACGGCGCATTGGAAAAGATTGAAGTCGAGATTTACAAAGAGGAAAACATTTTTCTGTTCATCCCGAACATTATTGGTAGGCCCCAATGATTATTTTCGCTGCCTGCGCTCTCTGTCTAACCAAAATAAAATTGCTGCTCAGGGTACACCAGAATCGTACTTGCCGTTGCCTCCCTTTATTATATGCCCCTTCATCCACGGACATGCTCGGGACTGTACAGTTTCTCCTGCATTCTCGATGCGGTCGACGGATTAGCAGCAAGGCGATATAACCAGTCCACCACGTTTGGAGCTGTATTGGACATGGTGACCGATCGATGCACGACGTCGTGTCTGTTGGTGTTTCTGGCCTCTGCCTTTCCAAGATGGGCCATTGTTTTCCAAGGGCTGATCAGCTTGGATCTGGCAAGCCATTACATCCACATGTACGCAACTTTGACCATGGGTTCGAGCGGCCAGAGTCATAAGAAGGTGGATTCGAGCAGAAGTTATATCTTGCACCTTTACTATACAAACCGAGTATGCCGAGGTCAAGGCCCTCGGCGGATAAGAGACTGACGTGGATGCAGGTGGTTTTGTTTGTCTTTTGTGCCTTGAACGAACTATTCTTTATCGCGCTCTACCTCCTCTCCTTCTCCTCGCCTCTTCTGTCGCCCTCGCTTCTCGTCACCAACGAGAGTATGAGTTCGACTCAACCCGGCTCCCCAGCCCATCCTAAACCCAGCACATTGTTTGCCAACCCGTGGAGCGCCGGCGCATTGGAAATGGCCCGTGCGAATAAAATGGACAGCACGGTGCCTTGGATTCTGGCGGGGATCAGCTTTCCGGTCATGTTCGGGAAGCAAGTGATCAACGTGATTCAGCTGGTAAAAGCCAGTAAGTGGCTGGGCGAGGGCGACGTCGCAGCCCGGAAGAAGGCCAGGATTGCAGCAGGAAAGAAGAAGGCTTGAAAGTCTGTCGAAAGAATTATCTTGTGGTGGATATGTGCACAAACAAATTATGGGTCAAGTGAGTATAAGCACGGTCACTGACAGCCAACATGCATTGGTGGGGAGGGCAGTGAATGGAGAAGAGCGTTGGAGTTCATGGCGCGCGACATGTTTTCTGGATGGTTGGATTGAGCAGATCAGGATTTTCCATCTAACTGCTTCTGTTGACTGCCCCGAATTGGAACAAGTTTTGCATGGAACCAAATTTTTGCGAATTGGCGTCGAAGAGAATAGAGTCAACACGTGGTAACATTTGAATTGGCTGGGTGGGGGAGCTTTGCGTCGGGACTCGCAGATTGTGATCCTCGACCATTATCACTTCTACTGTCTAATTAATGAACTGTACCATAACCAAGAAGAATTTGAACGCGACTTGAACCATATTCATATTCCACTAGGGGGAATGGAGGAACCGATTTCTGACAAGGCCGAAGGGTTGCGGGTTACGCAAGTCCGCATCAACAATTTCCTTTCTCGGCCGACGTCGACGCTCGAAATTCTCAGCTATCCCTGTCGCCCCTTCATTCCGTCCTCCCCGGCCTTTGTCCCGCAGGCAAATCTCTCCCCTCTCTTACTCCGCAACGGGGTGTTGAGTGTAAGTGGCATACTCCGGACTCGGACTAAGCGAGAAGCTACCTTTTCTTTCATTGATCAATTTCTCTTCCATCTGATCCAGCGTTTTCCTTATTTGATTGGTAAAATACCTTCACAGCAGACGTCCCTTACACTCTCTTCAAGCTACTCACCACCACGTTTTTGAAGAACCACCGCGGCATGACTACCTCGCTTCAAGCGGAAATTCAATATCGCCTTACATGAGGAATTGGGAGCAGGTAGCTCGGAAATGACGCGACTTGACAACGAAGGGACGCGGAAACGTGCAGATGATTTCAACATCGTTGGAATAGAAGGAAGAGCAAAGTACATTAGGAGAGGAAAACGATGCGACAAGAAGGAGCTGCTGACGTGGACGGGAAGAGCTTCAGCGAGGGAATACGCCTTCAGAAGATGGGATAGGAGGATGATCCGCAATCCCTTACGTTTTCATCCCGGACCCCAATGGCAGACCCTGTGACATCTGAAGATGAGAAGAACAATGATAGTGACGGGAATGAGGAAGACGATGATAGTAGCGATGCAGACGGCGAAGATGAAGAGCAGGAGGACCAACAGCCTCTGAACAATGATGTTCCCCGGCAAGCTCTTTGCTCAACGAGAAATCTCCCGGAACCAGAATTTTCAAGTGACGAGAACTCAGAAGACGATAATAGTTTGAAGGACAGCTCCTCGGACGAGGAATTGGATGATGAAGAGATCTCGCACAAAGCACCCATCAGTGGTTGTAAGTGGTCTCCGGGTTGCTGCAAGCAGATGAGACGCAAAATTTCATCTGCGCTGACCGACGATGCGAGAGACTTGTCTGTCTTTCACAAACCTATTTGTCTATCAAAATTGGCATGGTGAAAGGCGATGGCTTTCCTGTGAAATGTCTTGAACTCTGTTTCATTCCAAAACTGGTGTTCGAAAGACCAGGTACGCTCACTTTTGATTGTGGCACGTTGTGATTACAACTCCGAGGTCACTGGTACCTCACAACCCTTCAATCTCCCAGGGTTTTTCAGCACTCATCATGCCGGTGAAATTCGAGCTCCCGAATTTTAATGGCGACAAGTGTGTTTGGAAGTCTTGGTCCAAAACGACAGCCCCTTCGAGGTTCCACTGACAAGTTCGCCGGAAAATTGCTGATCAAGACAATAATTATCTATTTGGTTGGCAAGGTACGAATGGAGAGGATAGAATCGGGGTGAATCTTGTTGAAACCAAGATAAGCACCTACCCTCCCTACCTTAAGGTTGTTTGTGATCAGGAAATTTGGGTGAAAGGCAAGCACATTCCAGTCTATTATGCAATTTCATGAGCAAGACCTTCCTGCCAAGGGAATCGCCAGACAAATTGCATGCGAATCGAAGACCGATCACTACTCGCTGAGAGGGGCCCAATCCATAATTCAGGCTTGCGACTTATCAGGTCTGAATGGACTCTCGCCTCTCACAACTGAAAATTGGGACAGCCAGCCCATCGGAGGTCGGTGGTTGAAGGAAGACAGTTGTTGCGAGGCACTGTGGAGGCAGAATCCCCTGTCCGAATAGGGTTGTGGATATGACTGCGATGATGGGTTGGTAGAGGGGAGGACAAAATAAGTAAACAGAGACTGGGAGCGTTGGGCAAAGGAACCACTCCTCCTGTCTGGTCATGAACTCTGGTGGCTCAAGTCAGGAGTTGTGCTCAGTTGAAAACAAGTCGCGGCTGGAGGGAGACCAAATTATTTCGATCATTTTGGAGCCAACTGGGCAAAAAAGTCTCCGCTTGACATTGATCCAGAATTAACCAAGAAGCTAGACTTCGCGATCAGCACCAGCGAAGAAGCAAAGGAAAAATATTATAAGCAGGCAAAACTCCAATGTCAGCATGCCGATAACTCAAAATCCTTCGAGAAAATGAGATCCGGAAGACGACGGGAGAGGCCAGTTTGAGCGATTACGAGGAAGAGACATATCTCTCAAAGACGAGACCCATTCCGACTCGTAACCAATAGATGTTCGAGTCGCCTCCTTGCTCTCCACGCTCCCCTAAGGGTTCATTGTCTGGCATGGGGTTCAGGCGTGCCATGGTCAAGAAAAGATGTTCAAAGCTCCAGTAGTAAAGAAAACTTCTCTGGAGATGTTCGTGTTACAAAGAGGTGGTAGGTAACCGGAAGCAAGGTGGAGCAAGGTGCATAGGATGGAGAGAGAAGGACGGCGTCTTGAAAGATCAGCAGGACACCAGGCACCGACTCAGCATGAAACGAAGTGAGTTGATGTTCTGTTTTCTTCTTCTGAGGAGTAGAATATGGATTGCACTTTGGGAAAGCAGAAGTGCGGAAATGTGATGGAAAGCTGAAGAACGGAAAATGGCAATGTCTGCTATATCTCACATTACAGTACAACTCCGGTCAGACCCTCCACCTTCTTTCAGCAAGGGCTTTTTCTTTTCCGGACTTTTGGCAGCCATCTGGCGAATTTCCGTAGGGCGCAGGGGCCATGGGCCGTTTTAACAGTGGCTAGAATTCCTGAACCGGCATCCATTTTTTTCCCCTCCTTCTCTCCCTCGTCGGACTTTGTAGTCCAATCACTGCTTCTCCCTTCTCTTCCTCCCCTGTCAGAACTCTCAGCCGAAATCATCATCGCCACCAATCACTTCGCCCATAAAATTTCCTTAGGCAACACGCGTGGTTGGCACTCTTTCCGGCTGCATCTGCCATGCGCCTGGCCTGGACTCCTGCAATCCCGCATTCGTACTCTCTACCCTACTCCATACAAAATCATCATGAAATATGCCTCTGCCTATCTTTGAATAGATGATCGCCTCGTTTCGAAATACCGCCACCTTCCCCGCATTAATTCACATCGGATGAGAAGGGTCATGCGACAGCTGCTCTCAACATGAGCGCCCACGATCTTCGCATGCAAGATGCTCACGACGAGTCAAAGCCGCCAGCCATACCCCTTCGTAATCCCATCCATCCCTCTGTCATCGATCGGTTAGATCCTGCCTTTGTCAAATTGTACAACGACTACATCGCAAATGGCCCTCCTGCTTCCACCGATCTAAATCTTGTCCGCCAAAACTATTCAGCCTTGTACTCCTACGCCACTTCGCCTGCGACCGGTGTGGGTGGTATTGGAGAGACTCAGGTACCAGGATGGGATAAATACCCAGGGGACATCAATGTCCGAGTCTACGTGCCGCCCGGAGAAGAACCAGGACAGCGCAAAGTATGGCCGGTACACTTCAATTTCCACGGCGGGGGTATAACCATCAATCCCTTCGGCTGAGACTGTTTGTGTCACTGACACTCCTAGGCTGGGCTGTAGGTGACCTCGAGACCGATGCCCACATCTGTCACCACATTTGTGCCTCTGTTCCCTGCTGCGTGATCGATATTGAGTATCGACTGATTCCTGAGTATCCTTTTCCAATCGGCATTATGGACGGTTTAACGGCTGTTGCCCATATCCTCGCGAACCACAAAACCTTCTCCATCGACTCAACAAACATGACTTTTGGTGGAGAATCTTCTGGGGCCACCATCGCACTTATCTTGAACCATCTCTTCCGAGATGGCGGGTTCGGAGATAAGCTAAAGGGTGTCATCGTCGGTACGCCAACAATAAGTGATGTGAGGAAATATGCGACCCCTAATATGAGCCCATGGCCGAGCATGCGAGAGGCCGAGTTTGCTCCCCTCCTGAATTGGGAGAAATTGAAATGGTTCGATACGTTCAAATGGATGTCGCTGTCAAGTCAGCACCCCGGAACTCGACCAAAGGACCAAAGGCGAGATATTTCCTGGTTTGCCGACGCTATGAAGGCTCCCGATTTTAAGGATCTAGCCCCATTGACCTATATCGCTACTGCCGAAGTCGATCCTTTGAGAGACGAAGCTGAGGCATATGCGCAAAAGGTTGAGGAATCTGGAAATAAAGTCATCATGAGGAGATTTAAAGGTGTGCCACACCCTTTCATGCACATGGACAGAGTTCTGCCTCAGGGCCGCGAATATGTTCAAGATGTGATTTCGCATATTCGACAATGCTTGTACCCACCTCCTCCTTCTCCCCCTGCTGCTGCTGTCGCCACACCACCAGACACCTAAATCGAGATTCACCATGGCGTGGAATAAGCATCTCTGCCTAAGGCGTCCATCGGGCTTTTCCAGGTTGAGGGACAACCCCACTCGATGAAACAATCAAACTCGGCAATTGGTCACGGAGCTTGCTTCATAGCAAGTTGAATTAGGGGAATTTGTGCCCAATAACTCAATTCTGAAAACGTCCCGAGACATCCGGCATTGTCAAGAAATTGTTAAATTCTCCAAACAAGGCCAGCCTCCGTAATTCTAATCAACAGAGAGTTCTACTCGAGATTCGGCATTCCTAGCCAAGTGGCAGCCATCGATTCCTAAGCTACAGCTCTACAATGGCTGGTCCGCGTGCGGGAAACTCGTCGCCAAGAATTTGTTGTCTAAATGCGAGGGCGACGTTAATTGCGGTTATAACTTGCTGCAACACCGATTTACGCCGACATCATCCTTTCAACGCTATCCTCAGCTTGAATAATGGTAGCGGGAAGTGAGGCGGATCCCGGCTTCGATTCAGGTCGATGAGGATTGACGCCCATCTATCTTTGTCATAGAACCACTTCCACGGCTGGCCATGACTCGTGGACCAGTAAGAGGAATGTCTGGCAGCTGGAGCAGTCCACGCCCAGGAGTCTGTCACAGCTAAATGTTTGTGACAAGTATTCTGCGCCTCTTCAATCGTCACCGCATCCAGTTACATGATGACGTCTCTGAATATGTGTAGTGTTGCGCAGTGGAGGTGTTAGAAGAAGTTGCCATTGGTAAGAGTATAGAAGGGGTTCGAAAGTCTATATACCTACGACTGTGGACAGCTTGGTGAGTTATCTCCAGCCCCTGACGGCCGTCATGGCGCCAAAACCATATATATACAAAAGTCATTGGAATTCTTGAAAAAGGGATCAAAGTTAACGATTCCCACGTGGGCCGGGTAGACCTTAGGTGCATGATTGGAAGGATTGGATTCTGCTTTGAATGTGTGTATGAATAGCATTGTCACCAGTGGAGACACTGGAATATACCAGAGGAAAGCCGCTGCTCGAGATCACGGAGGCTCTTTGCAGACAATAGTGCCGTACCCAGAGGAAAACCCAAGCACCTGAAAACTGTTTCTACCGTCGAATCTCGGATCTAAGTAATTTCATCGGTCCAAACAAATCCTACTTCGTGATGATGGCACGCAATGCCCCTTAATTCACTCAGCCTTCTCTGCCCCCAACGGCCAATGTGGGGGAGCGATCCCTTTGGTGGGGATCCATCGACGCGCCTCACGCGTCTCAACGCGTTGTCAGCTCCGCATCCTAACTTTTAACGCGCCTTTGCTTAGGAAAAGCACTCATTCTTGGATTCAACGCCAATCCAGAGTCAATATGCCTGAAAGACCTCCATTTCCTGGACGCCCGGCTCAGCCTCCTGGCCCTACCTACCTTCAGTATTCTCCCGATGGCCAGAGACTAATCGTTGCCGGCATTGGAAATTTCGCCCGTTCATTCCGAACCAACGATAACGACGAGCCCGATTTACTACCTGACACTCACGGGGAGACATTTGCTGTTGCATCAGGGGTAGGAAATTCTTAAACACAAGCCAAATATGGACTATCTGCTCACACGCATAGAACGACTATGTTATTCTCGGCTGCGAAGATGGCACCGTGTGCGAGTACGCGGTACCATCGGGAGACTTCAAGCAGATGCTGGTCAGAACGACACTTCCTATCAGAGACATCGCTCTTTCTCCCGATGAGAACTGGATTGCTGTCTCGAGCGAGTGTGTTCTTCCCTCCTTCCCCTTTTTGATCCTCCAATTTCTGATGTTCCCAGTGAACTCGAGATCAAAATTGTCAATCGACACGACATTGAGCAGATCACCATCCTTCGAGAACACCCAAAGCCAATTAAACATTTGACCTACGACCCCTCCGGCAAATATCTTACGGCGTCCTGCACCAATGGGATCATCTACATATACTCGTTGGCTACTCCCGAACCGAACTTGTTCAGGACAATTGATGGGATCATAAAACGACTTGAGACCGCGGAGACACCTACCTCAAGATGCGTGTGGCATCCAGATGGAAGAGCATTTGCTTGTGCAACACCAACAAGAGAGATACAAGTCATTTCAGTGGAAGATGGGGCACATCAAAGAGTATTTTCGGGGGCACATGACGGCGATATTACGTCTCTGGCGTGGTCAGCAAATGGAGCTTTACTAGCAAGTTCCAGCGCAGACAACCAACTGGTCATTTGGGAAACCAAAACCCAGACTATCCTGAAACGATTCAACTATGAAAAGATCATCAATATCGCCTGGCACAATCACGGAGAAAACATCTTCAACTGGACCACTTATCAAGGCGAGGTCTTCATCATCCCAAACTTCCTCAAAGATGATGCTCATATCAGACTGCTCAAAGGGCCAAGGGTTAGGGCGCCATTCTTCCATGATCCATTAGACGAAAGTGCTGCAGCGTTAAACGGCAGAAAGCCGCTCGTGAACGGTCAGGGCAGGCGCCGCGGGGGAACGCCTGATAGTCTGGACGAACTCCTCGGGCCTGAAGAGGAGTATGATTGGATTGAAGATGACGACGGTGGAGGCTACGTCAATGAAAACGGGAAGAGAACAAACGGCCATCTCGGAGAAGCGAACGATCTTTCCACCAAACGCAGCCGACTGGATGTCTGGCAGCCACAGGTGCATGAACCCTTCCAACCCGGAGCCACACCCTGGAGAGGCAATCGCAAGTATCTTTGTCTGAATTTGATTGGATTTGTCTGGACGGTCGATCAGGACACGCACAACACGGTGACCGTGGAGTTTTATGACCGTGAAATGTACCGAGACTTCCACTTCACTGATCTTTTTCGGTACGACAAGGCCTGCCTAAACGAGACCGGTGCACTGTTCTCATGTCCAGCCAAAGACGGACAACCGGCACTGATTTTCTACCGACCACATGAAGCGTGGACCTCGCGCTCGGATTCTCGAATCAGTCTCCCTGATGGCGAAGAAGCGATATGCATCGCGCTCAGTAGCCGATATATTGTGGCCGTCACCAACAGAAATTACGTGCGGGTATGGACCTTGTTTGGTACACCCGTGAGGATTTGGCGCATGAAAAGCGCACCCGCTGTGACCTGCGCCGCATGGGGGGACTATGTTATGACAGTCGGAAACGGACCTGTTGGCGCTGACGGCTGCACACAGCTTATGTACAGCATCGACGACATCAGGCGGGAGGAGAACTGCCAGAACGAAGACGTCCTCGCCTTAGGCACTTTGCCGCCAGACTCAAATGAAGAGGAAGTGGGTCTAAAAACAGTCATTTGGAGTGACGCAGGTGATCCTTGTATCTATGACAGCAATGGCATTCTCTTGACCCTCTTGCACTGGCGGACAATGGGCCAGGCAAAGTGGGTTCCCCTTCTCGATACCAGGCTGCTAGATCGTTTGAAAGATGGAAAGAAAGAAGAGACCTATTGGCCGGTTGCGGTTGCGGCAGAGAAGTTCCACTGCATCATCCTCAAAGGCGGTGACAAGAGTCCTTATTTCCCGCGCCCACTTCTTACTGAATTTGACTTTCAAATTCCAGTTTGCCGACCTGCAGAGAAAGGTGAAGAGGGTGAAGAGGAGACCAATGCCGCTGCTGCGGTGAGATTGGAGGAGGTGTTCGTCCGATCTTCCATTCTACTTGGACTTTGGGATGATTTGGTCCAGTCCCTCGGTGAACGCGCGGGCCACGCCCAGAAGACAGAAGTTATGAGACGTGAGATTGACATTGACAAGATTCTGCTGCAGCTGTTAGCGGTCGAATGTCGTGAAGGCGAGGAGAGGGGGATGAAAGCTTTGGAAATTGTGGGTTTGTTGAAGGATAGAGGCGGAAAGATGCTCGAGGCCGCAGCAAAAGTTGCAGGCAGATGGGGCAGAACAGTGCTGGAAGATAAGATCAGGGAATATGCAGAAAGGAAGTTGATGGGTATTGAAGAAGAGTAAAAGAAAAATTTCAGGTACGAAGCTTTTTTTCCGCAGCTTCAAGGTGTATGATGAACTTGTCCGAGGGTCCTGAAACAACCCAGCGGTAACGTTAGATCAAATGATGATGATGGAAATCAGAACATTAGTGACCATTGAGTTGCTGTCTATTTCCATTACCTCATGTCTCTCATGAGAATATTTATTCTTCCAATAACTTGTCAAATCCGCAAAACTGGGATGTGTCCTTGCAGCCTCCCACTTGTAAACATGGACCTTCCCAGCAAGGTAAACGTCAGACTTGCGACCAAATGCAACTTGAACGAGCTTCATGGTCCCTCTGTGGTGGCACAGTAGCTATTCAACAACACTGTGGCCAAATGATATATTCTATCATGTCTCCCCCTGGCTGCGCGTATTGCGGTCAACACTCAACGAGCTGCTGTTGAAGAAAAGACCCTGCTTCGGCCGCATTTTCACAACGTCGACATACTGGTTCCAAACATCTCCGCGATTACTCGTCTTATCACATTGCATATTTTCATGGCTAAACGACTTGCACGTTGTGGAACGGCCACATTGGCCAAGACCCTTCTGTGAAAGTCGTCTTGTTGCGTTGATATAGGAGTCGACAGCAAACATACAAATATGACAGAGGATGAGAGCGACCAGGAAAAGCTAAGGGATATGATCGAAGAACTAGTAAATACGGTATTTTATACCAATATAGACCCTAATAAGACTACCAAAGAAGACGATTTCAAATACAAAAATTTCCCCTAACGCGTGCGTCATTATCATTAACAAATGCGGAGGTAGGGCTACCAAGATCGTTCATACAGCACAAGGAATGTCTGGCTTTTTCAAGGTCGACATACCGCCTGGTCAGTCGCGCATGTTGTACGGACGACCCAGAGCTAACACTTATGGCTAGTCATCAACATCGGGTGTCTTCACACATGAAGCTTGCGACGCTGACACGACTGTGAGGCTGAAAATAAATGTGCAGATCCCTCCACTCACAATTTTGGCAACACACGAGAGACATGTGAGTATCCCTCAGGTCTTGCATCCTTCAACCTCTTCCGCCTCTGCGAAATGACAGCAATATTACCACCTAATCTCCCAATTGACGTCCCTTGGGCTTTCACTCAGACAACTAATGGCTCGCCTTATCAAGGACAGCTCTTAAGTTCAGCGCCGGATCCTCGTTGTCTACGATCCCCAACACAGTAGACGGCTTCTTATATCCCAGAAGCGAGAGCATTTTATCGCTCATCGTCAGCGCTTTGCTCCTTGGCACCGCCAAAAATTGGTTTTCTTCCGTCCGCATCGTCCCCCTGATGAAGAAGAGTCCGTGGACCTTCCGCACTTCGTCTGAAACGGAGTTGTGGCCCCCTCCGTGGTAGCAGGAGGCCAGGAAGATTAGAGCGGAGCCCGGGTCCATTTCTGGATGCCGAGGGGTTAGCCGGGGTTTTCTGCACCAGAGAACGTCGTGTACGTCTTTAGAGCGATTGAAATGGTACAAACACTTACCAGCAAAACAAACCTCATCCGTCCTCGGGCGCCGCTTATCATCCCACTTATGCGATCCCGGAATGAACATCGTGGCACCATTCTCCCGAGTTGTCCTGGACCCTGCAATTAAGCACCCAAATTGACTTGCCTTCTTAAGATCAAACTTCCCACCATGCTTAATACCATGCACGTTGTCGTCCCTATGCAGCCTCTGCCGCGGTGCCCCATATCCGATGTAAAAAGTAATGCTGATGCTCAATAGCGGATTGATCGTGTTTTCCTCGACGAAGTCCTCGCGGATCACGCTGAATTTGTCTTGCAGGATGTGCGTCCGCAGGTCTTCCAAGACAGGCGATTCACACAGTTTCGCGATGGTGGGCGATTTACCAACGAGGCCTGGTATCGCGAGTGTCTCTTTCGGTATGATGTGCAGTGCACCTTTCTCTGTCGATCGGGTTTGCTTGCGGTAGGCCTCGACGTCGTTATCGATGGCGGCGAGGTCTTCGGGTGTGGCGAAGTCGGTTAAGATCACGCCACCGTCGCGCTCCATTATGGAGAGGATTTCTTCGATGGGCGCATTTGCACGAATTGATGTGATGGATGTGGATGGTTTGTATGAGGGATCTATTGGCGGGGGAGGGCTCAAGATTGGGATACCCATCATTAATGAAGGGTCCAGAAGGTTGTGCAATCGATAATAGCGATCTGATGGCAGCCCAGAGGACAGAAGAAAAGTCGACTGTCAGAGCTTTGGCAATCTAGATTATAAAGGCTCTCTAATTCAGATGTGATGATGCTAAAGACTCGGGTGAATAAAGAGCGGTCCTGAAACTGGAGGAAGTTTTGAGACTGTCCTTCCTGATACTAATTCCCGCCGAAGCCGCATCATCACAGAGAAAGGTCCAGGTCCGTCAGGCTGGCGGATCCCAATAGTTTGAGGTGGGCCACAATCGAGGAACCCGAACCAGTCAGCGATCAAGAACCTAAGAGAACGAATCCGAGGCTGAGGATTGAGGGGATTTAGCTTCCTGACTCAGTTTAGCCAAAACCCTTTCCCCATTCGACCTCTGATAAGGATACAACAGGAGACAGCGTGGGCCAGACCTCGACAAGCAGGCAAATTCAATGACCGGATAGGGAACACTTTGCACTGTGTTGGGCCGAAATCGTGAAACATCATGGTTGAGGAAGGCAGATCCATTGCGTACCTCGAATGCTATTTCATGCCGTTCAGTTGATGGTAAGCTCGTACTATTTCCTCATCATCTTCCATTCTTGTACCAAGCTCCCCATCAACAAGAAAATACGTGCAATTTTCTCTCACTGTCCCGACAATGGCACAAGTCGAAGTACAAACAGTGCCAGTCACCCCTGGTTTCAACAGCATCAAGCCAATCATCAGAGAGACGCTGGGCGGGCCAAGCACAAAATTATCACTCGTGGCTTTTGACGCTGAAAAGCATTTGGCATATACCGAGGATCCCAAGAGACTATCAACGAAAGATCTCGGCCTTCCAGAAGATGTGGGAATTTCTCCCGTTGCCGTTTCGGAGCCATTTCCCCTTTTCACTGAAGAAGCTATCCGTATTATGAGAAGCGAGATCTTCGCAAATGAAGTGTGGGAAAACTGCTTGCACAGCACCGAATTTGCTAGCTGTCAGCTCAGAGGCCACTGCCCGAAGTGAGTCTCTCAAAGCCGTGTTTTCCTAAACATTTCTCAAACCGTTGTATTTTGGAACCGCGGTTAACAGTGTGTACAGATACGCACCATTCATGTATGATGCTTGGAAAGATCCCAAAACCCTCTCCATTGTCTCAAAAATTGCCGGTGTCGATCTCATCCCTGTCATCGATATAGAGATTGGCAATATCAACGTCTCCGTCCAGGATCCAGGTGAGGACAAAGGAAAAGTGACGAATCAGTCCGACGACGACATTCCAATCACCAAATGGCATAATGACAGCTATCCGTTTGTCTGCGTGGTCATGATGTCCGACGCTTCCAAGATGGTTGGCGGTGAAACAGCGCTCAGGAGTGGTTCAGGAGAAATCCTCAAAGTACGAGGACCTCAGATGGTGAGCTTTTTCAAAGATCTCCCTGTTTGACACCTAGCAACGTTCTTACAGCTCGCCAGGGATGTGCCGTTGTCCTCCAGGGCAGGTGCATCTCGCACCAGGCCTTAGCCGCAGCCGGAGGGGTTGAGCGTATTACAATGGTCACAGCATTCCGGCCTCGCAACCCTCTGGTGCCCGATTCATCGGTTCTCACTACTATCAGGCCCATCTCAGAGTCATCGGAATTATACTTTCAATGGACAGAATACAGAATGGAGGTCTTACAGGAACGCCTCAGGAGAATGCTCAAGGTCCTTGAAGAGCAGCACCGGGCAAATAAACCGACGGATATCAAGAAAATCAAGAAATTCCTCCAGCAGCAAGAGGAGTGGATTGCTGGCACGAATAGGGAGATTGTGGAGCCGTGAAAGTGGTATTCGCGACTTGGACTCGTTTCTGCAGCATTCCATTTTGATCAACAACTGCGATAGACAATGTATAGAACGATTATATTGCAGATATTCTTTGCCATCATGCACGGCGCCAAAGGAATCTCCAGCTCTGTCCTGCGCTCTTCGTCTCGACCAGGGAGCTGACACCTTTCAGTGGTGCAATTGAGAAACTGTTAAAAATCATAGGTGGAGCATCTGAAAGTGCTCGAAACCAGCAGAGAGTGCACACATCGCTCTGATGTGTCCATAACGTATGGACAGATCTAGGGGAAAGAACAACACAGATAAAAAGATCCCCTCATAGACCAGAATCGAGACTGGAGCATGCCTAACTCCATAGTCATCACGAATGAGCTTCTGGAGTGTTTAGATGACAAGAATACTTTTCACTGGTTACAGAGCTCGCCACCAGAAGACCGGAGGGCTTTGCGAGCGCCTGGCGTTTTGATACGCCTATCTTTGCTCGATTGGCCAAATTTCCTTATCCAACGGAATAGGCAGGGAAGTCCCCTTCCCTTTCCTTTCTTTGTTATCTGACTGAGTATCTATTCCAAGGTCTGGTCAGGGGCCTCAGCTGTGCTACCATCAGCCAGGCAATCGATAATCGGTTGTGAGGATTAAGTCGATGTGTTCCCTCTTTGCATATAAGTATGTTGGTCTCAAGTCATCATCATCAAGAGATTTCCTTCCACAACCTCATTGATCCACATCATTTCTTCAGCTATCATGGCTTCCAAGATGGACTTCTCAAAAGAAATCAAGGACCTCCCGGACCTGCAACCCAGATTCAGTGCCGACAACATCGGTCGGGTCGAAAATGTCGACCATCTGCACCGCTCGCTCAACAACCGCCAGATTCAATGGATCGCGGTCGGCGGCTCCATCGGCACAGCACTTTTTGTCAGCATCGGATGGGGACTGCTCGAGGGCGGGCCGGGATCGCTGTTCTTAGCCTTTCTGTTCTACAGCTGCATGATCGCCTCCATCAACAGCGAGATGGTAGCGTACATGCCGATTGCTGGGTCCTTTATTCGATATGCTGGAAAGTGGGTAGACGACGCTTTCGGATTCATGGCTGGTTGGAACTTCTTCCTCTATGAAGCAATTCTTATACCTTTCGAGATATCTGCATTAACCCTTGTCCTGACATTCTGGAGGGACGACATACCCGTGTGGGCGGCGTGCTTGGCTTGTATTGTGTTCTATGGCGTCATCAGTGTCTTCGCGGTCCGCTGGTACGGGGAGGTGGAATTCTGGCTTTCGTCCGGGAAGATTATCCTGGTACTCATCTTGTTCTGTTTCACCTTTATCACGATGGTGGGGGGCAATCCTGAGGGTGATGCCTATGGGTTTCGATATTGGAACGACCCTGGCGCTTTCGCAGAGTATATCACCACAGGCTCTATGGGAACGACGTATTTGTTCTTCTATCATGCTTTGAAGGTCCAAGGCATTGATTGTAGGACCCTGCCATATCGAGGTATGCAGTATCACATTCCCTCACGCGAGCATAGGAAGCTGACTCGAAGCGCAGGCTGGTTCCAACCAAACGTCAATATCTTCGGCTTAATCTTCGTCACCATTGTCGTCTTGATCCAAGGTTACGCTGTCTTTCTCCCCGGCTTCTGGGACCTTGGAACGTTCTTCACGTATTACACGATGATATTCGTGTGTATCCTGCTCTTTGTCGGATGGAAACTCATCAAAAGGACCAAATTTGTACGTCCTCAGGATGCGGACCTTGTATGGGACAGGCCCGTCATCGACGCTTATGAGGAGAGTGGAGACCCACCCCTAGGCCTGTGGGAGGATGTCTGGACCACGACCCTTGCAGCACTTCGAATCAAAGTGAGGAAGCAAGACGGGAATGGAGTATGAAACAGACTGAGATCGATAGAGTGCATTCAAGGGCTTGAAAGTCTATTTATTGGCCAGAGATGTGGATGTGGCCCATCTCGAACATTTCTAGAGCGACGACGCACGTGGTGCCAAACAAGCCATCTGGAGAACGCAATATTCAGTGATTGTAGATCCTGTATACCTAGAAAGCCGCTTCCATAGCGCTCGAAACCACATCTGTATTGCTGTGCAAAGAACACTGGTACGTTCATGCAGAACAACAGATCATGTAAACAATGACAACGCCAAAACAGTGTCGTCGTACAGTCCGGACATAATCAGTCATACAGAGTCGACCAAAGAGGGCAGCGGGCGCGACTGAGTTACCCGAGCATGACTGGAATAATTCATGAGCGTTAGCATCTATGAATGGATGAACCGTGACTTTCGACAGGAGAAACGCCTTACCTTCCCATCCCCAATCCTTCATAACTCCGAGCCAATGCAAGTCGCCCTTGACTGTGTACTTTATATTTCCAGCTCTCGTCAGAGGATCTATACCCTTCTTAAATGCTACAGACTCTGGAAAGTCAGACGAGTGCGAAGGAGTTCGACCCCCCGGGGAGCATCTGCACCCAGAACTTGAGTTTTTGACCGTTGGATCGAGGCCATTCTGTGAATTGATAGCCCTCGAGATATGACATGATTCATGGCTCGCTGCGTACTCATCCCTCCTCCGCCACACCTCCGAAGTAACCTCCTTGCATCGGTCGACTATTCCGGTGATCATGCGCTTAGACATAAGATCCCAGCGCTCGCGAACCCAGTGTCTATCTTCTTCCTCGAAAGCCTCGCACCCTGCCGCCATCAGCGGGAAGATCTGCACGATCGTTTTGCGCGATGTGAGCGGGATGGTGGCGAGGAAGACGAGAGCCTTCTGAGCAAGTTCCCACATTGACTGTGACCAGGGAAGCTCGGGCACCGCTTGGCGGAGCATCAGCAGTGCAGCCCACCGGTAAGCTTCAGCTGTTTGTATCGAGTCTGAGATGTTGGATTTGGGGTCTTCAAACTTCTCCAAGTCTATTGGTGGAATCCAATGTTCTATGGCTATCCTCAGATCTATCGCCTTGGAGATGATTGCGAGAGAATTGCGCTTTTCGGTCCGTCTTCGAACACGGCCGACAAGATCCGCCAGGCGGCCGATCATAGGAAATAGCGTGATCGCACAACCCATGAGAGGGTCGATCTGTTGCTCACGAGGAACTGGACTCAGAAGGATGCAGGCAGTCATGAATTCGAAGTCAGTCGAGCTCTCATCGTCGGTGCAAGTAAAGCGTGCAATAACGTCCATGTACATCCAAGTGTTCGCCAGGAAACTCAGACGGCTCAGCTCGCCAGCAACCAGCTTGGAGGTCTGATGCTTGGAGACGGCCTGTCGAACTAGTTTCTTGGCGATGTTGATATGATCAATGCCGGTCGATGATTTTTGATGGTCCCAGGATTCAGCAAAACCCAGGGCTAGCCTGGTGGCGAGGGCCGAAGCGAGAGGTATGTTGCCATTGTCCTCATTGTCGGCGAGTACTTCCATGCTGCGTTGGAAATGCCGTATACCCTGAACGCGAAGTTCTGTCTGAGTCCTGCACAAGTGTAAGCAGGTCATTGCTGCGAGTGCATGATAAAGTGCAGGGCAGTTGTGGGCCAGCGGCCAGACAAGCGTCTTCCACGGATTTTCGGTCCGATCATCCTTTATAGAGAGGATGTCACAAGTCTTGAGATCGAAGAGATGCCTTATCATCTCTTGAGTAACAATCGGAGGCCGTAGCTGCTGGTACCAAGGCAGGAGATCCTTGCCAGCTGCGGGACCAGAAGATGGTGGGGGAGATTCAAGAGGCTGAGTAGAAGTCTCAACAATTGGATCGAAATCCGTCATCTGCCACGAACTCTCCTCCACATTTTCTTCGTGAACTGCCTCTCCTGACTCAATTACCGCCTCTGAATTGTAAATATGCCTGCCAAGATTTTCGTGTGTGTTTGCAGCCGTGACTTGTGTGGGTAAGACTAAGTCTGCCAGATGCGGCGATTGATGGTCGTGGAAAGTTGCCTCCATTGCAGTTGCTGACAAGGGAAGATCAAGATCGTCAAGATTCAGTGACTGATCGGGAAAAGGATTCGGCAGGGTATTCTCATCCAACTGCCGACGGTCGAAAATTCCAATATCAACGTCGTCAAATATGCATTCAGCCTTGTGATCCGGGTAGGCTAATTTGGGCGGCCCAGGAAGTGGTATCATATGATGGTTCAGAATGAAGGAAGGAGACATGGGTAACAAGATGTCAGGAGAAGATCTCGATCGACTCGAAGCTCTGGGCTGCGAGGAGGGTATGATTGTGTCCTGTAGGGCCGCGCCGGCGACGTCTTCCACAACACTGTCGAGCTTGCCAGAGAGCAATAGGTTCGTAGGTGGAGGTGCAGCTTCCAAACGTTCCTCAGTCAAGTGCGTGCCTATTACAGCCAGTTACATCTCGACAAGGTTCTCCGTGTTCCAACTTACCGTTTTCAACTTTGCGTAGATCCTCGAGCTTCCTAACAGACTTCCACTTCAGACCCTTTACATAACCACCACATTCAATTCTACGGCGGGAACATTGCTGACAGACCGGCTTCGTTTCGTCGCACTTCATCCTCTTCGCCTTGCACGTTACACATCCTTGAAAAGGCTTTGTCGGAACATATTCAACCAGTCGTATATCACGACGATACGAATCGGATGGATGGAGACATACCATTGCGACTCTTGGGTTGCTTGCGCTTTGATACTTCCTCTTTATTCTTCGTCTCGCCATTTGGAGCGATGGGTACTATGATTTGGGTATGCCTCCCTTGTACGGCCTCTGGTCCTGAGGCAAAAGCGGCCCAGTCAGAGGATTGCTGAATGGCATCTAGGAACAAAGACGGCGAGCTTATAGTCATCGCTTCCGCCATAGAACGATCATAGCAAGTCTGGGAACTCGATATGTTCGACCAGAGGAAGTCTGAGCAACAAGAGGTATCGTGGCAAAGAGTGGTTGGCGAGGGCGGGGGGTTAGATCTGTCAAGGGTGGCTGATAAGGTCCATTGTCGTATCACGTGCAAATAGAGGGCTGCTAAAAGCGGCGTCCGACCGGCTAAATTATAAAGCCTGTAATGATCGCGAGCTCTCTCGGTGCGATCTACAAATTCAGCAATGTTGACATTCCGCCCCTGGAACTCCTTGTCTGTACATGCCCTTAGCGATACGACAAAAAGACCGCCCCTTGTTTGCGCTCTGAGCTTGTAGTACAGCCTCCTCCGCGGAATACCCTTTCAGGGTCGAGTTTCAGAAAGCTCTCAATAGATCAGTCGACGAAGACAAGAACGTGTTCACTCGCTTGCTGCAGCTTCAGAGGCTATAATTCTCGGGACATGTCTAAGCCAAGCGAAAGGTGCAGATGTAGAATCCACTCTACACGGGAAACCGCGGTTCGGATCGCATGCATTTCATTTCAAAATTCAGTACGATTGTATTTACACTGGTATCTTCTCGGACCACAACCTAGGCTATGATACAATCAAACACCGTCCGACCCTCCTTGTCAACTTACCTTCTTTGACTTCTTCTCAAACACCTCCGCACACCCTAGAAAGCCTTCTCGGAATCATCATTATGCTGAATCTCCTTCCTTGACCATCTTTTTTATCCTTGCCCCGGATTCAATGTGAGGGCCTTTATGTAGAAACAACACAAAAATCGGAAGTGGAGTGGAGTAGTTGTAACAGTTACAGTGTACAATATGCCAAGAGCGGATTCAACCAAGTCCTCCTATCCAAGTGCCATAATTTTGGAAGAATAGAGTCGGGGGAACGTCGTCTGTGATGCCGGTAGATTGTCGAATGATGCGATGCTTGAGGTAAGGGTATGCCAAACAGAATGGAATCGCTGAAGCGCAGGAAATTGCCAAGGCAAAAGTCACGGGCATAACAGAGAGCAGGGTTTGACCTAGCTCACTCTGAAGCTGACCTTAGAAACCGCCCATTCCGCCCATACCGCCCATACCTCCCATTGGTGGCGCTGCAGGCTTCTCCTCCGGTGCCTCGACGACGGCAACTTCAGTGGTACCCAGAAGCGACGCAACCCCAGAAGCGTCAACTAGAGCGGTGCGAACCACCTTCAAAGGATCCACAATACCCTTGCTCAGCATGTCGACGTACTGGCCCGAGGCCGAGTCGAAACCTTTGTTGAAATCGGAGCCAAATTCGTCCATGAGCTTGCCAACCACGACACTACCCTCCAAACCAGCATTCTCAACGATTCTTCGCGCTGGTCTGGTGATGGCATTCTTAATGATACTGACACCAAGCTGTTGATCGAAGTTGGTGGGGTTGACATCACTGAGCGAGTTGGCAGCAGCCTTGATCAGAGCAGTACCACCACCAGGGAGGATGCCCTCTTCAACGGCAGCACGAGTGGCATTCAGGGCATCCACGACACGATCCTTCTTCTCTCCGACCTCCACTTCGGAGGCGCCACCGACTTTGATGACGGCCACGCCACCAGACAATTTGGCGAGACGTTCCTGCAATTTCTCCTTCTCGTACTCTGACGTGGTGGGATCTGCCATGACACCTCGGATCTGTTCGCACCGTTGAGCGATAGCATCTTTGCTTCCTTCACCGTTGAGGATGATGGTATCTTCCTTGGTGATGGTAATGCTGCCGGTGGAGCCGAGCATATCAGGTGTGGCCTTTTCCAATTTAATGTCCAGCTCATCTGTAAAGACCGTGGCGTTGGTCAGGATACCAATATCACCAAGAATGCTCTTGCGGTTGTCACCGAATCCGGGAGCCTTGACGGCAGCAACCTGCAATTGACCCCGAAGTTTGTTCAAGATGCAGACAGCCAATGCTTCTCCATCAATGTCCTCGGCAATAATGACGAGCGGTCGTCGGAGCTGGGTGGATGCCTCGAGAGCTGGGATGATATCTTGGACGGCAGAAATCTTCTTTTCAGAAAGGAGGATCAAAGGCTTCTCGAATTCGATCTTCTGGGACTTGGCGTCTGTGATGAAATATGGGGAGGTGAAGCCACGGTCGAAGCGCATGCCCTCGGTGACCTCCAGCTCGTCCTCGATCGTCTTGCCTTCCTTCACAGTGATGACGCCTTCCTTGCCGACCTTTTCCATGGCGTTGGAGATGAGGTTACCAATGTGAGTGTCACCATTGGCAGAAATGGTGGCGACCTGGGCAATCTCGGCACTTGTGGTGATGTCCTTCTTGTTCTTTTGCAGGAAATCGACAACGGCGTCCACAGCTGCTTGTGTACCCCTTCTCAAGTCCATAGGATTGCATCCGGCAGCGACATTCTTGACGGTTTCGGAGAAAATGGCGCTTGCAAGAACAGTGGCAGTAGTCGTACCGTCACCGGCGACCTCATTGGTTTTGGAGGCAACATCTTGTATCAGTCGGGCACCGAGGTTCTCGAATTTGTCTTGCAATGTGATGGCCTTGGCGACAGTAACACCATCTAATTGTCTGATTAGCGAGAGGGTCTTCTTCTTCCTCGTACTTGTGTATTTCGTGTCATGGAACACTTGCCTTTTGTAATCTTGGGGGAACCATAGCTCGATTCGATTAGAACATTTCGACCCTTCGGACCGAGGGTAGTGGCAACAGCTTTTGAGAGAGTCTCAACACCCTTCAACAACTGAGCTCGGCCCTCGACGCCAAATCTAAGTTCTTTGTGGGCGAATCGGAGTTGTTGTAGATTCCTGCCGGCGGATCTGGAGTATGGGGAAGAAAGGGACACTGAGGAACGCACGGCGGAGGACAGAGCACGTTGCATGATGGGCGGGGTCAGAGGACGCAGATGAGGCAGGGAGAGTGAATGAAAAGGACGGAGGATGGCACAATGGGTTGATGACCACAATAGAAAAGAAGAATGAATGGAGGAACTGCCAGTCAACAACAAAAAAATTTTTGGAGAGTTTCTCGAAAGCAACAGAAGCGACAAGGCCCATTTTGGGATTAGCGTCATCAAAGCCTTGGCGCGGAACCTTTTGCCTGAGGAATGGAGGAGAGTTATCATAGTCTTGTCTTTCAAGCTCTAACTCTGTTGTCTGAGTCTCTGTCTGACCATGGCGGTGAACACTGGCTAGCTGTCCTTGATGACTAGCAGCTGACAATTCACTGACCCTAAAGCTCGTTGTTCTATATTCTCCAAGCAAAGCTCATCGGACCCTTCAACCCCGGAAGAGTTAACGAGGGCAACTAAGCCATGAGATGAACATATGCCGCCAGCCCTGTGAATCTCCTTTGGGAATGACAAGGTCTTCCTTCATGTATGAAACTCTGCCCGGACTACACCACGCATGCTTCACCCCATGAGAGAACAAACCGTCACCTCCCCTTTCGGTGCAGAGCATCTCCTGCACTCCAGACGCCGATGAGTGACTCAAATCGTTTGAATGATGTGTTGGCTGGGGTGTTGAGTGACTATTCGAGACGTTAACCTCTGGGAGTCATATCTGTCAGCTTATCAACACTGACTCAGATGCCATCAACATAGTGGCCGCCGCCCCAAACGATCTCTTCCGAGGGCACACCGGCACTCATGTCGTGGTCGCAGAGAACGTCCTCAGGCTGAGCTTGTCGTGCCGCAACAGCTCCTACCATTCCAGACTGTATTGCCTCGTTGTCAGACGGCGAGGTGAGAGATGAAGCTGTCATTCTAGTTGCAACCGAGTTGTTCCGGGTTCCCGGGTAAGACGAAGTGGTAGATGGTGGATACATATTGGGAGTAATGCGACTTGCAGAGTATCCTTGCTGAACTGGATTCACCATCGGCATGCCAGTAAATAGAGACCCCTCTCCCAAATATTGGCTAACATCTACCATACCCGTGCCAAACTGTCCGCCTACCTGACTGCCGTCGAACATGTTGCCTGCATTGCCTTGAAATTGGCCGTTAACCATGCCATGTGGAGCCATGAAAGAGGAAGACCCGAAATTCATAGGAGAAAAAACGGTAATTGGGTTTGCGCCAAAAAGGACCTGGTTTCGAAGAGCTAGATCCTATCATTATTAGCATCGACTAGGCGTGTTTTGGAAAACGGCATACCTCATTACCGGTACAGAAGTGATCATCCATCTGCATTTGGCCGTATAGAGCATCACGAATGATTGGCACACGAGTAGCATCATGAGCGGCTACAGTGTCGTCTCGTCCAGTCTCATTGCAAGCAACTGTCTCTTGCTCCTCCGACGACAACTCGCCTCCAGCATCATCGGCGTCATCCCGATCGGCGACGTCATCAACATTATCGACGTTGTCAACCATCTCTTCTTTGATTTCTGCCTCTTCGTCCGAAGCTCCAGCTTCTGTGATAGAGTAGTCGTGCTTGACTCCACGAGTGCGAGTTGCAGGTCCAGCTGAATCGTCGACTTTCGTACTGACTGCCGAGCGTGTATCCTCAACCTTGACGATTTGACCCGTTGGAGTGAAAAGCATAGCATCAGGCCCAGTTTTGATATTCTTGGCTCTTACTCTCCTGATGCGCTTCTTCTTGTGACCGTACTCCCAATCGTCCGTGTCGTACAGCTCTGGCACCAAATCATCCTCTTCATCATCGTCGTCATCACTCATGTTTCGACGTGTCTTGCACCGACCTTTCCCTTTGCCCTTGGCCTTAGCCTTGACCTTTGCCTTATCCTTGGCCTCGTCCTCATTTTCGGCTGGTACCGAGGCGTTTGATTTGTCATAGATGGACGTAAACTCCCTAGTCTTGACTTCTGGCGTGCCGGGATGCATTGGTGGGACTTGATCGAAGCTGTGTTTGTTGTTGGCACTGGCGTAGATTTTTGAAGGCTCTTTGGTGACCATGCCACGTTTCAAAGGCGGCGGGACAGGAATTCCGTTCTTGGCCATGATGCCTCGAAGCTTTGTCAGATGTTGAACTATGGCACCCTCGGTGAATCTTGGACCCATCAACTCGGCGACTCGGGCCCCTGTTGTTGATTCTGGTTAGCGAAAGGGATACAGGTGAGACTCCATCATTTGAGCTTTACATGGCAGCTTGATACCGGCTTCCGCAGAAGCATACTGCACAGCGAGAAGGACGCCTTTGTCGAGGTCATCTAGCGACCTGTTAGACTGGGGCTCATAAGGTAAGTGTTGTCTCAACTTACCCGACCAACGAACAAGCATACGCTTGGCAGGGCGTTGACTGCTAGGCATTTTGGCCTGCACCGAGACTCAATCACTGTTTCTGTCTTGTCTCATCTGTCAGTCCAAAGGCCGTTGTGTCCATCAGAAAGATCGTTGTACATTTGTTGTCAGGAAGTGGCTGAATGAGGAGCGTCGTGGGCTGACTTCAGACGAAGGATTGGCCGTGTTCTTACAAAGAGGGTGCAGGACGGAGGCAGGCCAAATTTGCGACAAGGATGGTGTTTTGCGAGCGGCCAGAGTGACTTAGGAGAATCAACGCACTAAGAAGTGAATTTATGGCCTGTAGAGGAAGGTGAGACAGTGACTCGATGCTTTGTTTTGACCAATCTGCAACCAGAACGGTGAGCCTTGCTGTACCAGTGGTTCACTTACCAAATGCGCATGGGTCGACCATGAAGCTCTCGAGAATCTTTGCACAGGCTAGGAGAGCGAAAGGGAAGGCATGAAAAGTGGCTTTGACAATGTTCAAGTGAAGAAAGAGTAGTGTAAGAGAAGAGAGATGGAGTTCGTGTCGGCTGAGGATGGGAGAGGGAACTGTGCACAGCAGAAATCTGGGAGAGGGTATTTGTATTCCAGAACATGTGAGCATGCGACGTGGACGTGGACATCGACCATCACGACCAGAGCATGTAATTCATCCTCCTGAAACATGCGTCGCCAGAGCCTCCTGCACATGAACTCAACACTAGTGGTCTTGCAATTGCTCCCATTCTGAAGTCTTCAACGGGAGACTGTCTTGGGCGGCATGGACAAAACACCGGGTCTTCTCCATTGCTCTTGAATTGTTTCTTGACGAGGTGAGTGTACTCTAGGCTGCGGACCAAGTCGCTGCTGACTGAAAGAGCACAGGAATTCTGGAAAACCATCAACATGACGCGGAACATGAGTTCTCTGCTCCTTGATGATCCGTTCCCGGAAGAGTTTGTGATCCAGAGACAGGTCTAGAAGGCTGGAAGGCTGAGAAGGACGGTCTGGATCTTTGACTAGGAAGCAAACAGTCTTGGACGGGTGGTGGAAGGAAGGCTGATGGCGCCGAATGTGGTGCCCTGCCCATGGGACTAAGTGGATAACCACGATTCAAGGGCTCACACGTTGCTGGAAGACATCCAGGGTCTCAGACTGTGACATATATGATGTCAAGAATGGCTTGGGAATACGCTCCCCTGTGGCATCGGCAGCAGAACTAAGTCTGTCAATCTTGCGTTTCTTTGTTTTCGAGGGTCCTTTCGGACGTTGCCGAGGGCCTCGGTGAGCTGTTTTCGGCTAGACTTCCATTTGGATGAATGCCATTAGCTTTCAGGAGTCGTTCATAACGTTTTGCTCGCCCAGTACTCAGCTTGATGCAGGACAGCTTACGCTGCTCCCTTGCTAACAACGCCACATTCTTTTGCAACTGCGATGAAATCAACCCGCCGTTGTCAGAGGTCACGAAATGTTCTAGCTCTTGGACTGGCCCTACTCTGCCATTGTTGGAATGCCTGACACAGCTCAGAAGGAATTTCAATTGATTGTCTGATGTTGCTCGAGACATGTTTTCGTTGGACTGAAGAGACACTGACAGGAAACTTGTGGTCTAGAGGATGGAGTGCTTACCGTGTCAACTGAGGCAGATGCAAGGTGAATTATCTGAAGAAGGAAAAGAATGGAAAGAGAGTTGAGCGATCTGGAACTGTTCTGTCAGAAGAAATGTAATCTCCTTTGGAAGGTAAGAGTTCTCTTTTTCTACTCTGTCTTGTCCTGTCTTTCACCGGAAGAGATTGTCTGGGCCAAACCTTGGCTTTGAGATGTGACGTCCGTCTGGAACCGATCAAAGGACGCACGCCACTAAGTATTGGCACCTGATCCAAAGATCACATAAAGAAAACGCGCGGTCAAAACGACGTAGCAAGATCTTAAAGAAATCGAAAAGAGTGTCATTGATTGGGAATGCCAATCTGCGAGAGGACGAGAAAGGAACGAGGTGTCGTGAGGCTCGGAGGGTGGATATTTCAGACCGGGTGGTGTCGCCGTATCGATGTCACGTCCTCTTCCTGTGTTGCCACAACTTTGAGCCTTGCACTTGGATTGTCTACTGTCATATGAATGAAGTCGAGTGGAGCTAGCAACGCGAGGAAGGATGCATCCGCAAACTCTCATGCTCTTCGTTTGGAAACAACGCATTGAGCAACAGGTCTGTCCCCACAAAACACTTGCTACCATCTAACTAGATCAACGAGCATCTTTCTGAGTTCAGATGATGAATATCATTCTTCATGCCCCATAATTGTGTCTCACGTCTCTCGGAGTCATGATTTCACGTATGGATTGGACTTGCTTCCTTAGCTGAGTTTGGTGGAGGCATTGAGAATTCCCCAGCTGTGTATGCACAGGATCAGAATCTTCGAACTTCTATCTTTTTATGAGAGTTTATGGATTGATTGCTAGCCTCCTGCCCTTCTATTTCGCAGCCAGTTGATCCATCTTCTTCGGTTTCGCTCGCCGCCCCGTCTTCTTGCAAGTTTTCGGAGCTCTCCAAACGTAATGGCAAGTTAATCAAGGCGAGTGAGGACCAGAACTCTCAGCCCACGGACGTCATGAGGAGCAAATGGCTGATATCACGAGACCCGGCCCGAGAAAGACCAAAAAGGCAACAGCAGTGAAAAGCATAATAAGCTCCAAGATTGAAAGAGAAAGTGATCAATCTACTTGCGGGAATGAAAGATTCGCACCATGTCACTCCCCAAAAAGAAAGGGATCACTGGATTAATTCTCGGTGCTGGGTAGGTAGCACCATGATTAGAGCTTTTGAAGTCGTACGTTGATCTGCTTAATACTACAGCTTGAATGGACAGAACAAAGAGCAGTTACCGACCGTCATCGATGCACAAACACAAAGATCCCTGAATCTCTTCTGCATGCTGTATATTTCGTTGCCCATTTCGCCTTGCTCAGTCATGCAATGAATATATTTACTCGGGTGATTGAATAGGATGTGCTTTGTTGGAAGAAAGTGATGGTTCTCAATTTGAGGCGAAGTGACAGCTGGCAAGGCTGAAATTTCAGGGGCAGCTTCATCGAGGTTTCCGCCATGCCACTTTTTGCTTTCGGTGTTGGGAGCGTAAGAACACTGCGTCCGATCACTTTCAAAGAGCCCCTTTATATTATTTTCATTAATCAAGGATTATGTATATCTGTGTGCTGCTTGCCGGCCTGTGACGTTCTGGAATTGTGGTTCCTACGTCTGAAAATATGCTTCTGGGAAAAATTGGAGGCATTCCATTGCCATCCCCCTATGGAGAGTTCGCCTGCAACTCTTCACTGACAGTAGGACTGATGCCATAGACGGGCTCAGGGATATCTATGGCACAATTTGGCAGTTCCACGCCATACGCGTCGAAGGTAATCTCGTCCGTCGTCGCGTTGTACGTAATCCATCGTCTGTTTAGCAAATCTCCATCCTGTGCCCGATCGAAGAAATTCTGCGGTGCAAACATTATATTGGACACGGCCTCAGTGAAAAGCGTGACTGGAATATCTTCAGCTCGAGTAAAATGATGCATGCCCAGATTAACCCAAACCACCAAGTCTTCCTGCTCGATGGGCTCGTCATCAAAGAATTTGGAAAAATCTTGCTGAGGCGCGTAAGGGAGGTTGATGTTCTGTACCGAATTTCCGTATGGCTCATTGTCGTGTTGCTTCGTCACAGCCAGGTGATATTTTGCCATCTCGGAGTTTTTCAAGGAGAACGGGGAATTAAGAACAGAAAGGTGCAGGTCGGATTGTCCGGGCACAAGGCGATAGCCACGCTTCTCCCCCCAAACATTGGTTGCGTCTTGATTGACAACGCAGTACATGGCTTGATTGTTAGAGGCCCAATTGAATCTCTTTTCGGTCTCCAGGTAGCTAACGTTCAATTCCATTTGCTCAAACTCTCCGAGCTCAGGGAACCAAGGTTGACTTTGGTTGACCACAACCAGTTCACTTACCTCAAAAGAGTTCGCGGTGCTGATGATGTCAAAGTCCGCTTTCCAAGTAAGGATGTGATCGTGAAGCGATCCCTGAGTAGCCGGGGCGATCCGAGGTCCAAATCTCTTCTGGTCTGGGTAGTAAAAGCTGGACTGCAGGAAGCCGCTGGCCCTCACTTCCACTTGGACAGCTCCGTCAGTTGAAAAGTGGTAACTAAACATGTAATCATAATTGCCGACTGTCGCAATGGTACGGATGACCAGTTCAGATCCCTTCACGACTCCCAGCTGGCTGAATGGATAGTCACCTTCACTGCTGCCGTAGCGATGTCGAGACAAGGGGAACCCCATGTCTTGTTCAAAGATGCAGATCGCATCTTGATTGGTAATGGACATATTTTGCTCGTGATAAGTCGTATTCCAAAACGTTGAGCCAAAGGGACAATCAAATCCTTCAACCAGGGTTGCCAAATCCGTTCCAAGACTGTAATAGGTGTCATGATACACCGTATTACTGGCTTTCGGCTGATAACCTGCGTATTGGGCCAGGGCCTCTTGCAGAGACAGCTCGTAGAGAATTCGTTCGCCTTGGAACTTGATGTCGTAGAACATAATGCCCAAGGTCCGCGAAAAGGACAAGTAGAACGAAAACCCCATGTACTCAATATATTGCTCATTCGCATCAAGTTTATAGCGTTTCCCGCCAAGTTCGAGGCTTGAAGGGGCAAAGTGCTCTTCGAGGGCCCGCACACCCAGCTCAGGTTTATAATCGACGAGGGTCCAATCCGTATCCTTGGTCTGAACATATGTCTGTGCGATCTCACCGGCTTCAAAAGCGGCTCGGAGAGAAGCTTCGTCGGGGTAGAACTTCTCATTCGTGACGTAGCCTTTAACTGAATAGTGCGATGGATCAGTGCCGGGGCAGTCAATCAGAAGGTAAAAGTCAATGGGGGTCAAGTAAGTCCCTGAGCCTGGTAGTCTGAACATAACATTTCGGAATCCCTGGGAGCCGTCGAATGAGATTGGAGTACCTGCAGTAGTTGATAGTGTGGTTCTGTCGTCTGAGGGGCCGAAGTACACGGCCCCATCGAACAAGGCGGCTGTGATGTCTGAAATATTGCCCATGGCTGAAGCAATCAATGGATTTACAGCGTCGGACTTGATGCTATCGGCATAGCGAGCGTTGAAGGGGACAGATCCGCCTCTGCCACCATTGTAAATCTATCCCTGTCAACCTTGTTCTTTCATGCCCTATACTATGAACGTACGTAATCGAGTTTTTGTACAGTTGTCTCTGCAGAGACCGGGAGAGGGCCAATCATATATTCCTGTGAGTCTGGCTCGGCCTTTCCTCCTTCAAAGATGATGGCCCTTGCATACTTGGGGGGGAGAGGACCGTCGCCGTCAATGTAAGGGAGAACATCTGATTTGTTGGTATGAAGAGTGTCGATCCAAAAAACATAGTTGTCCGTAACCGTAGCGTCCTCGGGTTTGGTCAAGTTCAGGCCTGTGGCAGGATCGTGGAGAAGTGTCCAGACGTCGATGTTGTCCTGAGCACTGATGGGAAGCCAAACATTGGTCTTTGGAGCAGTCACTGCTGGCGCATCACCGGCGTAGCAATTACTGCCAGCAGCATGCCTCTTGATGAAGGCATCCAGAAGGACTCTCCTTTCATAACCAAGAGGAGGCAGCGCAGAGGCAGCGACAAGAGTGACACAGCCGACTGAACCAAGAAGTGGTAAATACATGATGAGGAGTGGTGCGAGGAACAGAAACTCCTCGAAACTAGATGCTCACGAAACAACCGGGTCATCTACCGATTTATACCTCTCATGAGCATTTGGTACTACCTCGATATTTCGACCTTTCCGAGGTCGCACAACACCATACTCACGTCCATACAACGTCATCCAGGTCCCTTCCGCGTAGTCCGGCACGCATTGCATTGAGGGAGGCTATTGCCAAGTGAACGGGTTGGTATGGCGGCTGGCAAGCCTGGACACGTGGGAAGATAACCCCTCCTGTGATGTTCATTGTCCAATCGCCGTCACCTCTGACGATGGTTGAGAAACCGATAAGCGATGTAAACAATGGCATGCATTGCTGCCAAGTCCAATATCCCAAGTCGAACGGACTGCGTATTGCAGGGGATATTCGGAGAAAACTCTATCATCTTTTCCATATCAACGTGCCTGATACCAAAGGTGGGCGAGGCTGGGCATTGGCGTGGCTGTGGAGAATAGCGGGGGAGACAACGACAAATTGTGTCGAATGAGCGAACCAGGACCTGCCGCCCATGTCCGTCGAAGAACCAACAGAGTCTGGGAACGGTTGGGATCTACCATTCAAGTATAGGCTTGAAGAGGAAGCTGAAAAAGATAAGACATAACTGTTTAAATGCCATAAAGTGGAGCTTCACAAGCATTTCGAATTCCAAGGATCCTTTGGTGTCGGCAGTTTGCAGCATGATAAGACGAAAAAGCATTACAAAGTAGAATTTCAAAGAGGGTGCGTCATAATGCTCGAGCCAAGAAGTTAGATCTGGGCATGGTTCAGAGACGGGCTCGGTTAATGGCTCGTCTTCGACTTCCCAGATGCAAAGCTTCATCTCACATCCCAAATGGTTGTTTGTCTAAGCATAACGTCTCCTTCTCCAGCGGCACAAAGGCCTCACAATTTCATCCCACAGTTCTGCAAGCTACTCAATGGAAACAGCATGCCTACAGAGCTGACAGAGGGCTTTCCGCTTGCTTTCGTGTGCAGATTAGATGGTCGGACGTGACTGCACAGAGGGAACGGATCGAGCGACCTCGAGGCTGTCAAGGTGAGCTTGTCAGGAGCCGTAATCATGGGTTTAACAATCCTGGGACGTGAGAGAAACATAAGAGCGCCAGTTCAAAGGCTGATATCACCTAGGCGCAAATATATAAGGCTTATGCGTTAGATCCTGGATATTCATATCTTACCTACAGGAAAATAGAATGTCCTGGACGTTGAAATATATTGAACAAAGATTGGAGATGTTGTCGACAGCCAAATAGGCCAACCCTGTCCGGCTGTTGAACATTGGGTTGAGCAAGCATGATTGATATGGAAATCACTCATGATTTCCCATATGCTTTTGAACTCAAATTCTCCGAACATCAAAGAGGGCAGCGAAGAAATGTGGTAAGCAGAAGAAAAAGGAAGAAAATAAATGAGATGAAGTCTACCTTGTCACAGAGGATAAGCAAATCAGGAAGGGAGGAAGAGCAATGCTACCGGAGCCGCCTCCGATTGGCCCGCCGTCACACTGCCTAACTCGATTTGCTTGTGAATTCTATGCCTGTAGTCCTCCACAATTCGTACACTTTCGTGACTGTGTCTCTCATTCATACCCAGGTATTCATCCCACGAGATGATTCCAGATTCCTTCTCTCCCAAACCCGGCCATCCTCAATGATGCTTCGCCCGTCCAGATGACCTCCAGGCCAATACGCAAGCTCCCCAAGCCCGCGCTCTATCCCGCCTCTGGTTCCCGATGGAACCTCAATCCATCCCTCCGACTCCAGTTTTCTCGTCGTTGCAGGTCCACGGCGGCCGCCAGTAGCAGCCGGCTCCTGCGGAAGGTATTTCCCAAGAGATATCTGGCACAAGTCCGGTCTGAACCCATCTCCGAGGTCTGGTTTACAGCATCGGCTCCAAAATCCGGTCCTGCGGATGAGTTACTCGGCACAACACCTCCAAGAAGCAATGGGACACAGGATCACAAGCCTCCAGATGAGCGCTTACTGAGACTGGGAAAGAGTACGCCATCACATCGCACAGACTTTTTTTCCATTGGGATGCTGACGATCTTTAGCCCTCCGACGACTGTCCCCGCTGCTTCCCAACATCCTCACAACCCCTCTCCCGAACGATATTCTGTCTCCTAATATCTCTCTCCACCTCTTTCCCTCGACGCATCCTCATCTACCTGCGGTGAAAGGCCGCGTCGCCTACCACGCTGCACTCTGGACCGCCCCAGTTGCTTGGGGATGCGTCCCAATCGTAGGAAACGTCAAATTGAAAATCATCTCGGAGAAAGTCGTTCGAACAGGGTTTGCCTATCTGACTCCGGCCAATGAAAATGAAGGCGAGGCTTCAGATCTGAGCGAAGAAAAACTCGTGGTCAGATGGAAGACTGAGCCCAAGCAGAATGGAAACGGAAATCCATCTGCCGACGCCGGAGCCTCATCGTCAGTACAATCAAATGCCGCCTCTGACAGCGGCATCAATCGAGGCCTGTCGAAACTCCTTGGCGGCGATAAACCAATATTTAACCTCAACAAAGGCGATGACTTCACAGGCCTCTTCATTTTTACATTTGACTCCAAAGGCCGTATCTCTAGCCATACCATTGAACACGCTGATGAGAACAATGGGTTCGATAAGACCAGCAAAGTCGTCACGTTGACAGACTGGCTTTTGGGAAAGGCCAAGTGGAGAAGAGGCAGAGACAAGGAACAGGAGCTTGTACCAGGATTGGCAATGAGGGTGTGCAGGGACGAATGGAATATCAGGAGACGGTTGCCCTGAGAAATCCACCCAAGCAACCCTTGATCCCATGGGAAGCGATTCCATATATATATATATACCGCGACACCAGAGCACATCAACCTCCGACTCTAGCGCGTCGACGAACCTGACTGCGACAGCAAAATCGCCTCACTTGTTATAAGTACTGTTTTGATTGCTTGACGGCATGACCGGCCGACTAATTGATTGATGGACAACGACGATACCCTCCGCTCCAAGGGACGAAGTGAATGACAGCGATTGAAGCGATAGAGCCACCTCCATGGCTAAGTCTAACCAACACAAACAGGTGTTTTCAAGACAAATACGTACAGATATGAAACGCGGTATGGACACAGGCTGGCTTCCTTGTATCAACTATGCAAGAAAAGAATATTCCCACTCTGCTAATATATTTTGAGCCACACTGCCATTCTTCATGATTTGTTACTTCGTTCTGCCTTAACTTGACCATAGAGTGACAACCTGTGCAATGTGCTACGAGGTAAAGCCATCCCTCGGATTGGTCTGTTCCTTCCTCCACGCAGAAACTCTGTCCGCGATCCTCGACTCCTCTATCCGCTGTCCATCCCGCCCACACCAGAATCTTTTTCAAACAGGTTAGATTGTGTCCTCAAGAGCGAGCACCTGTCCCACAAGGTCAGAACACAGTTCAACGCCAAAGGTCAAATATGTGGACAATGATCACTTACCAGAGCGGTTCTTGTCGGGATATAAACTTGGGTAAAGTTTTTTCTATTGTTCCAGGGTAGATCAGTGGTGAAGAAGCGAGTGTCTTTTGCATTCCTCCCCAAGCCACCGTACTCGGGTGCGTCCGTGTCGATGACAATCTTGTACACGCCTGCCTGCTCGACGCCGACACGGTAGTCAGTGAAAGACTTGGTAGGATGGAAGTTGAAGACCCAGAGCAGGCCTGCTCGCTCGAAGACGAGGACTTTGTCCGATTCGTTCTTCAGTGAGATATATGCCTGAGGAGAATGGAGCCAGCCGTATTTCTCCTCGGTCCATTGCATCGTGCGGTCGAACTCGTTGAGGAACTTGTACCGCAGCAGGTGGTCTTCCGTGAGATTGAATTGTCGGCGGGCGTACCAGAATGAATTCTGATTGCCTTCGCGAGGGAAGTCGAGCCATTCAGGATGGCCGAATTCGTTCCCTTCGAAATTGAGGTATCCTTCTCCACCGAGACCGTGTGTGACTAGGCGAATCATCTTGTGCAGGGAAAGAGCTCGCTCGATGGTTGGGGTGAGTTCTGTCAGTATGGACATGTGTGTGTACATTTCTGCATCTGCCAGCCACATCATCAACGTCTTGTCACCCACGAGGGCTTGGTCGTGAGATTCGGCGTAGGCAATGGTCTTCTCCCCGAGTCTTCGGTTGGTCAGTGTGAATGCAATATTTCCAATATCCCAGTCGTCGTCCGACTTTTCTTTCAACAATTTGATGTACATGTCTGGTATGGCCATGGCGAGTCGGTAGTCAAAGCCAACACCACCCAATGAAAGCTTCAAACATAGTGCGGGCATGCCGGAAACGTCCTCGGCAATGGTGATGCAGTTGGGATAGATGTTATGGAGCATCTCATTTGCTAGCATCAGATAGACAACAGCCTCTTCGTCGACCGAGGGCCCAAAGTACTCGTGGTAGCCGCCAGAGAAGCCAGTGCCGATGCCATGATGAGTGTAAAGCATTGATGTCACTCCGTCAAATCGGAAGCCATCGAACTGATATTCGTCCATCCAGAAGCGAAGGTTGGAGAGAAGGAAGCGCATGACCTCATGATGACCGTAATTGAAGAGCCGGGAGTCCCACAAATCATGTCGACCCTTTCCACCTTCGTGGAAGTACAGGTGATCACTCCCGTCAAACATGTTCAGGCCATCCAATGTGTTCTTACTTGCATGGGAATGCACAATGTCCAGGAGAACAGTGAGCCCCATGCCGTGAGCGGTGTCGACGAGTTCTTTCAGGTCGTCGGGGGTGCCATATCGGGAACTTGCGGCAAAGAATGAGTTGACCTGATATCCAAAACTGGCATAATAGGCATGCTCCATGATAGCCATCAACTGGATGACATTGTATCCGAGATATTTGATTCGCGGAAGCATATTCTTGGTGAACTCCTTGTAGGTGGCCACCTTGAGATCGGGGGTGGAGATGCCGACGTGTGCCTCGTAGATTCGGACGCTTTTTGGATAAGGGGCCCGAGGATTCTTGAAGACATATCTTTCTGACGGAGGTGGATTCCATAGTACCGCATCATAGACGGGTGAGACCGCCAGTTCCTGCGTGACTCTGGTGATCCAGGCCGGTAATCTCTCGATCCGTTCTCCTCCAGGAAGCACCATAGATATCTTCAATTTGGTGTTGTGTGATATTGCGGGCACGCCGTCCTTGGCAGGAAGGGTCAGCTCCCATACGCCAAAGTTGTTCTTCTTCATCGGGGTGGCTTTTCTGTCCCAGTTATTGAACTCCCCAATCAGAAATGCCTGCTCAGCGTTCGGCGCCCATTCCCTATAAGTAATATCGCCATTGCTAGAGAATGTGAAGCCAAACTTTTCATAACCTCGACTAAACTTCTCCAGGCCCCCTTCGGTCTCGTCGATAGTCTTGATCCACTTCTGAGCCTTTGCGAATCGAGCTTTTAGAGCGTCTTTGTAAGGGGACAGCCAAGGGTCTAGCTGTATGACGCCTATTGATGAGTCTATTAGAAGAGTCTCCCGGAACGATGTGAGGTGTCGAACCTGTGCCATCTGGAGCAACTTCGGCACTTGCAGGCTGAGCCCATACAGAATTTTCCGACGCCTGGTTCAGCGCCATATCTGTGGAAGAATGCAGTTCAGGACAATGGATTGATGGAGTCAGACGATAGAATGAAGAAAACAGGACAGGCCGGAAAAGGCTGGACGATCGAGTTCAAAATGTCTCAGGAATATATATTCAGCTCTTCTTGAGCTATTTGGACGTGTTGGCGGGGTCTGAGCACCCCTGGAAAACTGTTGAACATTGAGGTGTTTACTTGGATTGCATGCGGCATTCGATTTGTTTTGCGGCGAAATTTGTCCCCAGCATTTTTGCGATGACATCAACTCAGACCACTCTCGCTGCGCCAGGCGGCGTGGGGGAGGCTTCGCCCCAAGGAGTGAAACGGTCAATGGCTTCCGATCCCCGCCAACGTCCTTCCGACAGATTTTCCGGTCATTTTGGTTGCGATACTCGAGCTGTTGGAACACGAGTATCTGGATTTCCTTCAGTCCTATCGTCTCTGGTCAGAAGGTTAGCAAGCACTGGCTATCTCATTTCCTAGCCGTCAATCCTCCGTACACTCTGGCTCTCATAGGTCTCCCAAAGTCTTCATCAAAACCTCCCTTTCTTTACCACCCAATGCAGATTGCTTGATTATCATCTCTCGTTCATCCCTGCCTATCATTTTGAGAACTGCGTGGATTTATCGTGCCCTCTTGCGCCAACGGCAAACACCGAGGCGCCACAAAAGACCATCTAACCTATATAGATCCATTGATGCAGGGATCTTTCTCCAGGACATTCATTGCCGATCTCGCGTCTTTCACACATGACTCGGCTGAGCGGGAAACCGACAACCAAGTCTCAGGACTGAGATTCCACGTCGAAGGCTGGATAGCTTTTCATTGATCCGTAAACTGACGAAAGGCCAACTACTCCTCCAGCTGCACCAGATAAAAGAATTGCCGGCTGCTGAAACCCTTGTTCAGATTATCCCTGTCATAATTCCCAGAGAGATGAAAAAATCCAACGGAGGACACTGTTGGCACCCACAGCAATGGAAAGACGTTCCACTGTCCAGACTGACTTCCGACCATCATTGGGAGCATCAAACTGTGGAGCGTGCTCCAGGCCATCGTCAGAACATATGTGCCGCGTCTTCCTTGAGTTTAGGCCTGAAGGCGGGCCATTATGTACTGTCGTGACGATCCATGGACTCTGTCGTTTTGATTGGAAGTTGAGGTACATATATAGCTGGGAGAAGATAAAGGGAAGTAGATGCTTTGATGCTTAGGCCAGTGTTTCTGCTAAGCTGAAGCTCAGCCGTACGGCCACGATCTCAATTTCTAGTCCAATGGTTTGATAGTCATGGTCAGAGTCACAGAAAGGAAAGACGGTCCAAATTACTTTGGGTGAGCTGGTCTAGCATCTGTCAATCAACTCTGCAGAGCAAGTTCGAAATATTTTGTAGTGGTTTCATGTCAAGCACGAGCACATGCGTTCGACGGGGTGTCATGATTTATTTGCACGTGATTGGATTACATAAGGCGGTGGTGAGAGTCACATTCAAGTGCAGCTGCACTCTGTGGATTCCCTCGACTCACACCCCAGATGCAGCTTGGTTCTTGGACTTGTGTATAAGAGGTCAATGTGTATGTCTTTATTGGCTTCCTTTCCATATTCTTAAGAGACTTCTGGGCTCTACAGCGATGCAGATGCTTGGTATACTACCCATGTACCTTTGCCCTGCTCTCGACAGCACCATGGCCTCCTCCATCCCTAGCCAGGTACGATCCACCTATATCGCCTGGAGCCGCCGTTCGTTTTCTTCCAGCACCCCTGCGCTCTCTTCATCTCAATTCCATCGTTCCGATTTTGCCAATCAACCTTTCTCCAGCATATATGAGCCTGGGCTTCCCACCTCCGGTCCGTTGGGCGGGGCTTCCCTCTACGGTGCGCCACGGCTCACTCCCAAGATGTTGAAGCAGCATCTCGATCAGTTTGTCGTCGGCCAAGAACGAGCGAAAAAGGTTCTCAGTGTCGCCGTGTTCAATCACTACCAAAGGGTACAAGAACTACAAAGACGGGAGGAAGAAGAGGAAGAGCTGATCGCACAGAGAACACGTAGAGAGCGTCATCCTGTCGAAAATGAATTCCCTGGTCAACAGCCGACTATTCGTATGGGTGCACCAGCCCCGTCCGCTTTCGACCAGCATACAAATACTTCACGCCTCGTTGATACAAGCCCACTGACCCTGGAGAAGTCGAACATCCTCCTCCTAGGGCCTAGCGGAGTTGGAAAGACATTGATGGCGAAGACCCTGGCGCGAGTTCTGTCGGTACCATTCTCCATGTCAGATTGCACCCCTTTCACGCAGGCTGGGTACATTGGCGAAGATGCCGAAGTTTGCGTTCACCGTCTTTTGGCTGCTGCGAACTATGACGTTGAGAGGGCTGAACGTGGCATTATTTGTTTAGACGAGGTTGACAAGATTGCAACAGCAAAAGTCAGCCACGGCAAGGATGTTTCTGGCGAAGGTGTACAGCAAGCCCTGTTGAAAATCATCGAAGGCACCACCATCCAAATCCAGGCTAAACCTGAGCGAAATGCACCACGGGCAGGCGGTCAATCACAGACCTATCCGACAAATAGCCCGTTGGGAGGTGGGTTCGGCGCCAGCTCTAGCCCATCAAGCAACGCCGCCACCCCCGCAAAGGGCGAGGTTTATAATGTTAGGACCGACAACATTCTTTTCATCTTCAGCGGCGCATTTATTGGACTACAGAAGCATATCATGGATCGATTGACCAAAGGAAGCATAGGTTTTGGAGCAAGTGTACGCTCAAGCTCCAATTTGCTTTCCTACGGACGCGACCAGAAATCAACAACCACAAATCCTGTGCCCATCCTGCCTGGCTCGCAAGAAGAGGCTCTGTATAAGAAGCATTTGCCATTCTTCACCCCCGCGCCAGCACCCGAACAGAATTCTCCTGATGGCACTCCCCCCGAGCCCAATTATTTTAACCCATTGGACCTAGCTACCCCGGCCGACCTGCAGTCTTACGGCTTCATTCCTGAACTTGTTGGCCGCATACCAACGACTGCTGCTTTATCCGCCCTAACACATTCTCTACTTCTACGCATCCTGACGGAACCCCGTAACTCCCTTGTTGCGCAATACATCACTTTGTTCTCTCTTTCCGGTATAGAGCTTCGTTTCACCACACCAGCCCTCCATGTCGTCGCGGCAAACGCTCTTGCTATGGGTACAGGAGCCCGTGCTCTTCGTACCGAAATGGAGACCATCCTTGGTGATGCAATGTTTGAGGCACCGGGGAGCAGCGTAAAATATGTCCTGGTAACTGAACGTGTGGCAAAGAGGGAAGAAGGAGCAATCTATTTTGGCAGAGGTCAAGGTGGAAAGTTTCATGCTCTCATCGCCCAAGAAGAGGGTGATTGGGAGGACAAGCAAAAGCGGAGGGATGTGGACAAGAAGAACGAAACCACGTCGGCCAGCTTTGAAGACTGGAGAACAAAGACTACAATGGCAATTGGAAGCGGAGGTTGAGCGTGGGATGGAGTCTTGTTACTTGTCGACGACAATGAGTGACGATTGATGAACGAGTCAACGAACGATCAGAGCGTGTATCTTCCACGACTTCCCATATTATCCCATGTTGCTGCCATTATTCGATCAGACTCGGAAGGTTGTCAACACTTTTCCCTAGCCCATCTACCAGCGTCCACTCTCCGACCATGAACTTCTCGGAAGACCGGTCCCTCGATACCGAGAGATCGCCTGAGCTCTGAGCCTTTATCACATGCAAAGTGAACGCATCACAGCCCTGACACAAGGCCGACCTACCTTCTACAGCCCAGACCTGAATTCAACAATTATTGTTGAAAGTTTCGATTTTTCTGTTGGGATTCGTCCCAGCGCGCGCTCGCCGACTTGGTCAACACCGTGATTTTCAATCACACCTCTTGGGGTGATCTAGGAAGAGATCGTCGACGACAGGGACCTCTGACTGCCGGGGTGATCGCTAATGAATGGTTTTCAAGGATGGCATAGGGGAAAACGCCGAAACCCGTCTAGTGCATTGAGTCTCTTGGACCGAGGTTCGATTCGCCTTGTGCCATTTTTTTTTTTTTTTTTTTTTTTGCTCCTTTGGTGCAGAGAATTATTTCTAGATTTAGTAAGACCCCATGCTCCTGAAAGAGAGTCTGTGTGATAGGTCGGTGGGAGATGGTCGCGGCGGGAATCTTGTGGATTTCTTTTCCAGCATTAAGTCATGCACTGGGCAGACTAGCAATGACAGCAACAAATATGCAATACTACCAGCCGAAGAAGTCTTCCTATGGGCGAAATTTACTATTTATTTGGAAGATATGGACGGGATACAATGTCCATCAGGGCTGTGATTGGAGGGGATTCGGATTCTATCTAAGCAGAGCGAGTGCGGTACCCTGAAGAGGATGAATGGCCCATTCTTCAACGATAATGCCTTGCAAAAGAGCCGATCCCTCTTTGGATCAAGAGAAAGACACATACCAAACTCAGAACAAATCCAAATCAGATATGACGGAGACGCGCAGACCAAGCATAGCTCACAAGGCTGAGCCTTAGTTTACTTGATACTCTGGGTAAGGCCAAGCTGGTAACAAAAAAAGGGGGGAGATGGTGCCGACAAAGATTTCCCCTACCTACCCAATCATAGTCCCGACCCGGCCACCAAGCCACCAAGAGCCGCGTACCAACCGGGCTCCAACAATTGCTACTCACGACGTTACCATGGCCGTAGTAAGATGATCACACAATCTGCATTGTTCCTGCATTTGGGGCCTTTTTCGCCAACAGCTGTTCTCCTATTTTAATCTCATGTATGCATAAGAGAGCGCGCTGGTCGCTGCATCGCATACAAATATCTTTCGACACCACGCTGCATTCCTCATCTTCGATCACAGTGAAGCTGCCCACAATGGAGTCGGTCACTGCTCAACAGCGGAAGAAGATCCTCCGCGTGCTCTTCATCTCTTTGCTTCTTGACCTGGTGAGTGAAAACTGGACGCAGCACCTCTCGTTGCGTGGCTAACCACACCAGATCTCTTTCACGTTCATTCTGCCTCTGTTCCCTTCACTTCTCACCTTCTATCGAAGTCTAGAAACCCACCCTTCGTCCGCCCTCAATCGCATTCTCCACTACCTGAATGCCTACAAACAGTCTTTCGCCGTCCCCATCAATGCAAAATATGATATCATTCTTTTGGGAGGTGCACTGGGATCCTTGTTCTCCCTCTTGCAGGCGATTGCCAGCCCGATCATTGGTCGGGCTTCAGACAAATATGGGAGAAGAAAAGCACTGCTTTGGAGCATGTGCGGGAATATCGCGAGCGTGGCACTGTGGTGTGTCGCGGTGGACTTCCGTACATTCTTACTGAGCAGGATTGTCGGTGGATTGAGCGAGGGCAATGTTCAGCTGGCGACGGCTATTGCGACAGATATCAGCACCGATGCTCAGCGCGGATCCACTATGGCTCTTGTTGGGGCATGTTTCAGCATTGCTTTCACCTTTGGACCGGCAATGGGCGCAGCTCTGGCCAGCATCACAACAGTAGTGGCCAATCCGTTTGCGACAGCTGCCGGCTTCTCACTGCTGTTGATTGTGGTCGAAACCCTGTATTTGTATCTTCGGCTTCCGGAGACTCTCCCCCCCAAATCCTCGACTTTTGATTCAAAGGCTGCTCGAACTGCCCCAAAATCGTCCAAGCACACCAACAACCCGGCCATTCTCAATGTCATCCATTTTCTTTTCCTCCTACCTTTCTCCGGACTGGAATTCTCCCTACCTTTTTTGATCACCTCCGTTCTTTACCCTGACCATCTGTCGCCCTCCAAGTTGAATGGACGGTTGCTTGGGTTTGTTGGATTGGTCGCGTCCCTCCTTCAAGGCTCGATCGTGCGACGCTTGCCCCCATTGGTCGTCGTGAGGGTGGGCGTGGTATCTTGTACCCTGGCATTTTTCCTACTTTCTCGGGTCCGGGATACAGTTGGGCTGTATTGCGCTGGCGCATTACTAGCTGTGACTTCAGCTACAGTGGTGACGGGCCTGAATAGTTTGGGAAGTCTTGAAGCAAAAGAAAGTAACCGAGGGGAAGTTTTGGGCGCTCTGCGCAGCTGGGGGCAACTTGGGAGAGCTTTGGGCCCGATTGTGTTTTGCAGTCTATTTTGGTGGGCAGGTCGAGAAACTGCTTACGTGGTGGGCGGCAGCGGCATGTTGTTTGTGACGGGCCTTGTCATGACTGTGCTGAAGACTCCCAAACTGGAAAAGAAGGAGCCATGATGTGATAAAGAAGAAAGGAAAGATCATAACATTTTGGAGAATCGATAACGGAAAAGCAAACAAATGGAATGAAATTGCAGATGACCTGATGGGACGGATGCCTTCACTGCACATTTCGAGCACAGGTGCCAATCTGTCAACCACCCTGGCAGGGCTCTCCTAATTCTTCAAAGCTACTTTTATTGCCTGTTTTCTATTCAGACTGCATCGCCTGCGATCCTTCTCCACTTTTCTTCCGGATTTTCGTTGACTTTTTCTGTCGCCTTCACCGTTGCGACTTTGCGTTGAATTGCACCTCGTCGCCTCCTCTCGCAGACTCTTGGCCTCGAGAACCAGATCCGGTGAGGCACATCCGTTGCCTGCTGAGTGGTAAGTTCGTCATTCCCGGAGCTCGTTAGGAGGCTTCAAGACGAGTTTGGCTAATATTGGGAACATAGAGACCGCTACACCTCTCACTTTCCATCGCGTCTTCGAAAGTAAACCCTGAAAACCTTGTTGCAAATCAACCAATTCTTCCCAGGAAGAAAGCAGCAAACCTCCCTAATGCACACTCTCGGCCTCCCTCCGTACAAAATATCTCAATGAGAGAACCAATACATGAGACTTAGCCCTCGCGAAGTTTCTCCGACACTACAGAAGCTTAAAATATCTCCCAGGTCAACGACCCGCTCTAGCACTATTCCAACATGTCTTGAAACCTATAAGGCTTCCACCAACTGGCTTCCACCAACTTACTGCCTCATGTATAAAATGGGGGACTTCGGCTGCGATTTGGTTGGCCTGCGCCGAATACAAAAGTGGGATTAAATCAGTACGATCTCGGTATTGCCCGTTGGGTGCCCGGAGGAGCATTCTGTCGATCTAATCCAGCCAAATTACAACAAAAGTCATCGGAACACGCCCTGCATCCATCCCCTCCGCGACCTGGCCCAACAGGGGCACCATGATCCCTCACCCAGCGCAACCCCTTAGTCCTAATAGCCGAGTCCCATCAAGGTCGATTATACGCGTACGACATCCTCGATGGCACATGGCTCGACCATCCGCTCCTGGGAAGGTAACGACCCGCCCTCCGCGGCCCCACCGTGAACGGCGTGCAGAACCACGATGGATGGGTATATTTCACAAATTCAGATCGCGCTGTGCTGGGAAGGGTGAGGATTAACGTGGAGATGGGGCTTCCTGCTCTCACAACCAAGGCTAAATTTTGCTGAGAATGCGACGGACACGGACTTGACGTTGACATCGAGATGCTCGCAGCAGGCTGTGCGGGAGTCGGCCTTGCACTCGTTTACGCAGGGAAACTGCTATGTGGCGATGAATTCGATGAATACGGCGTTGAAATTTGAGAGCGTCGCTGGACAGACTCATTCTGTCCCGTCCAATGCACTGACATCATCTTCATCCCTGCCGACACGGCAATCAGTCCACAGAGCCTGAACGATCTACTATCGTTCGGGTCTTTCCCGCTCAATCTTGTCTCCCGAATCGGCTCCTCAAACACAAATTGAACCATAAGTAGACCCCGAAACAGCAGGACCGACCGTCGTAGCATCTGGCCGCACGGACGTCAACAAAAGCGAACCGGTATGTGGTCACAAACAGGGGAATCATTAATCCCGTAGGAGAGCTTAAGCAAGCCAAGATTCTGAGTATCGACCGAAGACGAGTAGATGAAAGAATAGTACAGATATGTAACGGCTTAGCATAACGGCATACTTAATATCTCTACCTTCAAGTCCACGATTATCTGACTACACAAGACACAGCAGATCTCGCTATTGAGGGTTCCAAGGAGACTGCTATGTATGTGTAACACGGCTCAACAGTTATATATGTTCTAACTAATTTTCCACTCGGCCCTCGGAAAATATATGGCTGGGGCGCCCAGCTTCCGGTTCGAAATATCCACGAATGAGACCGTGAATCCAAGATGGTCCAGTCCCCTTCCTAATTTTGGAGATTCCTGGGCGTAAAGCAGAATCTTGAGTCCCATAGAGAAGTGGCGGGAAAACATCGATCGAAATGACCGAAAGAACAAATAGGAAAGAACCAAAAGGAAACACGGCCCGAGCCATTTGAGAGCCATTGACGCAGAAATCCTTATACAGGACCCATATATACACTAAGGAAAGAGTTGATCTCCCAATCTGTTAACAGCCTTTGAAACTTGGGCAAAGAGTGTCCCAGTTGGACAGGGCGTCAATCGTGACGATAGAAAGCCCTGATTTCTTTTTGGAAGTAACACACGTGTATATATATATAATACGAATTTTCCCTCCCGCTCTTTGAATTTCGGGTTTAAATAATTTCAACCTCCTTCAGTCGTGGGCCTCGACCATACCAATTGCGGCAAGATTCAAACCGGGCCAGTGTTTCTTTCCCCAGACGAACCAATACACCAGAGAGCAGATGACGACAAAGGCATAAATCGGAAGGGCATAGTTCATGTTCGTACCGGTGACGGGTAGGGTAGTGGGGAATGGGAGCCAGATGGTCAAGTAAATTGTCCAGCATAAAGCAAAAATGTTGACTGGCGCTCCAAAGCCTTTCCACATGCGCCATCCTCCGTAAGGAACTGCGGCACCGGGCTTGTCGCTAAGGCGACCGGTGAAGCGGGCGTGCAAAATGCAGCTGATCGCAATGATGTAGGAGGTGTAGAGACCAAGGGAGGACAAGGCAGTAAAGGCGCTGAAAGCGGTCGCGGCGGTTGATCCGATATTAAGAAGAGCCAGCAGCATGACGATGATAATCGGGATCCAGAGGGCGTTGGTCGGAACGTGATGCTTGGGGTCAATCTAGGAAAATTCGTTAGCTGACAAGCGACCAAAAATTGGTGTATTCGACGCACAATCGCAAGCCATCTGGGAAGCGCCCCGTCACGAGCCCATGCCCAGGTGATGCGCGAAACGGAAGCAACGCTGGCTGCAACCACACAATAGGTGACAATAATCAATCCTGAAACCATAGCGTTTGCAGCTGGCATTGAGCCGGTGGCATTGAGACAGATGGGAATAATGGGGTAGGCTGCGTCCAAAACTCCGTCCGGGTCCCCCATCGTGTAGAGCAGAACCAGAATGATACCGAACGCCATGACACCGTTGATGACTATTGTCAGAATCATAGATCGGGGAACGGCATGCTTGGCTTTTCGGACTTCTTCGGACATGTGAACGACACCATCGAAACCTTTTGGTATGTTAAGGTTGAGAATCTCAGGAATATTTTAGGGGAGGCCAAAACTCACCGATAAAACCCCACGCGGGTGCCAACATTCCCAGGTTGAAAGCAACAAAGCTACTTCGATCCCAACCTGATAATATAGATTCCGTAAAGAAGACGAAGTGCGTATCTTGTCTCGGAGCAAGGGTCACCAGCACCACGACGAAGATGATGAACAGGATCACATGCATAATACCTGCGGTCAATTCCAGCCACGGGATGAGCCAGAAAATGTACATGTTCATGAGACCGACACTGATGAGAAGGGCCCACATAATGAGGGTGAGGTGCCACCTCTCGGGAGTGTATCCAGGCATATTTTCGGCGATCAAGGCTTGCAGAAGGGCGGCTTCTCCAGAAGTACTCCCTGCGAGGGCAGAGACCCAGGCAAACCAAGTAACCCATCCTGGTGGTACCGTCAACGATGACGGCGATAAATCCTGGAATTGGACATACCTTGCATCCAAGTGATAAATTTTCTCGAGTTGTCCGGTGCCAAAATGTGAGTCCAGTGATACTGAGCACCGGCGATGGGGAGAATTGAGCCCAATTCAGCCATAGAATACGCTTGCGCAAGAGAACCGATGACCACAGCGATACATCCCCAGACGAGAGATCTCGGGCCACCATTCCAAAACGTGGCGGAAATGTTGCTGCAATATATTGGTCAATCGAAGTTTGTAGTCTGTGATCGAAAGGATGTGACGAACATGGCCATGACCTCCCAGGATTCCATAAAAGTCAGAGAAAATGCCAGCAGCTGGGCGAAACTGAAAAGTCGCTGTTTCAGAGTCAGTATACGACGTGATCAAAGCGATTCACCTGACGGGAAAATACCCTCAAAGAGCCGCCACCGCCTTGCGAGGAAGACGGATACGCCTTCGCGACATTCTTCTCATGGTCGATGGTGGTCTTCGGCTCGTCAGAAATTCGGTCGACGGAGACCATAGAATCCTTGCTGGGCTCGCGAAGCTCCATGTTGTCTGTCTCATTGGAGTTCCCCATGGTGACGGGTGTGATGGGCAGCAGCAAGACAGTTGGGAGAGGAACCAAAAGGAGACGGGAATCGATTTAAAGGAAAAGTCAGCGTTCGGAGAAAGTCCGATCGTGTTTGGAAGCGAGGTCAAGTCGAGGGACAAGCTTGTAAAGAGACTTAGGACGGCTGCCATGTGGCAACCAACGGGGGGGGAATTCGAGAACGTGAATATGACAGTCTGAAAACGCGTGGCCGTGGAGCTACGATTCAAAGAGGCGGTAATTTTCGGGGCCTTTCGAAAGAGCCTGGAAAGAAGGGCCCAGTGGTGTAGACGGCTGCAGCACAACAATGGTTGCATGCTGAGGATCCAGAATCAGAGGGCTCCTCAGTGGGGAAGGGGGAAAGTGGATGTTGTTTGTTCAATGTCTAAGGTCGTTTTAGTCTTCAAGCCATGGAAATGACTTTGCTACTAGTTCCATATTCAGTGCTCAAAGCTCTGGAGCAAAAGATTCAGGGTGGCGGAAGTGGATCGACATGGCCGGTCCTAGTGCTCATCAATGACCGGGGCCGTGCTAATGCGGAAGGGTGGGTAAATTCGGGGTGGGCACTTGAGGGACAACTGGTGGCATGCTTCAATGGCACCCTAATCGGCCGGGTTAGTCTACAGGATTTGGTTCCCCAATGCCGCCAAAATCACGGGCTGGAAGATAGCAACCAGAGTGCCCAAGTTGGACATTTTGAAGCGGCGGGAATGATCGTATGCGTCGCCCCCCTTTGAAGCCTTCATTCGTATACAGCGTTGAATAGGTCGTATGCATGGCACCAGGCGCGGCCGCATGTCACGACAATGGAGTTCTGAATCTTTCAGCCTGTTGTAAGTCCATCTCTTGTGGAACGGGCCGTGGAAGAGTAAAGGCTGCGACTCAGTTCTGAATGAAGGTGGTTTTTCACGACGACAATGATATCCCAGGGTCTCTGAATCGAGCTAGACAACGCTTGGTGGTTGAGTAGCTGAAGGATCTACCGATCATTTCAAGAGCGTCTCAGAAGAGCGAGTTCGGGACCGCGAGTGAGTCCTGGAGCTTTCTAAGCGCCGATTGGCTCGTGCTGTGCGAGCATTGTCCGCAGGATGGCGAGGTACCTGGGGGGGGCCTCAGGTACCTCACCCGCACAACTAGGCTCAAATGGTGACTTGGACAGCTTCAGAACCCCCTCGACACTCGCGGTCCGGACTCGCTCTCTCGGGGCACTCCCCGGTGTCAATCAATTGTCTCAGCATAGTGTTTGGACAAAGATTGCAACAGGCAACTAACGACTTGCTCGATGAGAACGAGGGAGATATTCGACAATGATGGGAGTGAAATCTTGAAGAACCCAGAGTCTCGGACCATTTTCTGCACACGGTGCCTAGACTAGAGCCGCGCAGATCGCTTGGCCCAGGGGAGACGACATGGGGATGGTTAGTGATTGCAACGTGGAGTGGGGAATAACTTCGATAGATGTTTCCGGTCTAAGCAGGGAGTCAACTCCCAGAGATAAGAAAATGATGATCGCAATCTGATCATGATCGACTTGGTATATGTGATGTAGATACTCATGATTGGTCAAGAGCTTTAAACTTTTTGACAGTAATGGTGGGGATCATGCAGCAGCGTGCTGTGTGTGTGTATAAAAATCTGTGTCTTTTCCCGCCCAATTGCCATGATAGCTGAACATTTTGGAGTTATGAGTTATTCATCCGTGGGCATATCACGTGGGCGGTTCGTGCCGCTACGAAGGGAATAGCTGTAAAGGCCGACGACAAAGGAGCGTAGAGAGGAGTCAGAAAGAGCCGGGGAAGAATAGCGTACAGGAGGTGCAGTGAGATGCAATCCCCGGTCGATAGCGGGAAGTTATTATTGTACAGGATTGGAGACTGGAGGGTCATGTAGCGCAGCCGACAGGTCAAACTATGTTGCTAATGAATTATCAAGCCAATAAAAGTGAAGGACAGGCAAGTGATGGGTTGCGACCCGCTTGGCATGCGCTGGACATTATCCAACCGAGATGGGAGAACTTATTGGAGGGGGTAGCCCACCTGCTGTGGCCCGACAGAGAATTGCTTCCCCGGAGATTCTCTTCGGCTCGTTTTGGTAGCTACACGCTAGGCAGCATTTGTCCAACTTCCTCCTTGACCTTGCATGCAATTGGCCTGAATTAGTATGACCGACGAACTAGTAACTGACTCGATTCGTCTTAGCGCATTGATAACGATTAACCTCCCAATGAATCCTGGAACCCCTTTGTCCTTGGGAACCCGAAGGTCTCTAAAATCGTCCTCTTGCGCCGGCCCATACTGCGCCTGGGCCAGAGCAAAGTAAACAGGATCAGACCATTCAAAACCATTTTTGCCTCCCTTGGCCCTTGGACGTCAAAGTGTCTTAGTACATTTGTGACTTTATCTGTTTGAGGTTACCCTACCAGCGCCCCGCAAATTCTCGCTAAGCTAGGACTGTGACCAGCAGTAAGCTCCTTGCGCCTTGCTCCCCCCTTGAATACGTCGCCAATCCTCATTCTGATCCTGATAGAGCTCTAGATTTCGGTTCCGGAGGGTCTCCGTGTTCGCATTAGCTTTGACCCAGTCTCTTGCCAGCCTACGGGATTCCCTCCCAGGAATGCTGACGACTTTTGTTCACATCCTTTGCGCTTGTCCTGTATCTCTATTCATTGCGGACTGGAATCTCCCGCTTCGACGCCAGCAGAAACTCTCATATGCGGCTCCACCAACCCTAGATACGGAGGCATATTGTGTCCAACAGTCTCTCTACCACTCCACCGAGTCCTTGCACGCCGCACGCTGAGAATCAACTTGTCTTAGCAGAAGGGAGCCTTCCCTTCGGTTGAAACTCTCGGCGGCCTTTGTTCTTGTATTACGGCATTTCTTTTGGGTTTAGACCATTTGTCTGCATCAATCCCCAAGTGCACGGCCCCGGCCACTGGATCGAGCATGCTTCCTCACTGAAACCTTTCCAGTTTTCCTTCAAGAAGGCTCGGTTGGCCATTTTTCTGAACCTCGAGCTGGGCGATCTCAACCATCAAATAATCCATCTCAAGGTTGAGGTCATCCACTACCCAACATGTCTCTGACCGATTCCAGTGACGGATCTCTTGATGCCCCGTTACAGGGCCTGAACTCGAATAATCATGGCCCATGGTTGATCGTCTGCGCATACATTTTCATCGTCCTGAGTTTGATGACCATTTTCATAAAACTCTTCACCAGATTTAAAGCAACCAATCGTTTGACCCCGAATGACTATTTTATCCTGATAGCAGGAGTGAGTGTTTGGCACGATCCGCCCAAATAAAGTCGCGTCAACCGACTGACGAGCCCTCAGTTTCTTGCTGTGGCACAGACCATCACCATAACGATATCCGTTCATTTTGGCATGGGTCAGCGTCGAAAGAATCTATCGGACTCGAAGTTTGAATCCTTTGAGCAGGTAGGGTATCCCCAGCTTCCTTGCCCTCCTTCGCATTGATCTAACTCGTTTCCAGACTTATTATGCTGCAAATATCCTGGGGATCGCAATTTTGGCTGCAACCAAAGCATCTGTGACCCTTTTGATTGTCGCAATCAATCCCACGCGGCAGCTGCTCCTCTCTTGCTACGCCATCCTTGGGTTCGTTGGGCTATGGACTGTTGCAAGCATTCTTGCACTGGCTTTTCAATGCAACCTTCCCAGCCCGTGGGACTTCGAAGGCAACAAGTGTGTCGATCTATTTGCGCTCAATGCTGGAATCCACACTTTGAACATCCTCAGTGATCTTCTCATCGTCTTGGTTCCGTTCTTGATGATGCGCAAAGTTCAAGTGTCGTTCAGCAAACGGTTTATCGTTACCGGGCTTTTCTCATCCCGACTAGCGTATGATTTTGGATCTCCACTTCTTGATGGACTTTTGATACTGACTGGCTCTGCGACAGTGTTCCCGGATTTACTGTCGCCATGCTCGTCTATCTGAAGCGCCTCTATAAATCCGATGACGTTGACCCTACCTGGGAAGCACTCGTTCCGGCAGTCTTTGCCCAAATCATGCTCAACGTATCTATCATTGCCGCATGTATTCCTTCCCTCAAACCCTTCCTCGCCGATATCAAACCGGGTCTTATCGTGGTCAATGTTCCGGAGCATGAACTTACCAACTCCTTCGTTCGACAATCCAGGAGTAAGAGTGGGAGCCAGACTAGAATTCGAACACACAAATCTGGCGCAGGTATCTCACGCCTGGCCAGCAGATTGGGACTGAACAGCAATGCTGGAAAGACCTTGAATAGCAGCAGCGACAACTCTGGACTCTGGGGCGAGAAACAAAAGCAAGCCGTCACAAACATGGAGCTGGGATATAATAGACCTCACGCGACCAAAGCAAGCAGCAAAGTGGAGATGGACCGCAGTGAGAGCGTCAAGGGATTGACGGATGATGTTATTCTGCATACGATTGACTACAAAGTCGAGTACGAAGACCCAGATGTTATCACCGATCAATCGAGTGAAAGTCCAAGACGGGAACGAATGTGATGTGATCAAGGAAGGAAGTTGTGAATATCGAATTGAATCTAGGCATGGAAACAGACCGGGGTATAACAGCCGAACGACTCGGTCATAGAGTTCCCAGCAGGGTGGAATTTTGGATTGGTGTTATATGCCACGGTTGAAGACCTCTGCTGCAAGAAGAGAAAATACCTGTACCAAAACAGTTCACACGTCTGCAAAATGGAAGAAAAGGGCTGGATGATGACTTACGGAGATATACCAGGGCTTGGACATACACATGAATGTATTCTTTGGACATGAATGGATTATATTTACGGGATGGCTTGTCCTTTTTCTCTCCTTGATGGTTATATAGTAGGAATCTAGACCGACGGTCATGAGCCTACAAGAAGCTGATCCAAAGGACCTAATTTGGACCAAGCCTCTCCTTTTCCTCGAAGGAGTCGTCGTGTCCATATTCGCATCCCTACATGGATGACGTTGCTTCAATTGCCCTTCTCAAACCGCCACAGCAATGCGTTCTGTTTGGCATTTCTTTATACTTACAGCAGAGATCACGTGACTCCACAAAGAGCTTGCTTTGATTGGTTGGAAATTTTACGCAACCCCCTTTTACGGCGGTGATATTGCACTTACCACGTTCGATATCGATTCGAGAATGGCAATGTCGGAATCAAAATTCTGTGATTGGATTAGAGGACAGTATTTGAACGGAGTAGGAAGACGGTAGATAGTAGATGATATCGTTCGTGGTGGCGCCCTTTTTGGCTGAGAACAATTTTCAGCCTTGCGCAGCGGTCCCAAACCGCACCTACATTCCCTCTTGCAAAGCTGGTCCTAGGGTGGGTGCCCATATTCATGACAAGTTGTTCATCCCTCACTCTGATAGATCTGGGATTAATGCCTGCAATGACGAGACATCATTCGCTGACACAAAGTCGGCCGTTTTCCCGATAAAAGTGACCAGCTAGAGTGGTCGGTCGAAGGTTTTATACTATTTCTTGTTGTGCGGTGCGAAACCCGCCGTCATCATTCACACAAAATCTAGTGTCTGCTTAGATTACGATCACGGACATCGAAAGGGATGCGAATAGAATCAGAGACATAAAACTCAAGCTCGGTCTTGCATCGGCATAAGGTAGGAAAGAAATCCTGAACATGTCATCATCAGGTTGGCTCGGAATTTATCACGTGCCTACTTGGGTTTCCTGTGATATGTCACAACCGTATTATTCGAGCATCCATCAGAGACATGGAAGAGTACCGCTCCTGGTCGACCGGTTTATCTCATTCACGCCTATGTCGAGTTGATATACCAGATTGTCCCCATCCACGCATTTCTCATCTCGGACGGGTTCGGATCAAACCACATAGCGAAACTGTTTATCATTGCCAAAGTCCGTCGGTCGCTCAAGATGCACTACCTCCCGGTCACGACCGTACTTGCGATCTCGTTTGCGATTCGCACGGATCAGAAGACCCATCTGTAGGCACGCGGTGACGAAGACGAGAAGGCAGGCGCCGCATGAGATCCACATACCCTTGCGATAATAAGGGGCATCGGACTTGGGGAATATATTGGTACCCAAGACGGGACCACATTGGCCCCCGGTCGCGAGGATCGCTAGTGCAGCTGCCCGCTTGCTGTCTGTTGCGTGCGTATTGCCGACCCATGTCAGCGTCATGGCCACGGACACAAAGATCAGAACGGTTAGGAAGAGTCCAAAGTATCGTGGTGCCACGCCCGTTGTGGTTCCGAGAATAATGTATCCAACGGCCGCGAGGAGAGCGGGACCCGCGACGAAAATGCCTCGCAAGCCGACGTGGTCGGAAACGAAGGCTGTGCCGACAATGGCAAGGAAGCAAAGAACGTAAGGAGGCGCGGAGAGACCGTTGCTTTGGATTCTGCTGAAGGCTCCCATCTCGCTGATAATCGTGGGTACAAAGAGTGGTAGGGATGCGAAACATACGTTGCATCCGAAGTACATCAGTGGTGGGAGGTAGGCTAGATTGAAATTGTCAGTGTGTATATATATGAGGCCTGACGAGAGAAATCGGTTTCCCGGGGGGGAGAAGGGGGAAAAAAGAGCGGATATACTGACATCGGTAATCCATGAGGCCGCCTAGGACCTGTTTCCACTGCAATCCTTTCTTTCCCGTGCGATCACCAGGTTGTCGAAGAGACAGATCAACAGCAATCTCGCGTTCACGCTCAGTCAGAAACCTGGCACTATGAGGATCATCAGGCAAATAGAACCACGCCACCAGTGCCAGCAAACAAGTTGGAACACCTTCGACGATGAACAGGATTCGCCAGGGCCCGATAGAGGCTTTGGCCTGTGAGATACCGTATGCGAGGGCACCCCCATACGCATTTGCTGCCGCGCTGCCGGACAGGAAGATGCCTGTTCGCAAGCCAAGTTTCTCCCGGGGATAAAAGAAGGATAGATACAGTGGGACGCCAGGTCCGTAGGCGGCTTCGAAGATGGCGAGGAACACTCGGCATACCATCACGCCGGCCCAGGATGTGCAAGCCGCCTGGAGCGTTGAGACGAGACCCCAGAAAAACACTGCGAATGCGGCCCACTGGTGTGGCGGGAATGCCTTCCAGCCGATTTGTGTCCACTGGGATAGGATGTCTACAAAATGGTAGGTCAGATTCAAAAATGTTATGATCGTGGACGTGTTGACGGGAGGAAATGTAGTTTGGAGTGTCCCTCAGAGGCAGGCTTACAAGAGATATAAAACGTTGTTCCCAACCAATCATACCGTTTCCCCTCGAGATCAATATCTTCTTCCATTCCTGAGATCCGCGCATTGCCCAGATTTGACCGATCGAGCACCGACAAGCTGTAGAGGACGAAAATCAGGGGTATAAGGTGCCAGTCGAGCTTGCGTATGACAGCGTCTTCCTCCTTCTTGGTATATCGCGGTGCGAGGTTAGGGTCGTAGGCCTTGCCGATGTCATTGTGCGAGACAGGTTGCGGGACGGTCTCAGCGGTGGAGACAGTGGGCTTCTCATCGGACGAGATTTCATGAGAACTTGCTGATGAGTGCACTGCGTCCGGAACAGCGGCGCCAGAAACAGGTTTCTCAGATGGAGTCTTGATGTCCATGATGGCGAAGTGTGAAGCAGATATAATATGGAATGGGGGAAGGGAGAAGATATGCCAGGAGGACAATGGAGTGTTAGATAGGCATCGGCAACAAACCTAGACGCAACCTATTTATTTAAAGACAGACGGAGGCATGACGGTGTCAGTCGGGTCTTGTCCGGTCCTCGAGAGGACGATTAGAGCCCTTCATCCGTCCATCAATCAGTGTTGTCATGCCCAGTCCATCCCATCATCCAGCAGTCATGTTTCCCCGCGAAACGCCAACGCGTACGGTACTCTGGAGGGGGTTGATGTTACGTAGCAGCCGAGGCGAAGATGGACAGTAGGGATACCAAGGACTGGTGGATATGCAGGACAGGGGCAGATATGGTAAAGATCGAGGTTTAATGGCTTCTTGAAGCATTGCCGACCGGTGAATGAGCGGTGATCATTAAAGCGAAAGACTCAGAGATTGGAGAAGGCAAATGGAGTTTTTATGGAGATTGGTTGAGAGGAAAGGTTGGGATGGAGGTGGAGGGTGAAGATCTGCCCCCCGGTCGCATGCCCGCTTTTGCGCCTTGTTCTCGAAGCTCAACGCCACATTTCTTGCTCGTGCTTGTTATACGAGCTGTGCGCCAGCGGTTCTCCAATTCAATGCCATGTATTCATCCCTTTAATACATCGTCACGCTTCAACGTTCAAATCGGCCAAACCGCTCCTCTATGTGTGTACGATTATTACCCATGTCCATTGCACAAATTAGCCAGTCCCAACATATTTGAACCAAATTGGTCGACAGTCTTCTCGCTGCAACCACGATTCACCCGCATAAAATTGCCCCGGCGTACATCCACGACATTTGGGCGAGTTGGGACAATTGTAAAACGGAACATGGTTGTATCCGATGTCCTTGAACCTACAACAAGTCAACATTTTTGCCTTGATTTCGACAACGGAAGAAAAATCCTTACCAATGGATCTTGCTGGCATCTTCAAACAATCCCAACGCAATACTATGGACCGGGGCGTCTCCCCATCGTTCATAGAAAAACCCTCCTGTTCGATCAAGATGGGTAAAGTAATCCTCATACACTTGACTCCTCCAGAATGACAGATCGGCGATTTCAAAATTCGACCAGAAATGACACGTACTGTATCCGTGTGCCTTGATGTTATTGTCTGGTCGTCGTTGATTGTCCACCAACCATGCCATGGCATTGTTCTGGTGGAGGTATTCTGGATGGGCCGCCAAAAATTTGATGGTCTCCGGCCACAAAGACGGAATCGACTCGGGTGAATCGAAAAGGTTGATGTTAAACCCGTAGGTTTTGTTATGGTCTTGCATGTACCGAAACACATCGTAGTCTACATCGCAAAAGAATTTGACCTTGGGTTCCACTCGCCAGTAGTATTGCACATGTTGAAGAGCCTCATGTCGATAGAACATGCCGCTGTTCCACCTACACATCTTGTTGTATGAGATTTTTCCCGCATACTGGACATTGTTCTCCTCGAGAATCTTGGCGGATTCCTCGTACAGTTCCTGACTGACCCATGAAGGCATATCCCAGTGTTCTGGAGGGATGAGATGATAGGAGCATTTGGCCTTGGTCACCTCCTGAGTGGCTCTTTTGAATTCATCTGTAAACGGGACATCATTGAAAAAGGTCCAGGGGTAGTTGTATTTGTGGTTCCATGTTGCTTCCAACTCTTTCATGGTCGGGAGTAGTTCGTGGAGTTCTTCATTTCGGACGAGAGAGAGAAGAGTGGCATTAATTCGTGCTGAGTTGGGATTGTCGGGGGAATAATCGTGGTCTTGATGTCGCCATAGAGGTTCGGGAGGTTCACCAATTGCTGACGACGGTTAGCTGTGGTATCTTTCCATCGCCAAAAAATTTTCGTACGATCTACGAGCGGGTCGCGCTCCATGCTGTCAAGTTTGTCGCCATTTCCGACGACCGTACCCGGCGGTGATAAGGTTGGGGTCGGACGCAAATACTGATAAATGAGGAAGAAGACCAGGATCACGGAGAGCGCCCCGAGAAACCTCACGGGTCGTGCGACGGCCATCGTAATGAAAGACTCTTAGCCATAAGCCATGGATGAAGATGGTATTGGTCAAGTTGGGTCAGACTGATAACAAGAAGAAGCAACAAGTCTAACCTACACTTAGGGGAAAGTGTCTCGCAAGTTATACGTACCTTTCTTAGTCAGGCAGTATGGGGATGAAGTACTTTTAAATCCCCACCAATGTCAACGTCAACATCAAGCCCTTTGAAAAATTTCCTGCCAACAAGAAACAGCGCATGAGATCGGGTTTGACAACACTTGGACCACTTAAATAACTGCGCCTGCAACCAGTCTGTCATGGAGGTCCTACGAGAAGCACCAAAAGCTTCGTCTTTCATTCCCCTCATCGAGCATCAGTCTGCGACTCCAGCCTCATTTTATTCTGGGCCTCCAGTCCTCCATTACTACGGTGATCGCAGCAAATTGATCGTCCTCGAGCATGAAATCCAACCTGTCGCTGCATTCGCTCCTCTGCTCGAGACAGCAACCTCCCAATCTCATGCTAATGGCACGGAATCGAATGGAGACACGAGCGCAACAGGGACAGCAAGGGTAGTGGAGGATGTTGATGTCTGGGTCACGTCGGAGTACGTTTCACTGGTTCACACTGTATATTTGGTAAACTGACAAGTCCAGCAAACTCTTCCTATTCTCCAATTCCGCGTCGGCCGGTGTCTCCATACCATACCCTTCCATATCCCTGCACGCCATCCAATCCCTCCCCCAACCCTCCGCGGGCGAGCAACAAGGTCTTTACCTGCAGTTAGCATCCTCGATTGAAGTTGCCGGCAGCGACGATACAGAACCCGAGTCCATATCAGTCACAATCATTCCGACCGCTTCACCGCCTCCCGCGACAGCTACCGAGGAAGATCCGGCGGAAGACAAGCCGGAGCAAACACCTGTGATGGCCATGTTCACAGCATTGTCCAACTGTTCAAATCTGCACCCTGATCCGGTAGACCCCGGAGATGGGGACGACGGAGGGAGCCACCTATTCCAAGCGGGGCTGGCCTTTCCGGGCACGACAGACGGAGGATTACCGCCGGCCATTCCTGGGAGTGGTGGCTGGATCACAGCTGAAAATATGCATGAGTTTGTCGATGAAGACGGCAATTGGATTGAGAATAGAGACGAAGAAGATGACGTGGAGGAAGAAGGTTTGGGTCCTGGTGCCGGTACCGTGCGAGCTCGACAAGAAGATAATCAAGGTAATGGCGACGCAGGCGACGAGGCGGATGAAACAAAATGGAGGAGGACTTCCTGACGTCTCCTTATTGTACCATGCGGTGAATATCAGCGTAGACGGACAATAAGGGGATTTTTCGGATTATGCTTCCCCAGTCCCCCCAGCTAGCCCCATTGGGCGGTTCAATACACCATACTTTTCCTCACCGGGAATATGCCTTCCAGGCCATCCGCCAGCAATTCAAATCCGTCGCCCACTTCACCTGAACTCCTCGCCACACCCCTCAATCCAGCCATCAGAAATGAGAGATGCTTGTTCAACGCAACGCTCACGTTGGTGAGCTCCTGCATCACAGTCGTATCTTCGTCGAGGATGAATGTTGAGTAGCCCTCGCCATCACCCGCATCTTCCACGTCGGAGGAACTACTATCGCCACCGATAGTCCGGCGTCTGCGCCGCTGGCTGCGTGCTGAAACGAACGAGCTGGCTTCAAAGTCTGGGTCTGCAGAACCACACCGCACGGCCGAGGTGGGCGACGATACGATGTCCGCAAAGCGGATGCACAGGTCCAAGATTGCCAGAAGACTGTCGCGCAGTGGCTTGATCCGTTTACTACTCAGACACGCGTGCTCTAGCGCTTCGATGTATTGCCTATGCACCCTAATCATCTCATCAACACTGCCAGTCACGCTGAGGTGAGATCGCATGGTGCTTGTCAGGGGTTGAACGGTGCAAGTTGTTAGGTGTGCATACAGGACATTAACGAAAACCGAGAGCTTCGAATAGAGGACTTGGGCAGTTTTCTGGTCATTTGTGTCGGTGCCGAGGGGAATGTTCTGGGCGTGGAAATAAGCCCGCCGCTCTAGGATCGATTTCGCTCGGCGGATTTGGCGAAGGGTCAGGGCGATGCGTTGGTAGGAGACAGTGGACGCCGGAAGGATGATGTTCGCGATAGGCCAGCTAAGTTGGTAAGAGACTGTGACGGCCCCGAGAATTTTGACCGAACGGCGACGACTCTCCATGCTTCTGGAGGAGGTGTAACCAGCATGGACGGTGATAGACTCCGAATCAACGCAGTCGATGTCCTGATATGCGTCTGCTAAGATGTCTGCCAGAAGGAAACGGTCGTTCCACATTTCCACGCAGCGGTCAATCTGATCGAACATTCTGCTTTCAATCCTGTCCAGGATAACGCCGTCTTTGCTCAGGTAGAGGTAGTCAAAAGCATCTAGGAGTTTGGTGAGACCACAACTGCCTTCGAGCAAGTTTTTCAGTCTTGTAGTGGAGCTGTCTAGAAGGGAACTGAGATGACGATCAAGTAATAATTCAAAGGTGGCCGAAAATGGCATCGGTGAGCCATCAACCAAGTGAGCTGTCTCAGCAGCAGTATCAGAGAGCCCAGGACAATCATCGCCTTCGTTCACTGCCACTCGTCCAAGGTTGTGCAAGAAAGCGGCAGTCTTGCCCGCCGTGAAGATCGTCGTGGCATATTTCTTCAGGAATGCGGGAATTAATTGGTTGTCTTTAGAAGACAATATGAACCAATCGTGCCATAAGGTGGTTGCATCTCGTGGCTGCTTGTTCCTGGATATGAAGAATGGTTCTCTCGCCTCAATTTGGCCTGTACGAAGCCAAACATCGACAGGCTTCACATATAATCTGAGGGCAGACAAGAAAATTGGAAGAAGGGTTTCACGAGCCACCGAGTCGTAGCTTGAATACGCCAAATCACTTTGACTGTAGAGTGCATTTAAGGCCGTGATCGAGTCGTTTGGGGACAAATGTGACGTGATCGTCCAGATAGTCGCCAAGGGGAGGATTTCCTTTCTAACCATTTGCAATATTTGGAGTAGGCTGACAACCCCGGTGGACGAGGCCGAGTGCAAAATGTCGTGATGCATCCGAGATATTGCTTTTTGAAATTCTGAAATCTTGTCCCCGATACCACTCTGGACAAGCTGAAGCACGCCCACGCTTTGAGGTATTCGCAACCACTGACGGATGGAAGCGATCCTTGATCCAACGGATGCAGCCTCACCAAGCACAGCATTCGAGGTATTGCTCTCAAGATGACGGATACGATATCGTGGATTGGCTCGGATAATATAATTGTTTGTTGTGAAGACCGATGTCGGGTGCCCACCAAGCATAAACAAGACCTCTCTAACAGCTTGTTTCTCCGTGAGGGTATCGAAATCCTCTGATGCCCGCCAGAACTGCGACATCTCCAGTGTCGAGGAGGAGTTCAAATTCTCAGTGCCACTAGATGTGTCGAAAACCCTATCAATTTGAATTTCCTCCTCTTGATGCTGTTTCAGCGTGACCGGAGAGGTCGTCGTACTTAAAATCAAGATCTCGTCGTTATCAGAACTGAAATCACTGTACTCTGGCATTCTCCATATCAGGTCTTGTGGATCAATTGGATCGTCCGCGGTAATGTCAGTCCACTTCAGCGTCGGCGGAGCTTCTGATCGAGGCTGGAACTTTGGAAACTTCTTCCTCCCAATGTTGCTTGCGGGATCATGCGAGAGATGGAGTAAAAAGTCCAAAATATCTGGCAACCAGTGTTCGTCGTGCTTGTTCAACTCCATGCGGCAGGAATACATTTCTCCCGCCAGCTCATCGAGATTGAGGACCTGAAACTTCTCCTCGAGGCCGGAGAGCTTGTCAATAACAGCAAACTGATTTGTTCGTCCATAGTTATGGTGCTTGACTCTGCGGATAAAATTGTCTTTAATTTTGCGTACATCAGCAGACTTGACGGTTGGTGGAAGAATTGAGAGCACTAGCTCCTCCAGCCAGGCGTTCATGGTGGTCGTAGAAGCCATACCAGCTCCGTTCCTTGATCAGGCACGTTTCGCATCATATGCTCCGCGATTGTATATATACACAAATTGCGGACGAGTTGTCATTGATGTCGCGGTAGAAAGAGACGCGTCTACCGTACTGACCATTGTGCAACAAACTTCGTTTCAGGTGGCAATGCTTCGCCGTCACCACTTCGCCAAATTTCTTCAAATATACGAACCTTGCAATGAAAACTAACAGGTTGCCCTATGACCTAGCTTTCCAGAGCTATGGTGAAGGCTCCGAGTGCTCCTCCTCGTCCTCAACTTGACGCCCTTCTCGACGCTTTGTTCTACTGTCCTTCGTGCACAGCATGGCGAACAACCAAACCTCTTCAATCCAGCCTGCGAAGAGCTTTCCGCAGCGCTCGTCAAAGCGCCTCCACCCTTAGTTCTGGCACCGCGGTGAATGCCACGAAAAATATCCCTACCCGATATAAAGCCCTCTACGAAGCTCTTGGAGATGTACGGAAGAAGGCATCTGCACAGGTCAACTTGAGCCGGTTACAGTTGGCCCTTCAAGGCCTAGAGTTTGAGATTCCTACAACAAGAGTGGCGGTCCTGGGGCTCAACGTTCCAGAGACTGCACGGAGGATTGTGCGGCTCCTCCTCGCGGACGCATTGAAAGATGAGAGTCAGTGGGAACGACAATTGCTCAAGCAGGACTCAGATTTCAGTCAGGGTCTTGTGATCCGCTACGGACAACCGCCAAATCCCAATCTACCACAAGCGAGGAACCCAATACCAGTTCTCTATGTGCCCTCGGAAATTCTCGAGAGGAATAATATCGAAATTCTGGTGTCTGCGGTCAGCGGTCCGAGGACAGGGGAGCTTCTACAAGCCGCCCAAGCGGTCACGTCGGATGCGTTCCTGTCGCCCTCAATCGGAACCCCTACAGCTGCGAATGGAAGGCAGACAACCATCAGTCAGCCAGTGCATAGCAGTTTGCTGGTAACGAACGGCTTGGATGAGCTTCTGATTGCTGCTGAGTTGTTGGCGTCTACGAATTTTGCGGCTGGAGAGGATCGAAAGTCTGTCAGACTGGTAGCCAACCTGGAGGGTATCGAGGGGGAAGCACCGGGACAGGTGCTGATTGTGAATGTGGCAAAGGCCGAAGAAGGTCTCGCCGCCATTCGCAGGTCAGTTGGAGAGGCTACTAGTTACGAACACAAATGGATTGATTCCGGAATGCCGTTACTCTCGAGCTGGCTTACATTGGCATCTGCTTCGAGATCTGAAGGACCGATCCCAACGCCCGTGAGGATGCTGATTTCATCGCTTCTCACAAATGCGTCTAGAAATCTCCAAGCTCAGGCAGCGTTGGAGGCTAGATCTCAGGCCGAGAGGAGTCTAAGTCTCGCAACACGAGCGAATCTGGAGGCGTCAATTGAAGAATTCTCGCGTAAAGCGCATCTGGAACTACAATCCGGCCTAGCCTCGGCTTGGAGCTCGCGCAACTGGCGAAAACTGGCATGGTATAAACTCTTCTGGCGCGTGGATGATGTGGGCTTGATCATCACCGATCTGGTAACGAATGCCTGGTTACCACATACCGAACGAGCGGTCTATGAACTATCTGGCCGGTTATCTCAAGCTGGCATCCTCCCTATGGATCTCATTTCTACTTACAGACAATCAGAGGGCATTGGGACGACACGAACGACGGTGGACAGAGTTGCGGAAGCTATTCCTGTTGTGCAGGCTCAGGCCGAGATGGCGACAGATCCTCCCATGCAGCCGGTTGTGACTAACGCTGCTGGCACTGTAGAGGCCACAATGGCAGCGGTCGGCCGATCGATCCCCCTTTCGACTTCTATATCCATGACTCGCTCGCGACAAATCGACCGCGCAATCATGAACCTTACCAGTACAGCCCAGCAAATCGTACTCAAGACCCTTTCTCTCACAGGTCTCTCTGCCGGTCTTTCTGCTCTGACCTACGTGTCTATCACCCCAGGCAGTCTGTACGAAGCCGGGACAATAGTGGCCGTGGGCACAGCATATGCATTATGGCGCATGCAGGGTGACTGGCTCAAAGCCACCAAAGCGCTGGAAGATGGGCTCTACGAGGAGGGCAGAACCGTGATTCAGAAGATTGTGGGCAGGATGACTGAGCTGATCGAAAAAGGTAGCCGAGTGATAGAGGATGAAGTCGAGGTGCGGAGTCGACAAGAGGCCGAGAATGCCGTGATGAAGGCCAGGGAGGAATTGGACAGACTGGAAAAGTGATACTGTCCAACCTCCCGTGAAGTATCGAATAGTGTATGGCCAAAGTGAGAAAATCATATCGTGCCTCAACTGATCTCAACCGCGTCGTCAGGGACACCGCGCCTACTTCGCAGCCTTCGGCCCCAGAACTGCATCATGGGCAGCATTTCGTTGCGGTTCTGGGGCATCGAGTCCTCGGCTTTATTCCACTGATGATATGTGACGAACTCGAAGGTCGATTTAACCCGTTTCAACGGGCTAGACTCGGCGGAGGCCAGTGGAGATTTAGAGCCAGAAAGAAGGAGAACGGGAGTTCTATTCTTGGAGCTCGTGTTGGCGAGGGATGTAGATAGAGGTAGACCGCCGCCAATAGAAATGATGCCGCCCAGCGAAGACTGGGCGGAAAGCGAGCTGTGTAGAGGAACTGAAAGGGCGACTGAACCACCCTGTCCGAAGCCGAAGAGGTGAATCTGCTCAGGGCGATACTTGAGTTTGTCAATTAAGACCTTTGCGATTACGTCCTGGGCAACGAGTTCGACGGCCCGGGTCAACGATGAGTCTAGATCTAGGTCTCCTGTGGTCGAGTCGACTTGGAGATCCTCAGACCACTGATATCCAGGGCCGAGGGGGAATGGCAGGGGAACCGGTGGGTTCAAGGTTATTGTCATTGCGTCAGGAAGGTTCAAGGCGCGCGCGAATGAGGAGAAGTTGGCGGCCATATCGCCTAGGCCAGGAAGGAAGAGTATGGCGTTGGTAGGCTTGTTGTTTGGTGGGAGGTGAATGATTGGACTGAGAGATGCAGGAAAATCGTTTGGCGAGGGCTGAGAGGACATCGTGGCGCAGGAAGAGAAGAAACGTGCGACGAAAGAGGCTTTGAGCACGTTATGCCAGATACGATTGGAAATGTGTTTCGATCCGAACTCTGACGCCTGAGGTATTGAAACCTGGAAAGGATTTGCGGATGACGTCCGCAGGGTCCTGAAAATCAAGCTTTTGGATGGAACTTGGCTTTGCAAATAAGCATCTTTCCCTTGGCTACCCTGACTGGGGATTGGATTTTAAGCTCAACGCACGTCAGCTGTGGTTTGGAAACCTTTGAGCCACGCGTGTCCTCGGGTACTGCGGGATTCGATGCTTCACTTCTGGACTCATATTTGGAGCCTTTAGTGGCAGGTAAACGAGCCCAAAGACCTTGTGGAGGTAGAAAACAGCCAAGGAACATGCGAGCTGAAAGCATGCACCGGGATGTGGGCCCTGCATTGGATCAGAAACACATTACATACAAACTCTGGGAGACAAGCAGTGGCGCTACGTAATGGTCAGGAACACAGAATTCCTGGCCAAACATTACTGGTAGATACCTAGGGAGACATGGAGACTGGGTTCCTAGGTCACCTGTTGACCCAATGGTGGCAAACGAATGGACGTCAAAATGAATGGCCAGACTGAGTGGTGACGAAGTGGGGTTTATTCCACGCGTCCAATTGTGAAATAAGGGACATCCTTCACCAACTTCAGAGTGGTGGCGGAAACCAGCTCTTCTTATATATTGCCCTGTTCATTTCATATTGGAACTTTCCCCATATCTCAAACCAATCCTTCAATTTCGACTTCTGGTCAGTTCAATTCCACATTGCCCCAAAGCAATCCAAACAACTTCAAATCAACTCAAACACATCCAAAATGTTCGGCTGGGGTGAGTAAGATGGATGTCCCAAATGCTGACCCCCCAGTTCCAATGCTAACCTCACAACAGACGAAGGACGTGACGCCCATCAGCAAGTCTATGGTAGTGGTGGCCATAACAACCAGGCCAAATTCTCCCATGAGCTCATCGCTGGCGGTGCTGCCTTCGAAGGCATGAAGCTGTTCGAGGATCATCAACGTCAGGAGGGTAGGTTACAAGATATTCCCCTCTGAGAATATCCTGTCAGCGCGTTGACACACGACCAGGCAAGCCCGTCTCGCACGCTTTTGCTAAAGAACTCCTCGCCGGCTTTGTGGGGGGTGAAATTGACAAGCTTGCCGAGACGAAGGGAATGGACGAATATGATGCGTACGAGGCAAAGAAGAGGGCCAAGGAACATGCTGAGAGAATGTATGACGACCACTACCAAGGAATGGACCAATACGATCCCAATCGGCGTGACCAGCCAAACTTTAATTATTGAGGCGGCAACACAACAATGGTGGCAAGGGGATCTAGTACGGGCCAGCCTCCGCTGATTGAACCTGCACCTGGGAAGAAAAGCGAGTCAACGCCTAGATTAGCTATTTTGCTACCATTGAGATCATAGCAGGGGGCATCTACAATACAACAATGAAACCATACTAACACCTGGACTTTGGTTGAATATGATGGAGAAGGTCGATGCAAGTTGTATACAGCGCGGCCAAAACGAACCAAAACAACGCGGATAGCCATATCCAAGTTGGTGGCCTAACTCATGAGAGCCCAGCGCCTGGTAATTTTATTCATAGTTCATCATCTTCACTGGCGGTCTCTTCATCATCCGACATTGTCGCAGGCTGGGAATTCTGCTTTCTCTTTTCTTCAACTGTGGGCTTAGCCTGACGGTCCGTCTTCTTCGGGGACGGTAGCTCTCGCCGAGGGGTGAGTGGACTGGGTGACTTCTTTCTCGAATCCTGGGCCGCATTCATGGCTCTTACCTGTGACCGGGCGATAGCATCAAGATCGTCATCTTCATCGTCAGGTTCTGATCGAGGTGGAGTTGATGGATTGGACTCCGGCGAGTCAACGTTCTGCTGATGGTGGCCAACAGTATCCACGTCCATGGTCTCAAAGCCTTCGCTTTCTTCTGTTTCCTCATTGTCGGAAACATCTTCAACCAGCCGTTTGGTGCGACGACCTGTTGGCATAGCTTCCTCATCTTTGATAACTGACCGCAGTTGTTTCAACCTCTTCTGGTCTGTTTGTGCAGTGGCCATGACTCGTTGCATGTTCCTTACTTTCAGCTTCTTCTCGTTCAGAAGCACTGTAAATTTGGAGAGCATCTGTGTCTCGTGTTCCGCTTTGGTCTTTACCAATTCTTGGATTTGTTTCTGGAGGTCCGTCACTACTTCATCTTTTGCCTCGACTTTTCCTCTTAGATCTGTGACTTCTTCTTCCAACCCATCTCGCTGTTCGGCTGCTTGGAGAGCCCATCCAAACAAGTCGATGTCGTCAGTGTCTTCAGTTTGAGGTAGGTCAATCGTTCCCAGATGCTGGGTGATGTCTTCGATTTTATTTCGGAAGGCGATCGACAGAGTCGACTTGGGGTCTTTGCCTACGATTGAACAAGTGACTTCGAGGTTTGGCTTTTGTGCGGTGCTGATCGAGCCTCCCTTTTGAAGAGCGAACCCGAAAGAAATGATTCCAGCCCATTCATCGTCAGATCCTTCGTAGTTTTTCGCTCTTAGTTTCTTTAGATTGCGCTGGCGGACTACGAGAGGTTTAGCTCAACACGGCCGTTCCCATCTGGCATAACATGCCTTTTCCAGTGAACGCTGCATCACCATCCGTAGCGAGAAGATCCAGGTCAAGATCGTGCCCACCTTCCTTTCTCGAAACTCTGACGAGGATCGGGCTGTTGACCTTTTCCGCTTGAAGCAGTCTGATCACCCAGCTCGAACGCATGACTTCGCAAAACGTCGGGTGTAACTGCGGTTGCTATCTCTCACTCCTCACGTGGTTGCTAAATGAGCGGGAAATAATGCCAAGCTTTGGTGTCATTTTCGCGTACTGCTCGTAGTTGCAGTGCCAACCTCTTCAGTTTTGCAAGAGGGCTCCACTGCAGAACAAGCCAGACTTCATCCGACAACCAACCTCCTCTTAGACCGCAGGTGACCTCGAAAAGGACCTGGAGTCGCATATCTCGAACTCTGACCTCTCTCATACGACATACGACCGTTCAAGGTCACTCGACTGCCCCCCTTCACGGTGGTATATCCCCTCGACGGGGAGCCGTCAACACAACCACGTCGATCTGTCACGGTACTGACCAACGTTCTTACGACTTTACGAACCTTCACGATTTCACGGACCCCGTTTCCAATGTTTGACTTCGCGGCATTGTTTCATGGTGAATTCTTGCGACTTTTAAACCTTCAAATCGACTGCTTCAATCCCTTGCAAAAACAGAACCATGGAATCACTCACGTCTCACCCGCGCACACCCGTTGAGAGCTCCGAGGTCGAAAATTGGGACGATGAAGACTTTGAAAACCTGGAAGATGTCCAGCTTCGCACTGCTTCGACCGCAACATCAATCATATCACATCCTCAAGCTAATCATCGAGATTCGATGTCTTCTCGCATGTCGATGCGATCCGAGTCAAATCAGGGAGACGAAAATTGGGATGTTTTGGTAGACGAACAAGCTTCGATAAAAGACGCAATAGCTCTCGCCAAGAGTAAAGGAATACCGTTGCCCGCGAATGTACCACGTTCGGCTTTGGAAGGTGGCACGATAAGACGATTGAAAGGCAAGGAAATCAAGAAAGCCACTGCGGACGACTGGTCGGAAGATTTGGATTTGCCAGGAGCCGATATTCCCCTCAAGCTTGCAAAACACGACGGCCCCGATTTGTCAGAGAATTTGCGGCAGATCAGTGCTGCTTTCAGGACATCACCCAAAACTCTCGACATGAAAGACTTATTTGATAAGACAATTCGGTCACCAAAATCTCGGACAGCACCTACCCCGGTCACACTGGACGCTTTTCGCGATACTGACGAAGATGCGGCATTTGTGGATGTTCCGACAATAAAAGTTGCAAAACACAGGTCACCCCAGAAGCCGTTGTTGTTTCAGCAACCTCCCACACCGGTCAAGCCGGAAATGGAAAACATTGAAGAGGACCTCGAGCTACCCGCCGATGGGCAGCTGAGATTGTCAACAAGGAAGCCGCTACCTCAAACACCACAGCAGAGTGATGACTTTGATCTGGAATGGGCCGAAGGCAGTTTGGGGACTAGGCATGCCGGTACCAAGAGGGGAGGTCGATCTGCTCGCAGTTCTTCTGCATCGGCTTTAAGTCCGAGCGTGTCAAGCGCCTTTACAGCAGAGAGCGAAGATGAAGGACTCGACGGTCTAATTCTACCGGATGGACCTATTAAGTTCGAAGACCAGCTCAAAAAGAGACAACAAGAACATATTCCGGAACCGAGGAGCATTCCAGAGGAAAAGCCGGCGCCGAAACCAGAGTCTGGGAAAGAGGACTTCTTTTCTGGTTTGGAAATTGGGGATGGCGAAGTCTTTGACACCGCCAAACTGACCTTGAATCGCAACATCAAACATAAGAGTATACGACCTGCAAGCCCGTCTAAGAGGACTACCACCACACTCAATTTTACGAGTACCAAGTCTCAAGGGACAATATCGAAGTTGCCGAGATTTCAACCTGCACATGACCGACATGAACGTGCCCGCTCCAATCTGGAACCTGTCTCGGAAACTGGTGTAGCGATACCCTCCTATCAACGCCCAAATTCGCGGCTTGGGACTCACTCAGCTAATTCATCCGTTTCCACCATCCCGACTCCTTCCACTCCATCGACCCCCAGCAGACGAATCCTCCGTGGGGCCGAATCTCGACCTGAGCTGCGTTTTGAGCAGCCGACAACGACAAATGCCCAGCTTTTACGTGCAAAGCGATCGATGCCTGTCATGCGAGGCGTCAACTCACCGACCAAAGCCTCGCCGTATGTGAGACCTCCTTCCAGACAGGAAACAGGTAGCCGTCTCAATCTCCCTTCACGCCCTAAGACACCCACAGACCGTGCCGACTCTCGGATTGGGGAGCCTAGGAAGGCGGCTGTACCTTTCATTCCAGCCGGAGCATCGGCCGGGCAGTCTCAACATATTAGTATCAAGACTGCGGCGTCTCGTCACTATCGGGGTCAAGGGTCTGATGGATCAGGGGATAGCATGTCTGCTGCGCAGAGGTCGTTGTCCCGTCTTGCTGGCCTAGGCAGGCCGGAAACCCCTGGTCGTGCTCGAAGCAATTTGGCACCAGCTGAGCTTACTGTTCAGGCCAAGAAAACAATCACCAAACCCACGAGGCGTCGTAATTATGGTGATGGTACAGAATTGGAGATCTTCGATGATCTTCCAACATCTGCCAGCATTGAATCCAAATTCACCAAGACACCAATCGGTCGAGGTGCGCCTCGAAGTCTCAGAAGCAAGCTTGGTCTCTCGCACATGAACCCTTCCACCTCGTCGCTTGCAAGCACCCGACGAGGGAGTGATACACCGATGCCCGCGACACCCCTTTCCCCCCCAAAGAGTGATTTCTCGACCACCGCCGTCAACCCTGCTAATGTTCCTCGCTTTGCTCGCGACACTGCTGCTTCTCGAAACGCTCGTGAACAGCGACAGATTTCAACGACCTTTCAAAACGTGCGGGGGGAACCGCTGCAACCGATCTCAACCAACTGGAAGTCCACCGCAGCAGCCCGTACCAACACAGGAAGTCTGAGAAAGAAAAAAAGTGATAAGATTCAGTTGAAGCCACATCTCATCAAGCCCATGGGCAGTGATATGAACCGGCCCAAGACGGAAAAGGGCATGCAATATAATCCTCTGCTGTTTAGATGGGACGGAAACGAAAATGCTCTGGCCCCTTTTGACGTACCCGATTTTCATCCGAGAGGCGGCAGCCCCGCGGGTCAAGCTCAAGGGAGCCCTGGTACCAAAGCAAATTTAGCATTGATCTCCAATGTCGGCTCCGGCGTCACTGGAGTTCAAGTTGATGGTGGCATGGTGTTTGACCCGTCCCAAATGCGATGGTTTAAACTCGCTGAGAACGCCGATGGAACTACATCAAGCCTCCGTGGAGGGAGTGTTCAGATTGAAGAGGAAGAAGACGTTTTCGCTGGCCTAGAAGATCTCAGGGAGGAAGACGAAACCAGAAGTCGCAGTGGTACCCTGCAAAACATTCCTGGACTCGGTCCGTTGGGAGATTCTTTTGATGACGGAGAGGTCGGACACAGTAGTGGTGACGAGTGGGGAGTGGGTGAAGAGTTTGATGTTGGGCCTGAATTCGTCAAGAGGCAGAGAAGTGAAGAGGAGAGATGGCGCAGGAAAGTTGAGAAGTGGTTGAGAAGGGGTATAGAAGGGGAAGAGGAAGAAGGCCCTGACGGGACCGGAGGTTGGAGGTGGGCGATTCGAGACTTGGTGATGGCCCAGGGCGAAGCTCGAGGAGGTCCTGCTTGAAACTTTGTGGAGAGGATTGTATATTGAACCTCTGGTCTGTCACACCACGGAGCAAAGATATCAGGAATGATTTGGAGATCCGGAACAGAAGACCACAGAGAGAAAGGCCGCAAGATCGGGATGTAGCAGGGTTTTGGTTGTTACAGAACCCGGGCGGGCACCTTTTGTCGGTTTCTTCGTGTTTGGACCAAAGTTACAGACCATGTCATTTCTTCTTCTCACGATGATTGCAAACATAGATCCGATTTTGCATTTCTCCTGGTTCATTCTCAAGAGATTTATCACTTACAGTAAACCCAAACACTTCTCCATCTTCGCATTTGGATGTCCGAGAAGGTGGGAAGGGAATGCGCGTATATTTGTTGGTATTTGTTAAGGACTGAAGAACAGTGATGAGGTAGTACGAAAGGGAGAAAATACCTCCCTTGCAGGGGAACTGGCACGCGGTCTCGGCGATGAAAAAGAGCTGGAAGGTAAGATTTTGTGTAGAAGAAAGGTAGGCATATGTCGTGGGCCTGCCGGAGTTTAAAGAGGTGGCGAGGCTCTTGGTGACCCGTTCAAAATATACAAATCATATCCATTCTCGGTGAAAGAAGAAGCTTTCTGAGCACTGGTAGCCTCAAGGGTGGCAAAGGGCTTGGGTAAGGGCTTCTGACGGGAAAGGAAACCATTCTCAAAACCCTGAAAGAGACGAAGGTTGGTCATTTGTTGAGAACTGTACATTTTAACTACGGCGTAGGTAGTTCTGCTAGGCGAGGAAACCAGCAAGGGACATAGGATGTTCCTCGCCCCTGAATTTTTCCTTTCCTCAAAGAGAAAAACCCGTCGGCCCAAACATATCCTCTCCTCTGATTCTTTGCTGCGAGCCGTTCATGGTTCTTTTCTTTCCCAGATCAAAGCTCCTGTTCCTTTTTTCTGGCTGATCAGATGCATCGGCGTCTATGGGTTGTAGTAAGGGCTGTCGCTGTTGTTGGGATACAAGTCCTCCTTCAAGTTGATGCCGAGCTCCTCTCGAAGTGGCTTCAGCTCTTCCAGATATTCTTCGTATTGTTGGGTGTTCTCGACTTTGGCTTTAATGCCTATGAACCCACAGGGTTAGAAACTTTGTCTTCTTCTCTTTTCGCTTTTTGGGGACGCGAGTTTGTGTGATTTGAGGCTTCGCACCTTCAAATATTCTCACGGCTGTGGGGAAGTCATTGACTCGCCGTGCGGCCTTCAAGGCAGCGGTAATGACGCCGGGTGAAGGGACCAGGTCGTACGCGAAGGCGTTGTTCAAGTTTCGCTGTAAATTGGCGTCAGACTGAATTGGATGCAACGGAACGCCTCTTTTATATACCTGCAACTCGAAAACGTCCTGCACAGCATCGAACTCCTTCTCATATCTGCGATTTTGTGCGTCAGTGGAGCTCGGATGCTAAGGATCTTTTCTGAGACTGCGCCAACAGGCTCCGGACGGCAATATCTCAGTTCCAACCTCAAAGGAAACTGTACCTGGCTGAAAATTCCTCGTATGTCTCGTCTTCGTGGCCAGCGCTTCTCTGGATAGCAGTGGAGCTAAAAGGAGATCGCGCAGAAACAGACTGAGGTATAGCTGGAGCTCTCCTGAAGGGTCGTGTGCAAGGTCTGAACAGGGTGGACGTGGCAGGACGAGCAGTAAGACGGAGGATCGAAATGGAAGCCATTGCGCAAGCGTGAGGAGGAGGTGGACGGGATAAAGGTGAGAGTTCGAGAAAAATTGTTGGTGGTGTTGGTGTTGGAATGGATATTAATGAACTGGGGTCACCTGAGAAATGGTTCTACCTAAGCAAATCCAGCAAGCTTGTGAATGGTTGAAAAGACGGGCGTCAGCCAAGCAGTATTACCGTGCTAGAGCCTGGGTAGAAGTACCTTGTGCGTTTTAGGCCGGTATTGACCGGTTACGGCATCTGCTATTCCTAGTAAGGGTAAACAGTGTTGTTTGATTCCGAATTCATCAGCATCGATTGGTTCTTGGGACATTGGAATCGCAGAGACATACACTGCTCGAGGATCACCACCCCTCTACGCCGCTAGGATTCTCACTCGTAGCCTAATCGCGTCACCCGTATCCTCAACGAAAGACGCGCGACTATCGTAATATTTTGCCTTGGTCCCTCGTGACAATTTCCGCCTACACCAATGGGATGCGGGCGCTGTGATGGGTCTTGGCCTTCGCAACACGCTCTGCCGCCGTGCCGCCTGCGTCTTTACGTCTCAATTTTCCCCTGACTGCAGGAAAATAGTTGGGAATTTCGCTCTTCAATCTTCCTCGACACTATACGATTCATTTCTTCCGCTCGGCCTTCCGCTGCCAACTTTTTCTCTCTTCGTGTCCTTTCTTCTTCTTATTCTCCTCCTCCTCTTAATTGTTTCGTCGCTCTTTTTGGCCTCGATCGGTCACACTCTTGAGCCCCTCCAATAGGTCAGCGTTTGCGGCTGCGACCCCATCAGGAAGTCCTTTCAAAATGTCGCTCGATACTCTCAGGTCTATTCCTCTGCCTACCCTCGACCGTCCTTTCGGTGTTAGGCTATGGCCCATCTTCGACAAGGCTTACTCCGCCATCTTTGGCTATTCTCCGATCGACTTCGAATTTGTGCCTGAAAAGACCCCCATGTCCACGTTCAAAGAGACAGCCATTGCCTTGGTCTCATACTATGTCATTATATTCGGCGGACGAGAAGTGATGAAACACCGCCAGGCATTCGTTTTCAATGGTCCTTTCATGGTTCACAATTTCTACTTGACTGCTATCAGTGGTATTCTGTTGGCCCTCTTCCTGGAACAACTTATCCCCACGGTCGTTAGACACGGCGTTTTCCATGCCATTTGCAGCTACAATGGAGGTTGGACGAAACAGTTGCTGATGCTGTACTACGTGAGTCTGATCCGTGCCTCTGCCTCCAGCTCTCGGAATTCAGCTTATGCTCTTTTCAGATGAACTACTTGACCAAATACCTTGAACTCATTGACACTCTGTTCCTAGTCCTCAAGAAGAAGCCTCTGACCTTCCTTCACACCTACCATCATGGCGCAACTGCCCTTCTGTGCTATACTCAACTTGTTGGCCACACTGCCGTTTCGTGGGTCCCCATTACGTTGAACTTGACTGTGCACGTGGTCATGTACTGGTAGGTTGGCAGGGTCAGAAAGGTGAGAATATGGCTTATAACACGTGCACAGGTATTACTTCCAATCTGCTCGTGGCATTCGCATTTGGTGGAAGAAATACATCACCATGCTCCAAATCATTCAGTTCATCATTGACTTGGGCTTTGTTTACTTCGCCTCTTACACCTATTTTACTAGCACCTATTGGCCATGGTTGCCAAACGCCGGTACTTGTGCTGGAGAGGAATTTGCTGCTTTCGCCGGCATGGCTATTCTCAGCTCTTACCTCCTACTCTTCATCTCGTTCTACTTTGCCACCTACAGGAAGCAGACAATTTCCGGAAGACCTAGGAGGAACACTGGAAGGGAGGCTCTTATCGCCATGAAGGATCTCCCTCTTCCCGACCCACACAAGCTTCCCTCCACCTTTGATGTGGAAAAGAAGAGCAATGGTGCCGTCACCACTGGACGAGCAAATGGACCAACCACCAGATCGCGAAAGGCTTAGGCGGCTAGGGTGGACGATCGTTTCAATGACGTAATGTTTCGTCCTCTGAGTGGGAGCCAAGGCCTCGGAAAGAAAACCATTCAGGAGGCCGACGAAGCAAAGAGCATACTCATCAACAGCTGGATTATGTTTCATCAAACATTTGGCAAGCTAACAGTGAGAGAACCTGATCGTGACTAGAATCACTCACGGCTTGGTCTGGAGTTCGGTTAGGGATAGAATCCCGCAAAACGGGAGACAAGAGGTTGGAAGCAAAGCGACAGAGGCGGAACGCGACCGTGGAACCCCATGTTAAAGTGTACAAACATTGGAGTCTGGGATAAGAGAGAGTTCGCTTGAATGGACGTCAAGTCCACGAGGAGTCGGGCCTCGCTTTCTATTTTTTGCCTTGTGTAATTAGATGCATACATATTATTAATGCACGAAGTCTAACGTGGTGGCCGTGGCTGTTATTGAGGTTGATATAGCACGGCAAAATGAAAAAGATTCAAAAATTCAGTTGAAGAAGCGCAATAATCTCTGCTAAGACATATGGAATCATGGGGTTAAAAAAAAAAAAAAAAAAATATAGTCGTGCTCGCTTTTGGTAAATCATTGCCAGCGTCCATGCAATGATATTCTATCCCATTTTGGAGTACAAAATATACACTTCAATGTTCAGCCTTGCGAGCAAAACAGCTTTGTGCGGACACGATGTTTCTCTCTCCACCACAGGCATTGGATATTAATCTTCACCTCACCCTCTATCGCAGCTAGCCAGCCAGTCCTTGTTGATCCCTCCATTCTCTAGCCAACCCATCGCCTCGCACTCTGGAACAGTCGCATCCAGGGGCCGTACTCGCCCCACTCAGCACTCTTTCCGGCGGGAATGTAACTGGCCACGCCCTGCAGGATCGTTCGCTCAGGATGCGGCATCAGCGCCAAAACACGGCCGTCGGCGCTGCGCACGCCTGCAATACCACTTGGGCTTCCGTTTGGGTTTGCAGGATACGTTGTTGTCGGACTCAAGGTCCTCGCGTCCACGTATCGGACAGGAGCGAGATGGCTGGAGGTGAAGGATGAAGCCAGCGATGCATCAAGCGCTTTATTGTTTGAGGACGTGAACGATGCGCGGCCCTCGCCATGCGCAACCGCGACAGGCAGGCTAGACCCGGTCATGCCGTGAAAGAACACGCTCGGGCTCACACCTGAGCCGGACGATGAGTCGAAGATCTTGACCATGCACACGCGCGCCTCGTACTGTTCGGACTCATTACGCTCGAAGCTCGGCCACGTCTTCGCGCCCGGGATCAGCTCTTTCAGCTTGCTGAGGACCTGGCACCCGTTGCAGACGCCCAGGGTGAATGTGTCCTTGCGCGCGAAGAAGTCTTGGAACTTCCGCCGCGTTGTCGTGTGGAATAGGATCGATTTCGCCCATCCTTGGCCTGCCCCTAGGCAGTCGCCGAAGCTGAAGCCGCCTGCAAGTGCGAGGCCAGTGAACGACGACAGGTCGTGGTCTACGCCGAGGTGTGTCTGGTGTGGTTTGGGGTCTAGGATGTCTGACATGTGCACATCCACGGCGGTAAAGCCTGCAGCGTCGAATGCGAATGCCATCTCGGCGTGCCCGTTGGTACCTTGGTCGCGAAGGATGGCGACGCGGGGCCGCGCGGTCGGCCGCATATAAGTCAAGAAGCTAGTCTTGTAGGTGTTGATGTTCTCCTTGGGGTTGTAGGTGAGGTTGTATGTGATACCTGGATCAGCGTCGTTCAGAATACTCGCATACTCAGCGTCCGCGCAGGCAGGATTGTCGCGCAATCGTTGCAGCCAGTACGATGTGTTTGACCATTTCCGTTGCAGGTCGCCTCGAGGCGCCCGGTAGATGAGCTTCCCACCGTGGTAGATGGCCATGTTTTGGCTTGTAGATTTGGTCGACACTCGGCCGATCTTGTGAATTAGGCCAGGTGGAGGTCCGCAGGTTGCGAAGCACGCTTTGAATCTGTTCTCATCTTCTTTCCGGATTTGGAAAACTGCGCCAAGTTCTTCGTTGAATAGGGCCGAGATCACGTCCGGAGTGTGTGGACTCGGGCAAATATCATTGATCATGATTTCGATACCGCAGCGGCCAGCAAAGGACATCTCGGCCAATGTGGTGAAAAGCCCGCCGTCGGACCGATCGTGGTAGGCGAGCACCAGGTCCTGTTCGTGGAGTTGTTGCGTCGCATCGAAGAAGTCCTTGAACAAGGAGACAGAGCGGATGTCAGGCGCCTCGTCACCGATTTGCTTGAAGGACTGCGCGAGGATGGATCCACCTAAAGAACGACGCGCGAGGCCCAAGTCGACAAAGAAGAGAGTCGATTCGCCGACTTCATTATATCGGCGGAGTTGAGGCGTCCAGGTCTTTTGGATGTCGAGTACCGGAGCAAATGCAGAGATCACCAGAGACAGAGGCGCTACAACTTCTTTGGCTTCCTTGGTTTGCTGGTCTTGCCATTTCATTTTCATTGACATCGAGTCCTTGCCGACGGGGATGGCAATGCCCAGTTTGGGACACAGGTCCATGCCTAATGCGTCGACTGCTTCGTAGAGTCCGGCACCTTCACCGGGGTGACTAGCAGCACACATCCAGTTGGCGGATAGTTTCACTTGGTGAAGACGGTCAGGGAGATCAGCGGCTGTCAAATTCATCAAGGATTCGGCCACGGCCATGCGAGCGGACGAGACCGGAGAGATGAGAGCGATCGTCGGTTTCTCGCCCATGGCCATTGCCTCGCCGGTCTTGATTCCTGTCGCGAGAGATGTCGCGGTGACGGATACATCCGCAACGGGAACTTGCCACGGCCCAACCATTTGGTCTCTAGCCGTCAGACCGCCGACGGTTCGGTCTCCAATAGTGATCAAAAAGGATTTCGAACCGACAGCCGGCATTTGAAGAACTCGGCTGATTGCTTCCTCGAGTAGCCCGTCCGTTGAGGCTTGAGGCATGTACATGCTCAAACTGCCATCGAAGGCCGGCAATTCAACTTTCCTTGATGTGACGTTTCTGGTCATTTTGGGAGGCCTTCCAAAGAGTACTTCCATCGGGAGATCAATCGGATCTTGCTGGCCATGGGTATCAGCCGGGTGATGGCGATCTGTGAGTTTTAGCTCTTGCTTGTTAGTCGCCCGTCCCACCACTGATATCTCGCAACGTTCTCGTTTGGCAATTGACCTGAACATGTTCATTCCATTTTGTGCAACAGCGAGTACATATCGTTCCTGAGCTTCACAGCACCATATCTGCAGCGGACTCATGCCTTTGTCCGCACAGTCAACGTCTCGAAGCTCAAACTCTGCCCCGAGACCAGAATCTTTGGCCAGCTCGGGTAGCGCATTTGAGAGTCCGCCAGCGCCAACATCGTGGATGAAGAGGATAGGGTTATGTGGACCGAGAGCAGCGCAAGCATTGATAACTTCTTGAGCCCGACGCTGCATTTCAGGGTTGCCTCGTTGCACGCTGGCAAAATCCAGCTCCGCGGATCCTTCTCCTGAACTCATACTAGAGGCAGCACCTCCGCCGAGGCCGATGAGCATGGCCGGTCCGCCCATGACAATCAAGAAAGCGCCATCTTTGACGAGATCCGGATTCTTCAGCGCCAGTTGTGGCCGAACAGTGCCCACGCCACCCGCCATCATGATCGGTTTATGATAGCCCCTGACCTCACTAGAATCCTTGTCGATTTTCATGTCCACGAGGAGTGTTCTGAAGTAGCCAACCGTACAAGGTCGACCGAATTCATTGTTGAACGCAGCACTCCCAATAGGCCCTTCGAGCATGATGTCAAGGCTGCTCGCGATATGATGAGGCTTACCATAATCAAGCTCCCACGGCTGATGGTGGCCAGGAATGAGCAAGTCAGAGACACAGAAGCCTGCCAGACCAGCCTTGGGTTTTGATCCTCGTCCTGTCGCACCCTCGTCTCTAATCTCCCCCCCCGATCCCGTGGCGGCGCCCGGGAAGGGAGAGACAGCCGTCGGATGGTTGTGCGTTTCGACTTTCGCAAGAAAATGTACCACTTCTTTTACCGCATGCCACTGTCCGGTGTGATCATCAGGAGACCAATGACTCCCCTGGCTACCTTTCAATACTGCTGCATTATCACTGTACGCGCTGATGGTCCCTTCGGGCGTCTGTTTGTGGGTGTTTCGAATCATTCCAAATAATGTGTTGGTTTTCGTTTGGCCATCAATTATCCACGTGGCATTGAATATTTTATGCCGGCAATGTTCCGAATTGACTTGAGCAAACATGAAGAGCTCCACGTCGGTTGGATTTCTTGGGACGGGACCGTCTTTTGAATATGCCTCGACAAGGTACTGGATTTCTGAAGGTTCCAACGCAAGGCCCAGCTTGCAATTGAGATCTTGAAGGATTTCAGTAGGCGATTGTCCACCGCTATAGAGGTCATAGGTGCGTAGTGAACCAGGCTCCTGATGTAAAAACAACAGATTCAGGTCGGGTTCATCCTCGGAAATAGTTTCCGTCATGCGATCATGAAGGAAGTCCAAGGCAGGGCTCTTATCTAGAGACTTCCCCTCTTCTAGGGAGATGATAATTCTGATGCCCCGTTCAATTCTACCCACGACTTTGCGAAGCCCGCATACGTGGGCAATGCTCGTTGCTTTTGAACTCCAGGGAGAAATGGTCCCCGATCTGGGTACCACGTACAGTATAACGGAAGCGTCATCTTCTTTTTCTTGAACCTCGATGTGTTGGCCGTTGGTCAGTAACTTTTTCAGAAGGTCGTGACTCCCAGAATCGGGGTGCCCAACCAGTTCGACATAATGAATATACTGCCCCTGGACGTCGTTTGCGCCAACAAGGGATGCGAGAGCCTGGCGGCGAAATTCGGAAAAGGCTGATGCGCCGGGTATGATACAGACCTGGGGGGACAAGGAAGCCATGGAGGGTGACATAGGATGGCTGTGTTTCGTGCTCTATGGATTCTCGGTCATGATCATCACCGTGTCTAAGGATACCTAACAAAATCGGGCGGCCAGGAGATTGAGTGAAGATGCTCACCTGGAGCGAGCGAGCGTTTAGTGGATTGCCGGTGTGAATGACTTGTTAGGCACCCAATAGGTCGGATGGTCATCCGCAACAAAGGGATGGTTGGTCATGAAATTGATTTGTCGCTTCGGCACTCAAACTGCCCTCGGGATGGTCACAAGGGGCTTCTGGTCCGCTCGTGTGCCCAGTCAGTGTTATTCATGGATTGCCACTGTGGCTGTGGTTGCAAAAGTCAGAGGCCAGTGTGCATTCTTCTGATGATGTCTGAAAAACTCGTAAAACCGGTGGCTTGGCATCGGACAGGTTCTTGGAGAGATTCGTGTCGGGACAAAGAACTGGCTCGGTTTAGGCATTGCCAGTTAAAGGTAGGAATGGCTTTAAGCACTGGGGGGTTGTCTTCTAGGTGATGACCTCTTCCCCCAGAGAAACAGCCCGCTGCCTAAAAGGTACTAGAATCGACTGATCTGACCTCGCTACTCGAGCAGCCAGTCAGAGGTTGACAACATCAACCAATCTATTCCATCCAATCGATCCGTCCGCTTTGTCTTGCTCCGTCTCCTCATCTATTTTTCCCCCTCTAAAAAGTCTGCAGGCTACTGCTGGTACTTCGCTCTTCTGCCGTACTCAACTTTTCCAACTTCGCTCCATCTTACTCAACTTTCGCTTTTGGATCCTTTGGTCGAATGCTCCGCTTTTTCCGTGACCAACTCTCCCCATGCTCTTGCCGCTGACCAAGCCTGTCTCCTCAACTCCCTGAGCCGGTTCACGATTTCACTCACACACCCTCCTCCTTACCCGCCAGCATTTTTCCTGCGCACCCGACCCACACTTGCTCGTCCGTTGGACACGAGGTCCTTAAAACTTTTTATATCCCATATCCATTTGACTTTGACTTGGAAAGCAGGGGCTGGTCGTACGACTTGCCCTTTCAACGCCGGCACCATTGCTTCTCCTCGCCAGTCCCCTACATCTCTCCTCCACCACCGATCGGTGTCGTCCCGTTCTAGAGCAGATCTCGAAGGTCAACCATCCACCGTGCCGCCTTCAACGGAGAACGAAAGGGGCGAAAGCTGTCGGCGACCATCGTATTCCTCGGGCACAGAATCTGACGATTTCTCCCTCTGGAGCGACACTGGAGATCTCGCAGAGCAGCTTACCAACGACGAGGATCCGTATCGGATCGAGCTCGATCCTCTGACTAGAGAGGGTCAACGGCTTAAACGGCCCGGTCACGGTGGAGGACGGAAGAAGAGAGTCGGTTTTCGAGAAAACGATCACAGTGAGAGGGGCAAGGACTCTCTAAGTATAGATAAAGAGGCCATCTTCATTCCGGAGCCTCCACCGAGGCAAATCTCCAAATCACAAAAGATATTGGCTCTCATCATGGCTCCTGGCGATGCCCAGACGGCCCGGGCTAAGGGGCTTGTGGGGAAACCTTTATTGTATGGCATATCAGGACATACTCGTGAGAGACCAGGCACTGGCTAACCCGAGACCTTTCAGGTATTTTACTAGTGTTTTTGTATCTCTAGGGGTGTTTCTCTTTGGATATGATCAGGGCGTTATGTCTGGCATTATTACGTATGAGAGCTATCCCTCCCCCCAACGTCCCAGGTTCCCAGATTTCGATTGCTGATGTCGAGCAGTGGCCCATTTTTCCGAGATTACTTCAATCAGCCGGGCTCGGCCGAGGTCGGGACTATGGTCGCCATTCTTGAAATAGGTGCCCTCATTGCGTCCTTATGTGTTGGACGGATCGGTGATATCATTGGACGTCGCCGGACAATCTTGTATGGTTCAATGGTGTTCTTCATCGGCGGCATGTGCCAAACCTGTGCAAATGGAATGCCCATGATGATGGTGGGAAGGTTAATTGCTGGATTTGGGGTTGGAGCCCTTTCAACTATCGTGCCGGTCTATCAATCCGAAATCAGCCCACCTCATAACAGAGGCAAGTTGGCCTGTATAGAGTTCACGGGCAATATCACCGGGTATGCGGCCAGTGTGTGGGTGGATTACTTCTGTAGTTATATCGAGAACGACTTTTCTTGGCGGGTACCTCTGTTGATGCAGTGCATTATGGGAGCGCTCCTTGGATTTGGCAGCTTGATCATCTGTGAATCCCCTAGGTAAGATTACGACTGGAGCTGTGGGAATTGAATGACGAAGTGAGACTAATTCGCAAATTTAGATGGCTCCTGGACAACGACCATGATGAAGAGGGAATCATTGTCATCGCAAACCTGTACGGAAAAGGAGACATTCACAACCCAAAGGCACGCCAGGAATATCGGGAAATCAAAATGAATGTGCTCGTGCAACGCCAGGAAGGAGAACGATCATACACCGACATGTTCAAACGATACTACAAGCGCGTTTTTATTGCCATGTCGGCCCAAGCATTCGCCCAATTGAACGGAATCAATGTGATCTCATATTACGCCCCGCTTGTTTTCGAATCAGCAAGATGGGTAGGACGGGATGCCATTCTCATGACCGGGATCAACGCAATCTCCTATTTGGCCTCGACCATCCCCCCTTGGTATCTCGTGGATCGATGGGGGAGACGGCCGATTCTACTTTCGGGAGCCGTGGCCATGATCATTTCACTGTCACTCATTTCTTACTTCATCTTCATTGATGTACGGTGGACACCCGCCTTGGTGGTCATCTTTGTTATGATTTACAACGCTGCATTCGGCGCAAGCTGGGGACCAATCCCCTGGTTGTATCCTCCTGAGATTCTGCCCTTGAGCATCCGAGCCAAAGGCGCCAGTTTGAGCACGGCTAGCAATTGGGCCTTCAACTTTGTGGTGGGTGAACTCACCCCTGTACTTCAAGGAGCAATCAAATGGAGGCTGTATCTTGTGCATGCTTTCTTTTGTGCCGTCAGTTTCGTGCTTGGTAAGTTTCGCCGGTCTCCTTCTGAACGACTTTGGAAGCTGACACGGCGCCAGTATATTTTGTGTATCCAGAGACTGCCAATGTTCGGCTTGAAGATATGAACTCGCTATTTGGGGATGCAACAACGGCGATGCCAACACCATCTACCCAAGCGGAACGAGGGTCCCTCATGGGCGCGGGATCACCCACCTCCATCGATATCAGGGCAGGAACTCCCCAACACGGCGCCTTCTCGGCCAATGACGCGATTCCTGGCCTTGACATTGATCCTCCGGATGTTCAACTCGACGCAGACGGAAAGCCTCGAGGACGAAGCAACAACAACAATGATGGACTCGGAAGTTGGATTGGGCGAATGGTTTCCAGGTCACGACAAGACAGCAGTTCTCGGGGTCAATATGGCAAAATTGGACAAGACGAAGAATAAAAACAGCCAAAACATGGACGCATCTCAACATTATTTTGATGACTTACTGGGCATATATATAGATATAGAGGCATCAAAGCCTTGCATTTCTGGCGTTGGAACGGGGGGGATGGTTAATCACACAAGCAATGGGCAAATCTTCTGGGTCGGGATTGTCCAAATACCTAAGATTGAGAACGGGGTTACATATTCGATTACGGTCTGTTTGGATGTATTCCGCCAGAAGAGGATTCACTTGCTCAGAGTCGAGCGATAGCAGGCATTTTTGGCGGCCATTCGAAAGTGACTGGAGGATCCGGTGCGAGGAGAATCACAGGAAAGCTGTCGAGGAAGAAGTGGAGAAGATACGAGAGATGCCGAAGACACAGTTCGGAGTATTCTGCCTCAAAAACGGATGGGAATTGCTGCATTGGCTGCATTGGGCATTTGACTAAGACGTGTAAGAGTACCCAGAGTTGTACAAAGAAGCGCAAAGTGTGAGTGCATTGTACTTGTTAGACCCGGTACAACTTGCCAGTTGAGCGTTTGGCTCTCGCTGCAGACTTCCGCTCACCACAATCGGGTCTACCAGTGCATCTCGCCTTGTCCGCTTCGCTTTTGGGCGTCAAATTTCTCAAATTGCCCTTCACCCCAAGTGAATCACAATATTATCCTGCGACTCGATTGTCTTGAAAGAGACCTCATTGACTGGGTCTGCCGCTCTCTTCGCATATCCCTTGATCCTACACTGCCGCAATTCTCTCCATCATCCTACCAACCATCCCTCCCCCATAAAGTCAGCCTTATTCGACCGACCTTGTGCCGTGCCAATCCTATCACCATCTCTTCCCTCGACTTGATCTCTCTTCCCGAGTCCTCGTTCGCAAAATTTATCCGCGTGTTGATCTCCAGACCGTTATTCAGCGCGATCCGTTGTCCCCCCGTAGTGGCCGCCTGTTCCTCTGCAAACTTGTCGGATCCTCCCCAATCTTGTGCGAAACAAATACTGCCACAAAAAGATACTGTCTTGCTACGAAATACTCAAGAGCCGATTCAACCGCGAATACGTGATGGTTACCTCCCCTACAGCGTCGATGTGCCCAGCATTTGTCTTCCAGGCGGGTCACCTTGACGGAATCCTCACAGATTCTGTGATGGAAACATAGCTTTTGCCTTTTGCGACAAGATGTCCCTAGGCACGATCAAGAGACTTCCGGATACACAAAAGTCGCCCAGAAGCAATCTTCGTATCACCGAGATCATCGCTCAGTTGGACGAGCGCCTGAATCATCTGAGGGAGTCCATTCTTCCAAAACAACCCTACCTTCTCTCCATTCCTTCGGACGTCCCTTACCGACATAGTTCACGGTTTGTCAATACCTGGTATGAAGGGACGCCCTTCGATCGCAAAGAAGAGCAGTTACAGTACATGAGCTTTCTTCCTCACCTGGGTGAACACGAGTCTTTATTGAAAGTGGAGGGTGGTTGGGCAGACGAGCAAGGGAATCCAATTGAAGAGGAACTTTCCCCCAAAACCGTCCCTGCAAGCGGGAACAATACTCCTGCTGAATTAGGACACCGAAAGAAGATCAGTTTGAAGGATTACACGACCAAAGGCAAAAGCCCGCCGGATTCTATTTCTCATCCACGACCTACAGGCGCCAACTCAGACAACACAAAGCAGGAGACGATAGAATCTTCAACAGGGAAGAAGCCCCAGGAAGTATTGTCTTCCAAGCAGATGGACAACGTCCTGGAAACCGATCAGAAGATCCCTCGATTGGATGGCCAGAGTTCTCCATTGCATGGTCCGATCGACAAAAACACAACCTCTCCAAATCCAGCGAAGAGACGAAAGCTATCGCCTCCTTTTGAAGATCAAAAATCAATACCGAATCCACCCAAGTCTGAATCACAGTCGTCCATCATGAAAATGCCGAGATTATTGTCACCAACACTTCCGTCGCCTGAAAAAGAGAGCGGCTTGCCGCAAATATTGTCACCAGTCTTACCGCCTTCGCTTGCGAGGGCGATCTCAACGCCGCCAGGGCCGATCTCGACTGGCAGCCCCGCCAATGGACCACATCAACGAACAGACCCTGTTCGCGCAATCCTCGCTCGTGCCGAAATTGACTATGATCATTCAAATGACAGGAATGGACTGGCGTCTGGTGGGAGTCAAGTTCGATCTGATAGTCAGCACTCTGCCAGATGTTCTGCCCCAGGAACACCAAACGCAGCCAAAGTAGGATTGGGAGCCAAGGTTCTATCAAAGACCGGCATTAAAGCTGGGACCCCATTGCACAATGGTGCACGAGCCAGTCCTGGTCCACGACAGAGACACACAATTATCCTCAAGTATGGCAAAAAGAACCGGAAGAGAGTTGAAGCACTGTTGAAATTTGCACCGCGTCCCAGGAAGGACATGGTCAAACAAGAGGCAATCGACTCGCCGAACACGCCAGTTGTTCAGCCGAAGAAAGAAGCAATCAAATCAGAGCCCTCCGATTCCCATGGTACCGCCCAAGGCAAGCCGAAGGGTATTGTTGTCAACAATGATAAAGTAGAAAGAAAGCGAAGAGCAGAAAATAGCCCAGGCCCATCGCTGAAGAAGATGAAAGCTTCGAATCTGGCAACTGAAAGTGATAAGCGGCCCTCTACGCCCGTTCCTTCAGCTGGCAAGCCCTCTCTTACGCCTCATCCAAGGTCAACATTTTCGACCCCTAAGAAAGATCTCAAATCAACGGCAATGAGACGTGTCGAGTCATCAGAAGGAGTAGATGCACCCACCCCCTCTGGAGATAAGGGCCGGGTGTCCACACCGTCAACAGTTCCAAAACCATCCCCCCAGCCTGCTCCCACATCGACCACTCGAGAAGAAGAACGACAGCAGTGGACGGCCATGAATAACAAATTCTTCACGTTGGGCCGCACGCTCAAGCACGAGGGGACGTCTATGCTACCTTCCTCCTCTGATGCAGATGCCAAGTCTGGCCAATCTGCCAAAGCGGTTTTACTACTGATCGAAGCTTTGCTCTGTTTTATGATCAATATGTCCGCGCAAGCTCACGCCCGTCCAAGTGCCGATCCCGGCTGGAGATCGATTATTCTCTATCACATTTTCATCTTTCGTGTATCTAGGAGATATCCACATCTGCACGGGCTCGTGGTTCAGCTGGGAGCAGTTTGTCGGCAACTGATCCATAAATACGACATGGACCGGTTAGCGCGAGACCCTTTACCGGACGATTATTGTAACTCTGCACCAACTCCGGGGAGCGATGGGAACACGAAGACAAACGAAGATGGGGAAAAGTACAAGAAGCGATATGTGGAGTTCAAGGATGATCTAATTCACAATGCGCGGGAGTTGCAGACCGCATGGCTAGATGGTTCACGCCAACTGTCTCCTGATCTGTTGAAGCACGAGTACCCGACTACTTGGTCCAAGAGAGCGAAAGATGCTAGTGTGAGACTGCAAGAAAAACCATCGCCTTCGAGAATTGCTAGAGACTTTTACCTACCGATGGACTCCAACACCACTCCTTTCGAGGCCGCACGATTCGGAGTGGCGTTTCTCGAGGAATGGGCAGAGAAAGAGAAGGTTGAGTGGAAAACGAGGATTGATTTATGATCCTAATGCTGACGATGTGTGTTAAGGGATTACCTGGTCCCCCGCTGGGCGAGCTTTTAATGCCGTGCATCGAGTCAGTATGTACACTTGAGAAGCTTGTTGTGTGCTTAAATAATACACTCAGTAATTAAGGTCTTTTCATGACACAGAAACTGTTTCCCCTTCTCTGTTAGGGCGGAGTATTCTTCTCATGAACAGGCTCCTACTTCTCCGTAATTGCATACCAACTTCTGTTAATTTTCATCTCTTTCTCACTGGCCCTCACACATCGGCTGGCTTTCCTTATTGTTGATGAATAGCTAATGATGGATGGGATAAGAAAAGAATGTCCCTCGATGACGATCCCACAGACTTCGAGGGCGTTCTGCCTGTGATTCCCATTGATTCGCTGCCCGTCTTCAAAGATCCTAAAAGCAATGCAGCCACCGGCGCTTCTGCCGCAGGTGTTCGAGCCTTGAGTGCGCAGGCTGTAGCCTTTTATTTTCGAGCTCCTGTCAAGGCGTTCTTCAGAACGCGTGTCGATTACCTAGTTGGTCTCAGTCTCAAAAGAGAAGCCCTGAACTAATCACAGAATACCAGGCATATGCTAAGTCTATTAATCCAGATGCGCAGAACGGCCGCTTCTCCTGGCGAAGTACGACACCGGGGCTTCTCGCCCACGCAATAAAGAACTATGGATGGCGATTCATTCCAGAACAACTGCTCCCGCCGTTAGCTGCCAACATCGCAGTCGGTGCGGCTTTGTATACCTCGTATCTCCAGATCTTAGCCCGCCTCCATGAACCCTCGGCTTATGCCATGAAGACAGTCTTTCCACCTCCATCCCCTACTGATACCTTTGCCGCTGGATTCGCCGCTGGGACCATTCAAAGTGTTCTTGCGGCCCCTTTAGATGCCCTGCATGTTCGGTTCGAGCAACGAGGTGAGGCATATGCCAATAAGACGATGTGGCAATATGGGAAGGGAAAGCTACACGAGATTGGCATTCGTGGTATCTTCGCCGGGTGGGGTCTGTCCTTCTTGAAGGACAGTTTCGGGTCAGGCATATTCTTTGCAACCTTTGAATACGTCAAGGCGCAGAAATACTATTCATTCGTGCGGTGGTACTATGGAACGCTAGGAGGAGGAGATGTGGACAAGCTCGCACACCAGAGAGGGACAGTTGCAACTGAAAGTCACCCGATTGCAATGATCAGGCCACATTATGCCCTAGAACCTGCTTTCCTGATGCTGGCCGGCATCACGGCATCAGTCGCCCAACAAGTGGTCCTATTCCCGTTGTCGACGATCCAAACATTGCACTATGAAAGGCTAGAAGACCTCGACAAGAATGCGGTCAGGTTCCAACAATCGGAAGGTCCGAGCAGAGGGAGAATGCTTCGGGCGTATTATCATGCCTACCGGGAGACCTGGAAACAAGCTCAAGCGCAGGCGGTCGAAGTTGGTGGTATTAGGCAATGGTTGTTTCAAGGATTCTGGTGGTTTACTCTTCGTCAGATTCCGAGCACCAGTGCTGGTTTGATCATCTTTGAATTGGTGAGACGGAAGTATGGTTTGACGGGTGACGAGGCTAAGATCACTCAAGATGGGTATGAAATATTGTTGACGTGAGAGGGGCAGCGGTGGCTGTTGCATCTCTACCTTACAGATGGACTAGGTCTCCCGACTCGAGTTATACAGTCTTGTAGCAGTAACATAAGTTCACAGCCCGGAAAAGAGTCTGATAAACTGCGGAAATGGTCTCCCAACAGCGCCTTGCTGCCTCTTTGATTATCGATTTACGCGTCGAGGCGCGCCTGCACTATCTTTCTTGGCGCGTTGAAGTTCGCCCCGAATTTCAAGTTGCTCCTCGCCTGAGAGAAAGTTGGAGACGAGAACTTGACATTACATCTCTGCTTTCATTTACTCTCCTCCTGGGCTAAGGACTAGACATACTTTTCATCCTCTTCATTCATCCTCTATCTTTCAATATTTTCTTCTCGCCGCCAGCCCTTATCCTTTAACATAGACTGCGCTCAGATCGCATTGACTAATATCGGCTCCTCTCTTCATACGCGGTTCGCCTCGGTTGAGGCAGGCAGCAAAGATGAGTGATATCGTCATCAACGCCGATACCTTCTTCGATCGTTTATCTACTCTCTATAATGCCTGGAAGACTGACAAGAGATCTGGAGATGGATCATTCGGTGGCACGGACACCATTGTCATCTTGACGGGAAAGGCCGATCAACAAGACACTCAATATATCAAAAACAACGCAGTCCATGTGAGACCATTTCGCCTGCGATTTTGAAGAATAACAATGGCCATGCTGACGGATTTTGCAGTTCTGGCTTTTCGGCTACGAATTCCCTGCGACCCTGATGCTTTTTACTCCCGCAGTCCTGCATATCGTGACAACCGAGAAGAAGGGTGAGTTTACTCAATCATGATGTTAGCGTTCTTCTGGCGACTGACTTCAAAAGCCAAACACCTGCAAAATCTCAAGAATGGCAAAATCCCCATCGAGATACTCACAGTTCATGCGAAGCAACCCGAGACTAGAACTCAAGCATTCGAGAAATGCATCGATGTTATCAAGGGCGCCGGCAAGAAAGTTGGTGTCATTCCAAAGGCTGAAGTACATGGACCATTCGTCGATGAATGGATGAAGATGTTTGGTGATGCCTCCAAAGAGATCGAGGAAGTTGACATTTCTCCTGCCCTTTCTACCGCTTTCGCAGTCAAAGACGAGACTGAATTGAGAGCTATGCGGACCGCCGCTCGAGCAGCGAGCGCCGTGATCTCGGATTACTGGGTCGATGAAATGTCAGAAGTTTTGGATCAAGAGAAGAGAGTTAGCCATCGTGCTCTTTCGGATCGCATGATGAAGAAGATCGACGACACCAAATTCTTCACCAAAGGCTCCAAACTTCCCAGTGACTTCGACAATCAACAATTGGACTGGGCATATGGACCTATCGTACAAAGTGGTGGCCAATACGACCTCAGGATGACCGCCCAACCAAACGATGACAACCTTCACTCCGGATGCATTGTGGCCGGATTGGGATTCAGATACAAGACATATTGCTCCCTTCTGGCCCGAACATATCTAATTGACCCAAGCAAATCGCAAACTTCCAACTACAAGATTCTTTTGGCTGCACACGACGCTGCACTGAACGAGATCAAAGATGGCGCTGTCGTAAAGGACGTGTACAATAAGGCCCTGGGCGTCGTCAAGTCCAGGAAACCCGAATTGGAGAAGTATTTTGGTAAAGATGTCGGAGCAGCGATCGGCATTGAAGTGAGGGATGGAAAATTCCTCTTGAACGGCAAGAATATCAAAACTCTTAAGGATGGTATGACTGTTAGTGTCACCACAAGTCTTTCTGATCTCACCAACGACAAACCTCAAGACAAAAGGGGTACCAATTATACTCTTGTCTTGACCGACACTGTGAGAGTCACTAGGGGGGAGCCAGTTGTTTTCACCAAAGATGCGTTAACCGATCTCGACTCCATCGAATTCTATTTCAAGGATGATGAGGAAGAGACGAAGCTAAAGCAAGAGAAGACCAAGAGGCCTGGAGCTAGTGCGATTGTAGCCTCGAATATCAAGTCAACGCGACTTCGGGGTGCCAACCGTCAGGATAATGCCAAGGAGGAAGAAGAAGCACGACGACGTGAACATCAGAAGGAGCTTGCTGCGAAGAAACAGCGAGAAGGTCTCGAGAAGTATGCCGAGGCCACCGGAGACATGAATGGAGAAAACGAGAAGAAGTTCAAGAAGTTCGAATCCTACAAGAGAGATGGTCAACTCCCTCCACGCTGCAAGGATATGATTGTTTGGGTCGACATCAAAGCTTCAACAGTCATTCTTCCCATTATGGGTCGACCGGTTCCATTCCATATCAACACCATCAAGAATGTCAGCAAATCTGATGAAGGCGAGTACACACACTTGCGATTCAATTTCTTGTCTCCAGGCCAAGGCGTGGGGCGAAAGGACGATCAACCGTTTGAAGATCCTCAAGCCCATTTCGTTCGATCGTTGACCATTCGTTCCAAAGATCAAGATCGTCTATCGGAAGTGTCGGCCCAAATCACTGAACTACGCAAGTCAGCTGTTCGCCGTGAACAAGAAAAGAAGGAAATGGAAGATGTCGTCGAACAGGATAAGTTGATCGAGATACGCAATCGCCGACCTATCAAACTTCCCGATGTCTATCTTCGACCCGCGCAGGACGGCAAACGTGTCCCTGGAGAAGTCGAAATTCATCAAAACGGTCTGCGATATTTATCACCACTTCGAAACGATCACGTCGACGTTGTGTTTTCCAATGTCAAGCACTTGTTTTTCCAACCCTGCGTTGGTGAATTGATTGTGCTGATCCACGTCCATCTCAAGAATCCCATCATCATCGGCAAACGCAAGACGAGAGATGTCCAATTCTACCGTGAAGCTACCGACATGGCTTTCGATGAAACCGGAAATCGTAAACGAAAGCATCGATATGGTGATGAAGAAGAATTTGAACAAGAACAAGAGGAGCGAAGACGAAGAGCTGAGCTCGATCGACTCTTCAAAGGATTTGCTGAGAAGATATCCGATGCTGCTAGAGAGTACAACATTGCAGTTGATATCCCATTTAGAGAACTCAGCTTCAATGGCGTCCCGAACCGAAGCAATGTTCTCATGGCGCCGACGACGGATGCATTGGTGCAATTGACCGAGCCACCGTTCACGGTCATTACCCTTGATGAGATTGAGGTTGCTCATCTCGAAAGAATCCAGGTATGTCTCTTGAAATCGAGAGCGCAATCATTCCTAATTTCCATATAGTTTGGTCTCAAGAATTTCGATCTGGTCTTTGTGTATAAAGACTTCCATCGACCACCAACTCATATCAATACTATTCCGGTCGAATCATTGGATCGTGTCAAAGAATGGTTAGACAGTGTCGATATTGCATACACGGAAGGTCCCCTCAACTTGAATTGGGGCACAATTATGAAGACCGTCACCACCGACCCACATCAATTCTTCAAGGATGGAGGGTGGAGTTTCTTGGCCACCGAATCTGACTCAGAAGGAGAAGAGGAGTCCGAGGAAGAGAGCGCATTTGAAATGAGTGACTCTGATCTCGCGGCCAGCGAATCGGAGAGTGATGATGACAGTGAATTTGATGACGACGCCAGCGCTAGTGACGACGAGGGCGATGCCGATAGCGGACTCAGTGATGAAGGAGAGGACTGGGATGAAATGGAGAAGAAAGCCAAGAAGGAAGATCGAAGAAACGGGATGGATGATGAGGACAAGGGTGGAAGAAAGCGAAAGAGATGAATGTGTTTACGTTGGGTCTAACAATGAGTCCACGCCTTCTCAAGTTCTCACGATGTCCCCTCGAGAGATGCCAGTATTCGGGAATTTGAAATCTACCGGCTGCTGATGGAATTCAGGGCAGTTGTGGCGATTTGGGGCATTTGGATTGGAGGGCAAAAGCGATGATTACTGCCTTTTGGTATATTGATATTTATAATTGCAACAAGTCCACATTGATGGCCCATGTTTTTATTGAAATCGGTAGGAGAAGCACCCATGTCTGTGGCATACTCCCATGACGAGGCTGAACCGATTCAAATGACAAAAGTGGGACTCATTGCGACATCAGGGTCGGCGATCCGAACCCCAGACTGCATTTTGTATTTCTCATCCGTCTCAATTGCTTGGACTCTGCTTTCTGTAGCTCACCTATTTTCTTGCTGCTTTACCTTTCTCTATTCTGTCCGTCTTTTCCTCCCGACGACACCTCTATTTCAAACCGCAGGAACATTTACTCGATACTTACAAAATCCTCTCAAGTTCAAGATGGCTTGGTTCGGCTCCTCAACCGTCAGTGAATCAGCTCCTGCACCCACGCCCGCAGGTACGTACGATAGATCCGTTCTATGAGCGTCTTGAAGAGAGCAGTGCGGGCTGACTCTCGTTATTGCTCTCCTGGCACAGTCAAGTCAACAAGTGAAGGAGAGAAAGTAAAGGTATGAGGAACCCCCTTCCCCCCCCCAAAACAAATACCAACCCCAATATCCACAGCAGCTATGAATACCACTACAATGTCCTCTTACTAAATTTCTGTGCTGGATGACTAGTCCTGCTGTGTCTGCAAAGACGAAAAAGCCCAACGTGACGAATGCATGCTCTTCTCGCGCGCCACGGATCCTCAGGATGATTGTAAAGGTCTGGTCACAAAATATAGAGAGTGTATGGCTGGGTATGGGTTTAAGATTTAGACAAGATTATCCTATCATGACGCCGCATACCCCTCAATGCGAGCTCGGATCTCTATGTCAATGAACTGCGGAGTGCGAGCTTCGAAACCTTGGGGCTGGGAACGTCGAACGTCGAGTTGATGGTTAAATTGAATTGCTGATAAGGGGGTTGAGATGAGAGGTGCGGAGAGAGATACCAAGATGAGGATGAGGGCTTGTATGGTGCATGTGAAAATGGGATGGATTATGCATTACAGGCCGCAAAGGATCGTCAAAAATTGGTTGCGGGATGTACAGATCAAAAACTCAAGAGGCCCAAAATCTATCTGGGGATAAAAAGACGGGAAAGAAGAGAGAAGTCGAATCGGGATGAACATGTACAACACCACACACCCCAGCACAAAACACAGCTACCATTGGACTGAGTATGATCAGATTGGTCGGGAGGGTATCACTGAATATTAATCGCAGCAAATGGGTACGCTGCTTTTTATGGAATCGCCGCTCGCATCAACCAGGATACAAGACGCCACAAAGTATCTTGTCTAAATCATTGACACAATTGTACAGTACAAAGCACAAACCAATTCTTTCCCGCTAAACTCATGCTCACTTCTTACAACGAATGAAGCAAACTCTGCATGCCCACTTCCATATAATCATCCCGCTTGAGCAGGTAGGGGCGAAGGTTCTCCTTGCCGAGATTCCCCAGCACCGGTCCGCGCAATCTCTCCTTGAGCGCGTCGGGATGCAGAACAAACACACTCGCCAGCTCCGAGAGGACCTCGAGGCTCGCTTTGAATGAGTCATCCAGACCCCACGAACGAAGTAATTGGACATACCGGCTCATGTCACGCGCGAGCATGACGCCGCCAATCCGATTGACTTGGTACTTGGAAAAGTGCTGGAGGAGTTGGGCGCGGAAGCCGACGGCGACTTCTGACAGGAAAAGAGTCAGGTTGGCACCGTCGAGGGCTTGTGCGGACGTATCGTGGAAGATGCTCAGGAAGCGGCATACACTGTCACACGTGGGCGTTTGGGCCTGTTCAAGCGATGTGACTTCCGTCTCCGCACGAGGACGGAAGTCAGCTCTGTTCTGGTTCGAGAGCAGACGAGATGTCCAGTTCAGGACTGCGTCGATCGTCTGTTGTTCAATGGTGTTGATTTGGTCTTCGATCCGCACCACGGCTGTGCGTGTGCTTTTCTCCATTTCCCGTCGCGTAGTCAAACTCGAGCCTGCGAGGGGGATGAGGAGTGTATTGATACAGCTTTGAACTAAGTGTGTGACATGCACGGCTGTTCGGAGGTTGCCCAGGTACGAGAGGTCGGGTTCTCTTCTAGCATTTTCCGCAGACGAGGCCGTATCGGCTGCCGCTTCGAGAGAGACTTCAACATACAGCTCGAGGAGGTTCTTCAGGATCAGGTTCAACAATGCGGCGACGTCCTTGGGAGTCTCGGCGCCTCCGCCTAATTCGAGTCCTCGTCTGACTCCCTCGGCTAGCCATTTGAGCATTCGCTTTGCAAAAACCACGTTGAGTCTTCCATCTTCTTCGGCTAGTTCCACATCCGGTTGTGCTTTGTCGGTATTCTTGAGGCCGGCAACAGACAGGAGGATTCGCTTCTGCGTAGGCGACATCTTCCCCAGATCCAAGCTCTTGACATAGGCGTCTGTTGCTTCTCTCGCCGAAGCTAGAAGTTCCTGACCACGATTGCGGAGTGATGCGAGGTAAGTTTTTGGTTCTTTTTGTCTTCGAGAGTGGAAAAGCTCGAACTTGAACAAAAGCGATTTGTATAGCTCTTGTAAATTGTGCTTCTCCTTGTCGATGTAAGCCGAGCCTCCAAAATATGGAGTGAACAGCTCGTCAAGTTGTTGATCCAGTAGTTGACTTGTTTGAGAAGTCACCGATTCCGGATGTTCGGTGAGACCATGTGCTTTCAGGTCCTCAACAAGAACGCCGATATAACCCCTTGCGGCTTGTAAGGATCGTAGATATGCGAGAGTGGATTCTGACTCGGCCTTCTCGAGAACAAGTTCCAGCCTTTGTTGGATGGATTGTTGAAAGACTCGCTGTACAAATTTCCCCAAGACTTGTTCAGGGTAAGGGAAAGCTCGCTTGATAATTGCCGACTCCTCCTGGACCACCACTTTCACTTCATCGATCAGTGATTGTAGACCAGGTTCGACACCCGGAAGTTCAGCATCAGGATCTGATAAACGGATCCACGTTTCTTGATCACCACCAATCTCGTCTGTCATGAGGTTGCTCCTGTCGATGAAAAATTGATGCTGGTTGACAAAGGCGGCTTGGACTGAAGCGCCTCCGTTGAAATCCTGCAGGACAATAGCACAATTCTTCATCTCCTCGAAATTCTGTCGTCTGTAGAAGTCGTCGAACAGTTTCAGCATATCATTTTCTAGTGTCTCAATAAACTTCTCAATGACTTCTCTCGTGTTGAAATTCCTGGCACCTGTGACACCGTTGGTGATGCCAGCTTGCTGTTTTGAAATGCCGTTGGCTTGCCCGTGACTTTTCGGGTCCAGTCTTTGGCTGATTCGCAAGAGCTGGCGAGCGATATTTGCTGATCTGATTTTACCTTCGCCTGTCCCAGATCTCCTTAAATTCTCTAGCAGGGTAACTTCTCCTCGATTGCTGACTTCGTCCCAGCATTCAATCAAAAAATGAGCATCCAAGGCTTTCCTTCTTTGTCGGTCCAATTCTTCTAACCGACGACCAGTCTCCACGGCAACATTCCCGCCCCACTTCTCACCACGTTCCGATTTGAGGGAAGTGTCTAGCTTTTTGAAACTGTCGATTGTTTGGTTCAGTTTTCGGCCCAGTATCTCCGTGTTATTAGCATGTTGTGCTTCAGCTCTTCTCACTGCAGCCGATAATTCATTTTCTCGGTGTTCAAGTTCTCCAGAGAGTTCGTCCAGACGCCGTGAGGCCTGCTCGAACGTTCGAATCAAAGGTTTGGGGTCGAAAGTTGCGGTAGATCCATGCGACCGGCGATTGGAGGATTGGGCCGAATCTGTCAGTGTCTCAATAAAGTCTTTGGCTATAAAGTCGCGACTGGAAAAGTCGTCCAGGCTGAAAACTGGGCCTTTGGGGAATATGGTGCGAGCAGGATGATCGGTAGGATGAGATGACCCATAGGGCTGTTGGGAATCCATAGTGACCCTATTCGTGAAAAATCATTTTGGAATGGACAGGACAGTAAGATTCAAAGGCGTCTTGCCCTGCTGGGCGATCTAGAAGCCTCGTGGTGAGTTTGACTGTGTGCGGCAAAGGTCACAACGCGGTTTCACGATGAGTGCCAAGTCCAGGTCCATCCGCAGCCGTAGAAATGTTTATCCGATCCGACCCCCTTTACAAGACTGGGGCATATAAATATAAACATTTTAGGCGAGCGAAACACCACATATCGGCAATAGCTACAACTGTCAGCAACATAATATATTGGGATGTCAATGGCTTCGTGTAGGACATTTCCCAAACCCATTACCCTCTCAAGCGAAGAAAATTACCGTTCATCATGAGCAATGATTGCTTGCGTCAAAGGGTGGCACCTCGTCTAGATTGATATCACTCGGCTTCAAACCTTTATCAAGTTGCGTCCGAAGTTCGCTTGAGTTGTCTCTTCATAGTTTCCAGTCGTCTCCTTTCGACCAGTCCCCTTGCTGAGAGAGCCAGTCTGCTTGGTAGCTGCCTGTTTCCCAAACCAGGTGCACTCCAAAATCCGCTTTGTACCAGACGTTGAATGGATGAAGTGCCTCGGTTACGAAGAGACCTTGACAAATATTGTCAACCAAGAACTTGAGAATCGACTGAACAGATCATGACACACTTGGTCTCTTTGCCATCCAGATAGAGCGGAGCGTCGGCCGAGTTAACTGCAATCAATGCTTTCCATGGAGGAGACACTGTTCTTTGTGCCAATTTTCGTCTACTTAGGTACTGAACAAACTCTAGGACAGTTTGCCGGGTCAGGAGGAATTTGTTCGCATACTGGTAGGCGAAAAGCTCCGCTTCGTGGGAATGGGATCAGCGCCAGCAGTTCGACATAATGTCAAATCAAAGTTTATTGAAATCCTTTGCCTACACCATCGGCAATCTCTCCTTTGGAGATCGTTCTCTTGCACTGCTACGTAAAGGCAGCTGAGAGGGTCCTGGGAAGCATGATTTGTTTGCGCGGCAATTGTTGCTGGCTTCATACCGTGTGATCTGGAGGATATCGTGGTTTGAGGTGGGCGTTGAGAAATTTGACGGTTCTCGCTACCAGGGCCCTTTTGTGTGTATGTGTTATGGACAATTCACCATATGTATACTTTTGGAGGCTACCATTTGTGAGGCTCCGAAGGCTAGTACTATAGACTGGCGCAGAGAGACGATGCCAGCGAATCTTAGTAACATTGTAACGATGGGCTCTTCGAGCATCACACTTCAGCTTCTTCACCTCGGATGTTCTGATCTCCCTCCTGACTAAAATAAGCTCCATTGCGCTGCCTCCAACCACTAATTGACATCGGGGAGTTGCGAGGCTGTAATCTGATGCGGTGCACCACATCTCACAACGTGAACCACATTGAATACCTTCAAACTCATCTGTGCCTTCTCCCTTTCGCCTTTTAACATAGATGGAATAGGAGAGGATGGGGTTCTAGACCTTAGCCTCTAGGAAAGCTCACCTACGCATGCAACGACGAGGCTCAGAGTGAGAAAATTTGTTGCAATGGTCCCCAAAGCAAAACCACGCCGTCTCTGGAGATGTTTCTCTCTACACTCAGGATACGTATTGGGCAGATCAACTTTGCATCTCCTAGGAGAGTAACTACTGTACGACAAGGAACGCCAAGTGCCAATAATGGATACATCTGTTCCCAGGCGGACAGAGTCCTGGTGTGGCTGGGCCGTGCGACAACTCTAACAGATCAGGCATTCGACATGATGAAAAATGCCGCACATTTCCCTGCAGACTGCGGAGATTTGATTCACAGAGTTGACATCGATGTTTGGTCAATCTCCTCGTTGGACAGCCAATTATGGACATGCATGGGGGAGGTTGTGGATTGTGCAAGATATACTGCTAGCAAAATGGTCTGTTTCCCACTGCCGATACAAGGACTTCGTGAATGTCCCGTGTCTTCATTCAATGTTTCAATCGTCCACAAGCATCGGAAAACGCATCCCGATATTCTTCTTAATGACGTTCGCTCGAAGGCGACAGTGCGGGACAAGGTGTTTGGAGTCCTAAGCCATGCAGAAACCAGTCTCGAGCGCCGGTTCAGGTAAGTTATTCTGAAAGAGACGTGGAAGATTGCCATAAGACATGGATCCATTAGGCACACATCATTCTCAGGAATTTTTCTACGAGGAAATGTTCAACGGGACCTGATTGGGATAAAACACCCCCACTTACCCTCGTGGCGACCAAACTTGAGCTCAGAAAGTTGAATTATCTCCTTTGCCGAGTATCATCATCGCGCAGGAGATGTCTGGACATACCAGGCCATTTTGCCCAACACAATCGACCAGCAGAAGCTGATCTGGCGTGGCTGTACCTTTGAGATTGTGGAAGAGACGCTGGATGGTCCATTCTCGAGTGACGAAACGACGGCACTGAAGTTTTTGACCCTTTTCTTCGAACAATCACTGGTAACTGATACGAGAAACCTGAAGAGTTCAATCCGGATGTTAAGCCATTTCGGAGAATATCGCAAGAAGTGCTGGAGAATGAAAATTCAGAGGGAACGAGTGCCGTGAATGAGCGAGGAATCTTGAGACAAGTCCGCAATCTGCCGTGGGCGGAACTTTTTCATCATCAAAAAGGGGTATTGATGGGACTTGGGCCGATTGACGTCGCAAGCAGGTGACTAAGATGCCATTGATACTGCGAAAGCTTGAAATAAAAAGGTGGCGATGCACACACACAATTACGGAAGATGATAGAGAAATGAAATCCACAGCAAATGGAGTGAACTTATGGTCGGATAAAGGTTTTGCCCTGATCATTTTCGACTCCTCCAAATGCCCCATGGAGCGATTACTGGCAGACCCCGAATGCACATGTCTGCCACAGCACAATCACATGCAGGGAGATAAGAGAGCAGAAAGTTAGGGTTTGGTGGGTAGCCACATGGCAAATGGGTTCTTGCTATTCAGAACTCCAGAGAATACGGAGTGGGAATACGGGTAATCGGAATGTACGTTATTGCAAGTTCACTGGAGAGTAAGGATAGCCATTCAGCAGGAGACCTGTGGGCTGCTCCGGTAAGGGACTTTACCCAGCTGCTTGGGGGCTCGAGGCCCGGCCGCCAATCAGGAATGTAGCAATCCACTTTTTCGGTTCGGCTCATCGACAATTACCAGTTTGATGCATCTGGAGCACTGGCATGTGATCAGTTTCTGTTGCAATTCCCAGACTTTGTTTCTTCCCTGCGGTCAAGTCACCATTGTCTGGCAGCACATCATCACCCTCACCACCACCACTCTACACAATTCACACAACCTGCGCATTTCAGCCACTCTCTACCACCGCAACTACTTCTCTTCACCCAATCCCATCCAATTCCTCCCTTGCGACATGTAGGAGTACTCTCCCAGGCCTCTTCTCAATTCCTTTCGCTTTCGCATGCCCTAAATTCGCCTGCTTCACCGACTGTAACTTTTCTCAATCCTTACCGAGCACACTTCACTTTCTCCCCCAAAAATGGGCTCGCAATCGCCAAACCCACCTTACGCCGTCCCTCCTCCCTTTTCTCCTCCCCTCTCGGCCCAGCGATCCTCTACCGACACCAACAAACCCTCCTCCATTGACGTCGACATGATCCGCTCGGATGAACGCTCTACTAGAGCTGCCAGTGTCCTCTCGGGCATGTCAATGGAAGACATGGAGGCTGCTGAAACACTCAATAGTTTACACCAAAGTACTTTTCTCACCACATTCAATCTATTCTCCCGACGCTGACATGAGATCCCTAGAATATCATTCTCCCAGACAATCTCAACCCCCTCCCACCCTTGTACAAACTCAAACAACCTTTGATTCCGACCAGCCTGAACCCCTATTGCGACTCTTCACCAGTCAATATCCTTTGGCCGGAAGTTTAATCAATGGGTCTTTGTCCGCCTACAAAACAACGCAATCATATATCCCGGGAGCAGAGTGGACAGAAAGAAATGTCGGCCTCCCCATTGCAGGCACCGTTGCCAGGATATCCGGAGTTGAAGGTGGCCTGCGCTGGGCATTACAATCAAAACGTGATGGCAGATCTTCTGGCAACCCCAGACGGTCCTCAGACGTCGAGAAAGGTTATACAGACATTGCCCCAGACGGGACTCGCCGATCAAGCCCTGAAACGATCTATACCGAGAATCTACCCGCCTATAACCCCGGTGATTGCTCCCCACCATACACCGAACAACAGGTCCTATTGAAAACTCGTGAACATCAATCTCCACAGGGTTGGCGACAGCAACTTGTCATCTCCACAAGTGGCCTTAGTATTGCGATGAGCGAGGAATCCCTTCGAAGTCTGCGATACTGTTTGAGCTGGTTGCGCTGGGCTAATGGCCGACTCGGCGAAGCAATCCAAAATCTCAAAGCCTTACTCGAAAGATGGGACGAGGGTGTCACCCCTGCAGAACAACCTTCAACAATGTCTGTTGCTAACATGATCCAAACCCAAGAAGAACAAAGACAAGCCGCCCTGTCAGCTCGCATTGCCGCTCTAAAGGCTGACGTGCTCCAAACCTTGAAGCATGTCGTCGGTATTGTCTCCAATTATGCTGGCGGCGCATTACCTCAGAACGCACGTGATCTGGTTCACAGACATCTGACCAGCTTACCCCAACGATTCAGCCTTGCCAATATGGCAGGAAGGCAGGACTCAGACAGTCCGGATGGAGGAGCTTCCGAGGCTGCCAAGAGTGGCAGACGAGTCATGGTCCTTGCGCAAGAGGGACTGGATATGATGACCCAAGTCAGCCGTGTCGTGAATGATACCCTGGTCAGCGCAGAAGGATGGTGCGAAAAGTTAGGAAGGAGGGCCGATTCGCAGCAGCAACAGCAATCACAGCAAGGCGTGCAGAGGGCAGTGGCAGATGAGAAAATCGACGAGGGAAGAGACAGAATGACCATTGAGACGATTGCACCCAATGAAAGAGAACAAGAAAAAGAGATGAAAAGGGAAGATGTGAATATGCAAATGTGACAACAGGATAGAAAAGGCGACAGCTATATCTGTATTTTGGCTTTCTTTACTTTTATGGATTGCGTTTCTCCTCCCCTTTGGGATGATATTACGTCATACGAGTTCGGGCTTTTTTACTCCAACAGGCAACCGACGAAAAAGTGGTTGTGCTGAAGAAGAAAAAGGAAACTCAATCGGTTGTTGTACCTATTGTGTCTGCGAGAGCAAATGCAATCACGAAAGCGAATCATGCATTAAAAAGGGGGAAAGGGGGAAAGGAGGAGCTAACAAGCTGGATGACGAGGAGAACCTAGGAGGAACAACGAAAGGAAAGACGTACTGAGGAAGACAAATCAAAAATTCCGAATTAAAATGAAGGATTGAATTGAAAACATCTCGAATTGAACTCCCTGGCTGTCTCAGCGTGCAAGCGATCGATGCAGAGCCTTGTGAAGGAACGGGAGAGGGAGTGGAATAAACTTTGGGTGATTCGATAGGTTTCGATTCCCCAAAGGTATCCTGTCTTCGTTCTTGATACTCTTCCTATATCAATATCACTCCCGTACAAGCATCCGAGGTACCTTGAAAAGACCTCATCATATCCCCAAGCAGCGAGCGCAGCCATGCTGCTGTTGTTGCTGCTGCTACTGCCGCTCCTCCCGTCTGTACCGTATGATCCTGTCAAACTTTGTGTGCAACTTGAGGTGAAGGAGTGCTCTGTTCTCTATCTACTTGTCGAGTAGCTGGACGGTTCCTTTATAGACATGCGAACACCTCGTCGTCGCACAGAGTAACCACTATCAACATCGTCATCCATAGTAACCTCTCACCAGCGTTTCAATGGTGGAGCCTAATAGCCCCTTGTCCGACAGATCCCTGTCATCGTGTATGTACATAAAATATACCGTAGGGTGTAAAACCACCCCTAGCGGAGCGCTAAGTGCGCCAGGCCACTGGCTAACGTGATTAGTCTGTATTTTGGGGGCTTGCCCCCAAACCCCCAGGCCTCGCTGCGCTCGAGACATCACGTGATTGAGCCGGCCACGTTGGTCTTGGCGGCGTACACATGCCGCCCTACCACGATTTACGTGATTGGCCAACCCCCTCGGGATCCGGAAAATCCTTTGCTCTGATTGGCTGGCCTATCGGATCCAGTCTATAGGCCAACCTTCGAGGGGGTCTCTCGTGTCACGTGACTAGCCAAGCCTCTGTGATCCGGAAAATCTATAATCCGGCTATTACGCAATCCTGACCCCGTCGGATCCAATCCACGGCCCGCCCAGGAATGGGGTGGAGTGCCGCCTTATCCCGGAAAATCTATAATCCGACGCTTAATCACGTGCTCCATTAGTTACATATAAGAGAGTATTTACTATCGGAACACGAAGGCCATTTCTATTTCGGCTAGATACTAGTCGTGTGGGAGCAGGGTCAACCTCGTCGTCGATGACTCTCGTTTTCTGGACTCCTCTATCTACTCCGACACCTACCTAATGCCACCTTGTACCTAGCTACGCTTACGCTCCGCTAGGATAATCCTTCACACATATGTCCAATCGGTATCAAGTCCAGATTCCAGTTCGATATGGAGTTCAGGATCCTTTCCTCTCCATCCTTATCGTCACTCCTCGATGTCATTCTGTTCACAATTCCATTTTCAGCTGGACATCCTAGCCCAAGTTATATAGCATTGTCGAAGCTGAAACCACCAAGTTGGTAATTTTCAACCAAGCTCCCAAGCGAAGTCATGGGAGTAAGAACGGAGTGAGAATGAGTTTGGATGTCCCAAATCGTACTAAAGCCGAGTAAAACATTCGTTTCCTGGTATCCACTTCATATCGTACCCTCTGAGTTTCGGGGTCTTATGGCATTTAGAATTGCCCTGTAGCGCTTCATCCCTTTTGCATCTTTACCTTAGTCCTTGTCCCCCGGTGTGCTAGAGAGATGATAGAACACTGTTGTCAATTGCAACCATATGGGACAACCGCCTTCGTCTTGCACAGTGTCTTTGCCATCGTCATCAGCATAGGCACACGGCCAGCGCCACTTCCCCTGACGAGTCGAAACATAGCAGATCAAGTCCATTCATCAAAACTAATCCTCTTTGATCTTCTCTCTGCGACCGCCAAATTGATCTTTCAAGTATGCCTGCATATAAATAGCCGATCATTTGTAACCTGTTTCTACATGAGGAAGAAACACCACAAGGCTAGCCAATTAAAACTTACAAGCAAACCACCAATGATAAGATTCCTGTACATATTCCATGTGCCTTGGGAGGGTCTTCGACGTCTAATACGGAATCTCGGACAAGATCAAGCCGTACAGCTAGTGGACTGCCCTCCACATTTGCTTTGTGATTCTTGACCCCCTCCAATCTTCATTGTTGTCCCTAGCCTTCCCAGATTCCTTGAAAGAGACAGGAATTTTATTGTCATATACCCGGAACTGTCCGACATGTTCGATGGCGCACTGGGTCTGAGGATTTATACTTCAAATGGGTCGAAGTAAGTGATTTTGTCACTGAAATTTAATGGTCTATGGGAGCTGATGCCGGATGTGTCCACGAGTATGAGAAAGCAATCCAAAGCTCGTCGATAGATAGGAGTGGCAAGTCGGAATTGCTGCCGAGAATGTCCAAGTTTGCTGTTCGAGAGCAAGAGTCAAGAAGAGCAGGTCGACGGCATTGAAACAAAGTATCGGTCGCTTGGATTATGGTAGCATTGTATGGCCGGAGACCCGCCTCGTAGTATCTCACTTGGAAACCTTTTTTAGAGAGTTAGGGGGCATCTCCAAAAACGTATCATAAAGAATGGAGCACATTCACCCTCTTTGAATGATATACCTACAAGCTCAATGAATCAGCTTGACTTCTTTGCCTGGCTCCCAATCATCTAACCCCTGCTGTAGACTCCGCCAGTAGTTCAACCGAACACACTCGACCTTTGCAGCCTCAACATCCTCCTGTTCGAACGCCTCGCCTAAACGCTTCTCTGTCTCGCTTATCCTCGCTCTATTTTCGGCTTTGAGTGCATCAATTTGCCCCTGCGTCTCGGCCTCCTCAATAGCCTCCTGCGCGTCCATAACCTCCATTAGTGTTGCCTGATCCGTTACCCCGCGGTGCGTATTATTATCCTCAGACATGATATCAATCCCATAGTTGTGCTGCAGCAAATACCGCGCGCGTAGCAGAGGATCCGAGAGCGTCTTGTACGCCGTATTCAATAGCGAAGACAGAGCGTGGGATTTCTCGTGCGCGACAGCGGACCCCGTATATTTGTCGGGGTGATGCTGCGCTTGCAGCTGGAGGAATTCTCGCCTCAGGGCGCTATGCGGGATCGTGAAAGGGCCGTTAGGCGGTGGACCAGATGGAAGCGTCGAGGGGAATAAGGTGTAGTATGTCGTTATGTCTGGGAGAGACGGCGCGGGCGGTGTATTGCTGGAAGTGGATTGGGATTCTTGAGCACGTGTCCGTGTTGGCGTCGTGCTGAATGCTCGGTGTGAGAGTCTTTGCTGTCGATATGTTCCCCAAAAATCTGACGGCGCTGCTTGGCCGAGAAATTCTGTGTGTCTTGTTCTCTTGGAGGTCGTGGCGATGGTTTCGGCAGCACAGATACGGCGCAGATGGCAAAGTGTTTGGCGCGTGGGAACCGGGTTCGGCATTGTTGTTGAGTGAGGTTGTGAGGTGGCAACTGTACAAAATACTCTATATAGCAGCGGTGAGAGCAATACGGCGTGCGTATACAAGGTTAGCTTATGCGGTAGCAACTATTCGACGGCTCTCACGAGCATAAGAGAATTTTTGGGATGAGAATAAGTAAATAGGATGCGACGTCATGCTCCGCAATCGGAGATGCCGAGATCTAAGTCCGAATGCTCGGCCGAGGACATAAAATATCCCGAGCCTTTTTTCAGTAAGGTCGTGGCCGGGAAATCCGCCTCCGGTTTAGGCGGCCTACCGCTTTAGGTATGGTCGGCGGCTGGGCAGGCCGCCGCTTTTGACGGCTATAAGAACCCTCTCCCATCCCCTTCCAACTTGTTTTTTTTT